GATATTAATGTCACCCAATATAATATATTTCTTTTTATCAAGTGCCAGAAGGTGTAGGGTGTTACTAAGAGCGCACATAAAATCAAATTCACTGGATCCAGGGTGTCGATATATAACACCAAGAATAATAGAAGAAGACTTTCCACAATGAATAGGTATTTCAACCCAAAGTTCTTCACAAGAGTTGACATTCAGAATATATTTGTGTACCAATAACGGATTTAAATAAGACTTTACATATAGCCCAACTCCACCAGCATGAGTTTTTGTTGGCGTATGGAGGAATACATAACTTTCAATATCTATATTAACTAAAGGGTCTGTTTTGAGTTTTGTTTCGGATAGCGCTATTACTGTAGGGGATGGATTTAGATCATGTATAATGTTTGACAACTCGTCAATATGCTTTTGTATAGACCGAATATTGAAATGAGCCAAAGTGAACTTATTATTAGATAAACTGGTACAACCTAGGATGTTACGTACACTGTCAGCAGTCTCAAGTGACAGGCATGGACTAACATTTTCAAAATTGAATTCAGAAGTGTCAAGGGGTTCTAGTTTTCTGTCTATTAAATAAGGGCAAGTATGAAATGGAAAAAGAGATTTTAAACAATTTTGGCAAAGACTATTTTTACTTGTAGGATGAATATTGGAACAATTAAAGCAAAAAGGCTGAGCAGCCATTTTACTTATCTAATATAGAAATTCAGATTTATAAATAGTCAATCTAGGATAGTTTTTCTAAATCCGAGAGCTTGGTTATGGGAATCCTAGGACTTTCTTTGGATTTTTTTCATGTATATGTTGCCATTGGTAGTCCAAAGCCTCTCATACATCTTAGATTTCTTGACTAATCGTGAATTATATAGGAGATTATTGCGAAAATTAGTGAGGTTCTCATTAATGTAAAGAGTGGACAAACCTGCAATCCCAAAGTCTTCGATTCTAGAAGCTTCAAACTTTTTAGCAATGAATTGGTTCCTTTTATTCCTATTCGTAAAACGAACTATGATCGGTCCGATTTTGGTGCTGTCTCTTCTAGGACGAAGGTGAGATACTGAGATATCCAGTCTTTCAACCTCGATTCCTAGTGCTTTGCCAATTTTAACAATGATATTATCAGTATTTTCCCCTTCCCTATATGGAATCCCATGAAATTCAAGGTTTTCCCGCCTCACATACTGAGCCAGGTCTTCAAAATCGTGGTCGAAACGTTGCTGTAGGGTGGTATACATTTTTAACAGTTTATCATTTTTAGCAGACAGATCCCTAATCACCTGGTCCAGTTTTGAAATATAGTCTTTCTGGATCTCAAACTCTGCACTGATGAAGTTTTGGCTGGCTTGAACAGTACAGAGGTCAGTGTCAAGTTTGGAAGTATTCAGGCGCAAACACTCTATATCTTTGTTTACTTTAGAAACCTTGTCAACCAGTTGGTCGCACTGATGAAACATTGCTTCCAATTTATCAGCCATTTGTTGGGTGTTGTTCATTACCGATTCGTTGATCTGGGTAGATATTTTCTTATCATGTTCGCTTATGGAGTCTTCGAACAAGTCCCTTATACTTTCCTCTACGATCGCTTTAATCTCGATTATCAAGTTGTTAGTGATGCGAGTTTCCATCAATTCCAGTTTTGATTGTAATTGGTCAATTTTTCCTTCCATTATGGCCAGATTATTAGTTTATATATCAATTAATAATTTTTAATATGCACAAGAACCTTAATAACAGCAATAATGTTGAGTTAATAATTAACAACAGTCAACAGACTTACATAGAGAATATGCTTTGTAAGTGGGACATGAAATATTAGTTTTTACACATTTCTATATCACTTTCTTCAAGTGAATCACACATTTCCTCTGAACAAGGCACTACATAAGCAACCACTGAGACATGATCTGATAGAATAACTCGGAATAATAAGCCTTCAATAACAATCATGTCGAGTATTTTTACTAAACTGACAAATGACAAGTCCGATATTGAGTAATCCCAACCCTGATCAGTAGGAACCTTTGCATATTCTAGTCTAGAGCCTAATGAAAAAAATAACTGCTTTTCAAAAAGACACTCTACAAGCAGTGACTAATACGTGAGGCACCATTATATCCTATTTATCTACACCCTTGGTGATGTGTAAGCTTGCGGCCTTGAACATACTTAATTCCAACCCCAAAGCCACTAGGCAGGCCATCCCTGTGAATTCACATTTTTAAACATTGGAATAGTTATGAAAACCAAGCTTCATAGAATCAGAGTATAATACTCATAGAAAGAGAAAAGTCATAAACTTATTTTAAAATAAGCATCTTGAAGTATTTAATTTACTCGATGGAACTTTCTTATTATAAAAATGAACCGTACAAGCTGAAGGAATCTCTCAGGAATAAGAAATTGACTTGAAAGTGGAATCGCTTCTATATAAAAACATATTTGGATCTTTCCATCCAAACGCATCAGTTATATATAGATTACAAAGACTTATGTCACACCAAATAAATACTAACTTCCATATGAAATATCAAGTTTTCAATTAAAACTGACATTTTCACCAAAATTTCGCATTGTTGATTGATCTATATTGATTAATTTCAATTTAAAAGATCATTTTGGTTGAGCGTAGCGGACAAATATCCATTGCTGACAGAAAAGGCAATTATAATTTCAGCTATGATGATATAATACAAGTGAAGACTTGTGGGTCCGTCAAAAATAAAATTTACAAACAGCAGTCCGCCGACCCAGAAGCTTTGGGAATCCCTGCGGCCGAAGCTAGGTGATTTGGAAGTGTAGCGCTACTGTACTAGAATAAAATATTAAAGTTAATACAGGAGCCCAGGATCAAGGTAGGTGATTCCAATTTGCCAAAATAGCAAAATTGTATTTGTGTGGCATCAAATAATTTTGATGAGACTTGGATCCGCCATTATTTGGAGTTTGTTGCCTTCCTCGGGAAATCCCAAATACACTGGGAAACCCCCTGAACATCATGCGTTGAAATACTGTTAGCGTGTGACTAACATATTATTTGTAACGCAACAATCAGAAAGCCAGCTTTGTGAATAACTTCACCACGCTTGCAGTTTTAATTTTTTTCCGAGAGTGCTGTATGAACAACATATACAAGCACATGCTAAGGGTACCACAGAAAAGGGGGCGAGGTTTCGATCCTTTCATGAAACTGGTTGTGGATGTTGGAACGAAGCGCAGAATAGATGGGACCACTGCACCTGTTGGAATGGCGGTCGTTCGTGGAAATTCGATATTGATGTTGGAAGTATTGGAACGGATACAATGATTTTAAACTGAACTAATCGAAAACGACAAAAGAACCCGATACCCCAATCCATGACTTGTGCATAGAGTGCTATGGAACATTCAATCTATTTACCAAGCTTGTTTTTAGTAACAATTTTTTTTCACTGTGTTGTTTTTGCATTGAACTGGGCCTACAGCATCACCATTTTACGTCAGCGAGTGTTTTTTATTCCATGTTTTTGTAGGAAAATCACTGTTGTGTTACACATACATGTCTCACATTTTAATTTAAAAGGTAGAAGTTTATTGCATTAAATTATTTACTTCGATTTGCTGTTTTTGTTAAATTGCTTTCAAAGTACTGCCCGATTGTAAATCGCTTTTCTGTGTTTGTTTGTTTTTTTCCTTTTTGGTGGGCGGGCACGTACACTATACGCTTTTTAAAACTTTTTTTAAGTTATGGTCGTCTCCCAGGTATCTCTGCATTTTGTTTTGCCTCCTTACTTTTGGTATTGTTTATGTCAGAGAACCAAAATAAATGATTGGTGCTTAGCAAGGAACAGGTTGGGAGACAATAGTGACACTTTCAACAAATTTTAGAAAGGGGGCAAGGCTTGAAAAGTTTGAGAACCACTGAACTAGACATGACCCGTTGTGGGATAACAGTATCATTGTGCAGTAAGCAGTCACAAAAAGTTCGAGGTCATCAAAAAGTTCGCCAAATGAACTATTTGTAACAAAAATATTTTCATGCTTATCAGTACTACAAAGGCTTCGAAACTCATTAAAAGTTGAGGCATGAAAATTGATGTGTAGTGCAATTTGCTTTTTGTTCATACTTTTGCACCTTATATTCTGAGAACATAGGATATTTTTTAATCGTCGAAGAACTTAATATTTTGACCAATGGCTCAAATTACCACATGCTGAGATAGATCATTGTATTCTTGCTGTTATAACTGGCAACATTTTTTTTATGTTCAGTTTGTCCAAGCTGGGGATGTGGTGAAAATCATATTTATAGTTTTACAAACGCCTCAAAGAAATGGTAAACCAGAAACAAGTCACCCAATTATAAATATTTTTTCCGAGATTTTTTGAGGCTCAGTGTGTGTTTGACTTTTGGATCACAATAAATCTGAATATGTATGTAATAACGTCACTGCTATTAAGCAACAATGTTTTTTTTTCAAATCACACTTATATGTTTGTTCGGATGAAATAACCCAAATTTAGTCTTGTTGGCTTTAAGACATAATTTGGTTATCAACATCAAGCTGTTAACGTGGCCAGTCCTTGATTTACCACCGCGAATATATCAACAAGGTTTTCTCTGTAAAGAATAAATTCGATGTTGTCAACAAACATGTTCGATTCGTAGGATTGCACCCAGGTATATTATCAATTGTGTATGCAAAAAAGAATAATAGACTAAGAACAGATCCTTGCTCCATGACACAGATATCATTAGAGAATAAATAGTTATATGGCACAACTTGTGTTACAGACTTGGCGAGCACACTTATTAGTGAAACTGCACTGCTGAACTTTGCCGTTATTATGAAAAGTAATTTTCTGCGTATTTATGGACTCAAAAACAAAAAATCTTTCTATAGTATTTGTGTAAAAGAGATTACCTAGACTAGACCAATATATTGAATGCCATGTTGTGCTTGCTGTTATAAATCCGCTACAAATATTCTTTTTTCATCCAAAAACAAACATCTTCAAACAAACTTGGAACATTTTTATTAACTTCAACAAATCATTTCAATGGGAAAGGCTGTTATCTTAAATAACGACAAAACTCTAACATATTTTAACTAAAATACATTACTAAAACTAACAAATCAGTAAGTCTAAAAGTCAGATGGCGTTTACTTGATGTCACAAAGCAATGCCACGCCACGCATGATCCAATGTGTTGGTTTTTGTTGTGTCTTCAGATAGACGGCAGTAATGTATGTCAGATCAGTGCGGCATGGCTTCTTGTACACGGGGCATGGATACAATGCCGGATCTTTTGGTGCAGTGGAATTGACAGCAAACATATGAACAACCGGCAGAGGCACAAAAAGTACTTTGGGTTGAGATTCCATCAAACGACAGTTACGACGATCCCATGCGGCGCCGTCTAAGAACAATCCATGAATATAGACTCCTTCCTATAATCAAACAATAGGTTTACATTTAAGTGACGGAGCAGCAAAAACGTTATTTTAAACCAATAAAACTAATTCACGTAATCTCTGGTCAAAATAAATAACTGGCTAACTAATCCTATACTTGACATGGACCAGACGAGAGGCTGTTGTTTGCCATACGATTAAACTGTCTTATCGTTTTCCTCCTCCCGGTATAAATGTAAATCCAATCCTAATCCTAACTACATTGTTCAATCTTATCTGCTTATGCCGACAACAATTACTGATTACGAAATCATCAAGAACACAAACAACAAAATCAACGTGATAAAAAATACTATCAGACCAAAACAGGTTTAACATGACAACCATATGTTTAAAATGACAATACAGGTTAAAATGACAAAAACAAAATGACAAAACAGGTTTAACATGACAGACATATGTTCAAAATGACGATACTTTTCAGACATACAAATTTGGGAACAGCTAAACACATCGATCTGCAGATTAGTGAACAACCTTATGAGAAAGTGATCTTATCAAGTTGTCATATAATATCAGAACCTCAAAACCTAACCAATGATACATCACTGCAAAAGTGCCTCTTAGCACACAGCGCTGAGCTCCCTGTCTAATAAGACAACATTAATAATACTAGAATGGTTCAACCATATACTATAAACTGAGGTGGGTTGCTGACCCACCGCGATCTTATCACGATGTCGTATAGGATCGGAACCTCTAAGCTGCAGAGCCTAACCGACGATACATCGGTGCAAAAGTGCCTCCAACTTTTAGCACATACCGTCAACTCTCTGGCTGATAAGACAACCTTATCAATACGAGAACGATTAGTTCAACCATATACTATAAACCTGTGGTGGGCTGGTGACATCTTCTTTGAAGCTCTTCAACATGTCATTATGCAATGTAACAGAATCCAACGCCCAACCTTTGTGCATTCTCGTAACTTCCTGTCTCATGGCTGTAAGGAAACCTACAAGAAAACAAGTATCTCCACTATCAGTAGTGGTTACGATCAACTAACTCCCTTTATGACTTTGCGTTAAAGGTCGTCTACGTATAATGCAAGAATGCTGTAGCAGAAATTCACATCTGCATTGAGGACATTTATACTTCCCAATTCCCCCTGAGATCTGATACATTTTGTAGCTAGCTCGCAAGAGCTGTGAATGTGTCACCTACTTGAAAGACTTACGAGGTTAAAGTTTACCATACCTAACAATCAGACATCAAAAATAGAAAATGAATAGCAAACCTTGTGGGTTAAAGAATCCTGTCATCCAGAAACATATTGGTCTTCCCTCAAAAATCCATTTGGAGAGTTGAGTGTTTCTCTCAAGTAACTCTGTGAACCAGAACCCAATGGTGGACGATTCCCAAGAAACTTTACGCCATTGTGTTGGTACTTTTGCATCGAACATGTTGTCCAAAGCATCACGAAGGTTCTAAGTAACAAATTGAAATTATTGATATAAAATCCTGCCAAAAGTTGACTTGAATTTAATCAAATCATGCATCAACTGCATCAAACTGGAATTCAATAAGGAAAAATTTGATGCTGTCAGCAAGTTCATGGCTTGTGACCACGACTAAGCGTTTTAAGCCCACACATCTTCTTGGTTAAGCATTGTCTACCCAATTGCCACTCTGGACGAGGCTCGGACATGAGTCCAATGATTTAATCACTAGACCACAAGTGTAAACGCACTCAAAATATTTGAAACTTAAACTGCCAGATAGAATTCGGAATACTCTCTTACCTCGCTCATAATGATAGTTCCTTCAATGGCAAGTTTCAAATCAGTGAGTGTGGTTCGCACCAGCGTTATGACCTTCTGCATTCGGTCAATCTCTTGACGAAGGAAGATATTCAGGGAATTCAGAACCCCCATCTTCACTAGTCTTGCACGAACCTGGAAACAAAGAAAATCATTTTGAAATGTGCTATGAGCTTAACCAAATAGTAATCCAGATTAAATCGCAAAAATAAGAAAGTGGTGAAATGGTTTAATCCTATGTGATCCCTTCCATGGTACTATCTATTTATTGAAAGATTTTTGCAAAATTTTCAGGAATAGGAAAATATTCTAAACGGCATCAAGCTAAGCTAAAAGATTTGCATAAATTGTAACAAATAAACACATATTTATTTTCATAAAATGAAACATTGTCCGGATTGGTTTTCTATTTTTAGTTGAAATCACATCAAGCGCTTCCCAGTCTACCCATTAACTTTGAATGGTAGATATTTGGACAAAAATATTTCGATTTTCCCAATTAGAAATGTAATACCAAATACAATAAATTTAGCATGTATTTGAATAATTTATTTTGGGCATACCTGGCCATTCAAAACCCCTGTTACAAATTATTCATTCCACACACACTCACCTCATGGGCGACGTAATCCGGTGGTAATTTCATCAGCATATCATGAGCTTGTCTAAAGACAACAGACTCTCTCGTTTCCCCTGAACCTCCTCCTGAATCTTTCGGTTGAACGCTGAGTATGGTGTCCAATATACTGGTTGCAGTGTTGGTTTGGTATGTGATGTCTGCATTCATGTGAAGACCAAACACCATAGGAGTATCAGTGAGAGGAAGCTCCTCAATCGCATCCAAAACCTTTGTGCAAGGTGAGCAATAAAGTGAACAAGAATCATTGTATAGCAAGTGGTATTGTATTTTTATATAAGGAAGCCAAATGCCAGTATAAATCAGCGCCTCCAAGTCATGATAGGCAGCATCAGTCAGATCTTTGAACCAATGTCAACAATTTGGATAGGCCAATGGTGTGTTTATTTTTATAGGTTAAGAAGGTAAACGGACACTATATTATATTAGAGAATCTATGAACGACGGGACAGGCAGTTCAAACCCTGGGTGTGATATATTATAGAAAACGCTTGTACTGGGAAATCTGAAACTGTCTCAGTTAAAAGATTGACTTAAACTTGAGAATTTAACTTAACAAATATAACCATGATACGAATCCAATCCATTGCGGACATTGACAAAAAATGGGATAGCAAGAAACAAGCTCTTGAGTTAATCTCAAAGAGCTATAGTCCCATATAGCTGTGATACAGATGGTGTACAATGCCCCAATTGTTTCTCAAGATAGCATGAACAATACTTTAATCATATAAAGTCAGCAAACAAACCTCTTTAACAGTCTTGAATGGTGGAATGATATATCCGGTATAAAAACAAAATTTGTCTCCAAACATTTGTTCATGGAACCAAACTTGTGCAAATGTATTCAGGAGTCGTTTGTCATAATCATCAGTGACTCGTCCGCCATATTGGACCTCACCTAGGAGAAAATGTGTGATAATTAACTGCTATGAAAATATAATGATCAAAAACTAAGTATGATATTATTGCAAGGCAAATATAAATATCTACCGATTCACCTTGCATAAAAAAATTCACTCAATCTAAGGCTTTAAACAAGTACTAACTGATACACATGGAAGTACTTTGATGCGAGAAAGTGTGTGATAAATAAATAGCTTTGGGAGTAAGCCAAAGTATGGCATTGTGTTGCTGGGCATTTTCCATCTCCATAATGACACATATATTTGAAATACCACTTTATCGAGGCTTTAAGGCAGCGCAGCCTGATGTTTAGGAAGCAACGTGTCGAATTTGCATTTGGTTAACTTTTATTGCAAGGCTGATGCAATTGTCAGTTTGTTGATTTGCTACAGGGCTTCAGATGATTTTTAATTGGGTTTCAGTTCATACAGAGAGAAAAGCTGCCACTAATATTTGGAAAGCTAAAATGATTAATTAACATAACAGTATGTGTAGTATGATAGAGTAAACTGGGCCTATGAATAATGTATATTGCAAGGCTAAGGCAATTATCAGTCTGGTAGTTTTGCATTCATATAACTGTTTCAAGTTTTTATTGGGTTCCAATTTATACATCGCTTCAGAAAAGCACCCAATGGCGTTTCGAAAGCTATCTTGAATAAGCCAATGATGCACAGCCTACCTCCTTCATTCCATCCTAAATCTTTAACCATATGAAGGCCAAGTTATATAAACGAACTACAGGCTTCACTCCTGAAGGCACTGTTTTGTTAAGATTTAGCCAATTTATTAACAAAGATTTGCAGATGCACTGTGAACCCAACTGTCCCAAAGGCCACAATAAGTTGTAAAGAAAAACATTAGCGCTTGTTTGTTAACAGTTCAATAATCGAGAGGTGCGATGTGGTCTCTGCCCCAAACACTTACTCCAACAAAAAAAAAAGAGAAAAAGAGGCATAAAAGTTACCAACCAATCATGTATCGAACGGTGTTCCACTGTATTCCACGTTTCGGATCAAGATCATCCAAATGGTTCTGCAGGAATTGCACTGTGGCAAAATGATCAGATGTGTTGAACTCATATGGAATGTTCCAACCCAGAGGTCCAAACTTACGACGTTCCTGAAAAGCAAAAAAAGTTTTTTTCTCCCAATATTTATCACCGAATTGTAATTACATAAACAATCGCTATTCTTTTGGTGATGGTACTTGGAAATCTGATTACCCAGCATTGAATTGAATTCAGTGGGTGTGATATTGTTATAAAAGATGGGGGTGCAACAGGCGAGCCGCAGGTCACAACCCAGCCCTGCCGAACTATTCGATGTGGGGACAGATTTTTACTCATCAAACATAAAAACCTAATCCGACAGTTTAGTTTTAAGAGATTCTAATGGGTAAAATACTGACCTGTACAGATGTATGCAGGAAAGCAATGGCATAAAGCAAAGGTTTCCACTGTGGAAGATTGTTCACATCAAGTTGATCTTGTGATATGCTTGCAAATGTTCGCATCAGGCCAGCCTTCACTCCTTGGGGTGGTTCATTTGTAAACTGTGAAAAAAGTTGGAAAGCGTGTTAACAATTAATTGCACATGTGAACATAATGCAAGATCGGTGCTATGTAATGTTATATGACGATAAATGATGCAGTTTGTGTGATACTATTAGTGCCATGTGATGTTATTTGTTGTAATGTGGTGATACACGATGCAGTGTGATGTTATGAGACGCTAATGATGCTATTGTATGTCATGTGAAGATAAGTGATGCTGTTTGATGATATGTCATGATGAGTGATGCTGTTTGATGATATGTGACGCTATTTACAATTATGCAATGCTGTTTGATGTTAAGTGACGCTATTTACTATCATGCGATGCTGTTTGATGTTATGTCATGAGTGATGCTGTCTGATGATATGTGACGCTATTTACTATTACGCAATGCTGTTTGATGTTATGTTATTTCATGATGAGTGATTTTGCTTGATGTTATGTGACGCTATTTACTATTATGCGATGCTGTTTGATGTTATGTCATGATGAGTGATGCTATTCACTATTACGCAATGCTGTCTGATGTTATGTCATGATGAGTGATGGTGTTTGATGATATGTGACGCTATTTACTATTACGCAATGCTGTTTGATGTTATGTCATGATGAGTGATGGTGTTTGATGATATGTGACGCTATTTACTATTACGCAATGCTGTTTGATGTTATGTTATTTCATGATGAGTGATTTTGCTTGATGTTATGTGACGCTATTTACTATTATGCGATGCTGTTTGATGTTATGTCATGATGAGTGATGCTATTCACTATTACGCAATGCTGTCTGATGTTATGTCATGATGAGTGATGGTGTTTGATGATATGTGACGCTATTTACTATTACGCAATGCTGTTTGATGTTATGTCATGATGAGTGATGGTGTTTGATGATATGTGACGCTATTTACTATTACGCAATGCTGTTTGATGTTATGTCATGATGAGTGATGGTGTTTGATGATATGTGATGGTGAGTGATGCTGTCTGATGATATGTGACGCTATTTACAAAGGGCTCTTCGATGATTGGTGAACAAAAGTTGAGAAAAGACTGGCAGATGAAAAATATCTCCGTTTGACTAACTATGTCAGTGGTTCTTAAAGTATGGGTCGCGACCCAAACATGGGTCGCGGAAGGTTTAAAAATTGGTCGCGACAAGGTCGTCAATGCAAGGGCAATCTAAAAGGAGAAGGACGAATTTTCAGCTTTCCCAATGTTTCAATTTAGCTTCTAAACTCTGGTATTTAAAAATAATGAAATAAAAAATTTCATTCACGGAGAGAACTGTCTTGAGCTCATTGTTACATCACAATTCTGATATGCCAGTCACGTGTATTATTTTTATGGTATCGGTAACCATGCACGTCGCTTGTCGTTGTGTTGACCGCATGGAATGTCGTCTTAGTGGATTAAAATAACCAAAAATGGGTGTCTTTTTGGTAATGAAAATTGTAATAGACGACGCAATGAAAAAGCTCGCTTCTCGACATTAGATTATTCAATATCTAGAGAAAATGTGACTTCATCTCGAGGCACCATTTACCGCGAACGAAGCAGTGCGTGCACATGTGACGAGTAAAAAGTTGTAGGCCTATATTGCGAGAGATGCCGAAGGCCAGCTAGGATGTCGTGTTTGCGACGGACAGCTGACGCCTTTTCTGCTACAATTCGCGACAAGGCACTTGTGCGAGCGAGGATATTTGGCACTGACGGTTATCAAAACTAAGCTCGCAATCGCTTCGATACCCGTGACAACTTGCGTATTGCGTTAAGTAAAATAGAGCTGTGTATTGAAGATATAATGAAAAAGGAAATTTCAGTTTCATCAATCTCACTGAGTCAATGGACTGTTTCTAATAAATAGTTGTCTGTATTTGAGTCAAACTGTACTAACATTAAAAACACATTTTGCGTTTTTTAGGATTGGGTCGCGAGTATTCATAAAACTCAGATTTGGGTCGCGCTCGAAAAAGTTTAAGAACCACTGAACTATGTCATCGTGGATGCAACCAACTCCCATTGCTCAGGAAACAAGTCTCGGGCAACCCACTGATCTATTGTCTCTAGTTCCTGCATATTTTTATGGTTTATTAGCTTTGTACAGTTACTTCGTTGGATCGTCGCTAATGAAAAGATCATCTTATACAAATTCAAATTTATCATGCTGAGACGTGGTGACAATAAATTCCACACAATAGCGCCTACGAAACTGACCTGCTTTTTTATGCCAGACTCTATTGTGCCCATTTCTTTTGTTGCATACAATTTATGATTAACTACTCGAGTGTAAACAAAGAATTTCTACATATGTCGTTTATTGTTCACCTTCTTAGAACCTAATCCTTGTCGTGTCCCACCCAATGTTGGTTTTTGGGAAGGTCATGTCTGGAACAAATTTTTACGTATTTCGTACAGTCTATTGTAAACTCACAAAAATGCGATTTAAAACCTATTCCGATCCCTTCACATCAGAACCTGAGACATGAACGTGCCATAAACTGACTATTGTACATATCGTCGTGGTGACGTACCTCTTTGTCCTGTGTATTGTACAAGAGTGGTATTTGTTTATTTCATGTCTGTTTACCTACTATAACGCAGCAGTCCTAAACTGCAGTTATACTTGTTAGGGTGCATATCGCACATCTGTGTCTTAGGCCAAAAAGGTCTTAATAAACATGTATCCTGTCTCTTTTATATCGTTTAACTAATATGAGTGATGCTGTTTGATGATATGTGACGCTATTTACAATTATGCAATGCTGTTTGATGTTATGTAATGATGAGTGATGTTGTTTGATGATATGGGATGTTGTTTGATGATATGTGACGCTATTTATTATTATGCATTGCTGTTTGATGTTATGTGATGATGAGTGATGCTGATTGATGTTATGTCATGAGTGATGCTGTTTGATGTTATGTAATGAAGAGTGATGCTGTCTGATGATATGTGATCATAAATGATGTTGTGTGATTTTATACTTATTAGATGGTTATGAGATGGCACACATGTGATACTCGGTATTGTTGCTGACCCAAACTGAAACAGTAAGTGATTTGATATGGGCAAACGGATTGGAATAGCAGACAACGAAATTCAAATCTATTTATAACTTTTCATCAACTTTTACACAGAAGAATGAACACAACATTCATTCTGTGTCATCACAAAGCAGATTTTGCCCAATTTTGAATAAATCATCAATTCTAATCTACTTTACACAAAAATAACCTACCTTAATGCTAGACTGAAGCAAAGTGATAGGGAACTTAGGGTGTTCCTCAGCCGTGATCCAAACCCTGAATGCAGCATGAACATTCTCAGATGTCTGCACCGTCTCCAACAACTCATCCATAAAATCCAATCCAAGATGGCAGTTCTGTAGCAAAGCCCATCCACCAGTCTGCATCAGGGTGCTAACTAGACGCCGTGCATGGACTTCTTGGCCTGAATGAATGCAATGAATTAAACTCAATGTATAAATACGATCATAGCATTAGTTAAGGCTCAATAATATTGCAGAGACAGCCAGTTATCGTCCTAAAGCAGTAGAGGAGTGGTTGAGTAAGCATTTCACTTCAATAACATTTGGTGCCAACATAGTCAAGTCCAACACTCTAACTACAATTCCTATGAGATATGAGCATGATTTGGCTTGAGATGAATATGAAATGATTATCCTATAATATAGGCGTCTCATCAACTTTCTTCTCTCTCAAGGTAAACATCTACTTCAACTACTGACCTTGTCCCATAGAGATAGCTCTGACTTCAATATTTTTCTTTTTAGAAAGATCTGATATCTGGTTTGTAGGATCAGAGCCTTGCGAAAGCAGACAAACCATAGGGACTCTGATGGTGCTTTCCAAATGCATTTCTTCAAGGTTGAGAAGCACTGGGTCTGCATATCTAAAAAATGGTGAATCCCCTCTCCAATTTAAAAACGACACATCTCAGAAAATCTCAGAATGAAAAATCGAAATCAAACAAAAATTCAGTATCTGTTAATAGCATTAATCTCAGAAAATACTGGGGTTTTTGCGAGTCCACGCAAGATTCTTCATTATTTGACCGCTTTAAACCCAATCCAGGATGGCAATTGGTCTGGGTCTGCATACCTGGATGATATAATATCAGAGGGTTGAAGCTCATTCAACTTGTTATGTACACGGGTATGTCTATCATATTGGTAGAATGTTGTGTTACAAAAATACCTACATAATTCATCTTATGTATCATATAATGTTAATATAAATAGTACAAACTAGGAAAACATTATTTTACTATTTATTCATACGAGGAAAAAGCTATAAGATAGCTCAATTACATGATATCATCCGTTTAGCAGACTTATGGTTGCAACGAGTGTGTGATGACAGGTGTGCTTTTGATAAAATGTTTGAGAACAGATACCACTTCTGCAACTGGACATATGTACTGTAGTTTTGTTAGTATTTAAAATTAGATCAAATTTTTTATTAAAGATATTATGGTTCATTCAGAAACAACCTATAGTGCTTTATAATTATGTCTGAATGCGACATTTTCATCAAATCCCCAATCAAAGTATATTTTTCAACATTCAGTGGATGATAGAATGGCATACATGTTACCAAACCCAAAGTGTCAATGTTTTAAGTGAACCTTCAGCAAAGTTCAAATGAAAACACACACAAGTCTCACCTTTTCCCCATGGCATCACCAATATACTTCCTAGCTTGAGGCATGATACGATCTGGGCACCAACATCTTATGAGCATGAGTTTCCTGAAAGTATCAAGGGATGAAGAATAACCATCAGGAATCAATTCCTCCTCTGGTGCTTCAGAATCAAACCAGTTTTTCCATTGTTTCTCGTTGCGGCATATCTGTAATGAACATCCATGGATAAGTATGTTATAATTTGAAGACCGAAAACATAACAAATAAAAAAATACAAAATGGTGGCTTCCAACCTTTATTCAAGCAACTCAAATTAAAAAGAAAAATTTTGAAATCTCACGGCCCAAGAATATACTCAAATGCTAAACTGCATGTAGTGTCATATACACTATGCTCAACTACACTATGTCCACAAAATTAAATTACTAATACGAAACTTCATGTACGAATACAATTTTATTAAGCAACAATTCAATATTTAATACAAAATAATATATTCTCTAGAATCTGTAACTTTTATCTTTTTGTTGAAGAAACAAGTGACCCAAGAGAAAGTCTGGAAACACTGCTCGACCTATTAGGTTTTGAACCCTGGGTAAATTTATACCAAAAATTACCAGATGATCACCTTCCTACAAAGCAAAATTTGGATAATATCTCTTTGGAGGGTTTCATTGAGTAAACCTGTTTGGTTATGGAAATTCAGTTAATATATTTATTATAAAACTTGTCAAGACGATGATACCTGCCAAAAACATATTATTGGAAATCCTCTATTCAGTTCCTCCATTTAGAGGTAAGATCTGACCCGAATCCTAGAATAACACAACAACAAAAGCTCTGACATTTGTAAAGTACAGTACTCTAGTTTCAGTAAAAAAAGCCTCGCTCAAAGTCTGGGATTCCAACTTTAATTCCTAAAGAAATTTTTATATATCAACCCCACATTCGTTGTTTTAAAAGCCAATGAATTCTAGAAACTGTAGCTTCACCAATCTGTACCTGGTTCAAGATCTCTCTGAACTCTGGCAATTTCTGCAGCTGAACAAGATTCAGCCAAGTGATATCCAGAATCCATTTGCTTGGCTTAGGCTGAACTGCTTTCAAATCTAAAGCTGCCCCTCCCTTGATAAAACTCTGGAATTCATTGTGACGAATGTTGCCTGAGAATCACATAAACTTCTATGTGTATTTTAGTTGAGAAGAAATTAGATGTAATAACTATAAAGAAATCTCAGCATTTTGTCATATTAATAATAGCTCAGGTAAGACATGAAAATTCTTGCCCAATTAAGTACTCAAGATGCTAGACGTTCTTTAGGGGTAATCCACTCTGAGCATCTAATCAGAAAACAACTGAAAAAGTGTCTTCTTGACTGTATTGAAAGTACAAAATATTGTAAAGCTCACCTTTTCTAAGATCGATCTTGAGTGACATCAATAAAATGAAGAGTAGCTTGTGGGTTTCGTACAATCCTCTGCAGGTGTATCTGAATGAGGTTTGATGAGACTTTGGTCAGGCTTAGCTTATATAATAAGTTGTTAACTTCTTTATGCTATCACGGCAAATATGCAATCATTTGCGCAGGTTTCCTGCTGAAAGTTATCCAATTTTAAATAAATTCTGTTTTCCATATTTTCGGAAATAAATTACAACACATTCATAATAATAAATTGTCTTTGCAAATTTGAAACAAACTTCCCAGTATGTAGCTAGCTATTCAGGCCAACCAGACTTCTTTAAGCTTTTGCAAACATACAACGATTTGTGCAAACTGAAACACTCCCAAACTTTCCAATCTGGAACTAACTCTATTACTGACTCCAAGCTATAAACATGGCTATTCCTAATATACTGAGTCAACAAAATTCTGTTACCGAAACCTTTCATTTTACACATACATAGTTAATAAATGTTCCAAACTGCATCTCAAACAAATGCACATACAATTACTAAATAGCATATTTACTTACTTAAACACAGCATAGGAGAGATATTCAATGATATTGTGGATTCGTTTGGCAGGAATTGGTGACTTATCTGACTTGGCCATTGATTCGTCAAATATTCCAAGAAATTGTGACAATGCTGTCTGGTACATCAGGTTCACCATTGACATTTCCACTGTAATAGAGATGGCACAACTTGAAAGGTAACTGTATAAACCAGGGTGGTCCAAACCAAGGCCTGTGGGTCGCATATTAATTAATGTGTTTGCACAATAAAAGTGTATGTTTTGTATTGTACTGTTTATCTATTCTTGGCCCTATTGAGTCCCGCAACCAATGCAAAAATTATTTTGTGGCCCCCGGAGCCAACAACCTCGGACCACTCTGGTATAGGCATCTAAATAATGATGAATAATAAGCAGCCAGCAATATTTTAAAGATTCTAACATCGATTAAAACACCGAAAACTGATCCAATGTCAACCAAGGGCAACAAAAATTTCAACTCGTCATCCCACTCCCAGGGACACAAGTCCTAAAAGAAAATGAATAGGCGGTGTAAAAAATTCATTAACAACCAGATGAATCATACAACTAATGTAGGAAATCAACTAAGAACATCTTAACAGAGGTAAACTCATGAAGAAAATTAGGTTCGATGGCTAGGGATTGAACAACACTCCGAAAATCTATCGAATTACATGCGATTAAACCAGATACAATCACGAAACACCACATCTAAACATTAGCGGAGGTTTCGGAAAAGCTGTTTTGAGAAAGCATACATTTTTGATTCCCAAACTTTTTATTGAAATACTAAGCCTGAGGTTTTGGAAAGCATACATTTTTGATTCCCAAACTTTTTATTGAAATACTAAGCCTGAGGTTTTGGAAAGCATACATTTTTGATTCCCAAACTTTTTATTGAAATACTAAGCCTGAGGTTTTGGAAAGCATACATTTTTGATTCCCAAACTTTTTATTGAAATACTAAGCCTGAGGTTTTGGAAAGCATACATTTTTGATTCCCAAACTTTTTATTGAAATACTAAGCCTGAGGTTTTGGAAAGCATACATTTTTGATTCCCAAACTTTTTATTGAAATACTAATTTTGCTTCAGGAAATGATTAGATACCAGCATATAGAGCACCTATATATATTTTCAATAAATTTAATTAATTTTTTTTTAAACCCTTTTTTTTGTCTTAAACCATACAAATGAGAACACAACACCTATCTTCAAACTATGCTTATTGAATGCCCAATCAATAATATTCATATGAATACCCAACCTACCTATCAAGAAATACAAAATCGATCCTCTAACAGCCACAGGCCTGAATTCCTCTCTTGCTATATTGATTTTCTGTTCAGTATCTGCTGCAATTGCCAACTTCTCACTGACCTCAGCCGCCATCTCCTTGGTGGTGCCAAGCATTGTGATCAGTGATTCGTCATCAACAAGAGATCCCTGGCAAAGGTGAAATGACAATTTAGAACAGGGGTGGCCAACCTATGGCGCATGCGCCAGACGTGGCGCATTGCATGATTAGAGGTGGCGCATTGCATCTTTAACCCTTTTCATGCCAAAATTGTTAATTGCACTTGGCTTCTCCACGCCAAGCCGTTTTTTTTTGCGATTTACATGGTGACTTTTGATTGTACCTAAAACCTATTCTTCTTACTCCACGTCGCCCACTTACGGCTTGTTGGAATTAGAAACAACAGGCGATTATCGACGTTAGCTTTTGGATGGACTTTATGACATTCATTCTAGACTTTTAGCAAAAATTAGTAAAATTTACTATTTTTTCCCTACTGAAGTAAAAAGTTCAGAACTTCTGGAAAAATAGAAAATCGTCATTTATCAGCTTGAAACATGGATTTTCCATTGCCCAGACTTCCCAAATATCTCCCAATAACCATTGAACAACCTTTTTTCAACCAACCAACAAATTTCTTATAAATCAACCCACAACATGCTGAAAATGACCCCTAAATACCACCTTTTCCATCCAAATTTCAAATGACCGTTGTCAACAAAAGCGAAGCGTAAAATCGCTTGCTGTGACGCAAGTACTAATCTCGAAGAAGCCCCTGGAGTAAAATCACGCGACGCTAGGCCAAACAGCTGATTAGCAAAGGCCAATTAGAATCGAGGGTAGAGTGGAGTAGAGATTGATACTAAGGGCCTGTTGTCACAATATTACGCCTAACTTTACTTCTTAATCGTACCTCACATAAAAGAACACCGTGAATGTGCTGCTGGTAATGGCAATTTGGCAATATACACAGAAAAAATCAAGTTATTGCAAGAGTTATTTGAAAGTCGTTTTCATGATATTTCAAAAGAAGAAGACTCTATACTTGCTTTTATAAACCCATTTTCACTTAGTGAACTAACCATAATGAAGTTGCCAAGCAATATACAATTGGAACTAATTGACTTGAAAACTCATCCATCATTGAAAATTCAATTTGATGAGCTTTCTTCAGTCCCAAGTGCATCTGACATGATCAAGTTCTGGCAATCGTTACCCCGTGAAAATTTTCCAGAACTGAGAAAATTTGTCCAGGGTTTTATATGTCATTTCGGAACGACATATAGATGTGAACAAACATTTTCTGCCATGAAACTAATTAAAATCAAAGCGAGGTCAAGACTTACAGATTTAAATTTGAAGAATGCACTGCTCCTCTCAGTAACAAACTTAACTCCAAGAATGAAAAAACTGGCGAAAGTAAAACAGCAGCAAAAGTCTCATAAAGGCGGTACTTAAAATTGATCAGTTTTATTCATTATACTTCCTTGCTTAATTTCTATTCATGTGAAGTTGTAAATTGTAAAAACTACATATACGTGTGTATATATGTGTGTGTATCATAGATTTATATAATTTCAACAAGAAGCGGACATTAGGCGTGGGAATACAAGAGATTTACGGCGCATCTGAAACATTATGTTTAAAACGTGGCGCATGGTATGTGAAAGGTTGGCCACCCCTGATTTAGAAGAATCCCGCTTAGCAGTCAATTATTTGATCGACTTAGAGTTGCTTCTTCTGAGTGTGGAAAAAGTGTGGGTCAATTAAACTAATCAATCCAGAAAGTGCCAGTGAAAATTTGAGTGCGATTCTATTTCTACGACTTCATCTTGCTGTTCTAACCCATGGAACAATGCAGCAGAAGAAGCAACTTGTTTGAATGATACTATTCTACTATTCAGTTACGCTTCGGAGGTTTTTGGCTGTAGAGAAATCAGAGTGGTACTAATGCGGACCTAAACCAGCCAGATGTTTATGAAGATCGCATCCGTGAATTTCATTTTGAAGCTGAATAAATCCCTCCAACTCCACCTTTCCAATTCATTGCCTCCTCACAGATCAGTGGTCATCGTACTGGGCCTTGTTCAAAGTAAATAACAATTTTGTCAGCTGTGATAACCCAACTAACCTTTGTGCTAGTCAACTTATACAAGAGATTATCTTCCAACTCCTTCATCTTCCTCTTATAATGCGTGACTTCCTCCATCAGCTTCACTTTCTCTGCTTCCAATTCTTGCTTCTCTGTCAGGATGACTCGACCTAGAAGCTGGTCCTCAAGACCCTGAGTGGAAATGAAAAAAACTTACTAACGGCAAATGAGGCAAAAGTTACGTTAGATAATGAAATATTTGGGTTCTCATCTAGCTTACCAATAGTTTTGGGCAACGATAGTTTGATTATTTTTCTTACACAACAGTAACTTATTATCTAGAAGCTCATCTAGAGAGGGGGTGAAAAAGGTCCCATAAGAAACGCTGCGTTGTGTTTCAAACTTGTCTCCCTGAACCCTATTGCCAACATCCATAAATGCAGAATAGTCAGAAGCCTGATTCACTTTTCACTGGCTAGTTCTTTCACTCGACCAGGGATTGTAACCATACAAGAGGTCATAATGCACCGAATAACTAAGTTTTCCCCTTCTCTAGATTATCGCAGACAATAAAACATAAAAGTTATATCTGAAACAGATAGATCCTGACATATTCCAGTAAGGGCCAGAAGCTGATTGCATTGTTTCAAGTGGAGGCTCCAGAAAAAGAAGTAATCACACCTGCATTGTGACAGTGAAGTCAATGATGGATGTCTTTGCACTGACTTCAGGAGTGTAGGATGGGTTGGGGAGTTTGGTCGTGACGTAGAGCTTGAATCCATTCATAACATCTACTTCCTTGTCACCTACTTTCACCTGTAATGGACGTGAGAAAATATTTAGTTTGTGAAGTCAAAGTTAAAAATATTTGACAAAAGTCTTTTCAATTTATTCAAAAAAATTTATTATTGTTATCACAGCAATGAAGAACACAAACACTAACTCAGACTTCTTACTTTGTAGCTCGCAATTTTTATACAGTTCACCTAGTATCCATTATATGCTAGAATCCTGCTTTTCTTATTCTGTACTCACAAAAGTATTACTGCCAAGCATTTACGAGCAACAAATAGCTAAAATATATAAGTAATAATATATACATATATAAACAATGTACGGTCGGTAATATATGTAAGTTGAAATTTAACACTAACTATGTGAAAAGGTGATATATACCTTGTATGTACTTCCAGCTTTGATAAAATTCTTCTCCAATACATTATCAAGTGCAGGGTCTAATTCCTCATTGATGTTTTCAATTAGAAGAGGCCTATGGAAGAAAAGTGTAATTTGATTCCTGAACATTGGAGGCAGATATGAATGAAGGCATTTTCTAAGGGTTAACTTGGGGGTAGGATGTCTGTGATCGAAGAATTTACAGATTTTTGGACACGATGGTTTTGATAAATTGTCCATGTTTATATTCTTCCCATATTACGAAAAAATCACCATTCTCTTTACCTACTGGACCAATTGCTTGTGATGTTATGATCTTTGTAATATCTAAGCTTTTTATGATAGTAACCGAGCTGCTGGGAGTGATTGGATATAGATGACAGATTATACTCAGCCAGCAATTGGGAATCAGTGGTCTGAGATGCCTTTATTGTTTTTTCAAGAGATTTTGCTCAAAGCAAGGCGTATTCACTCATAAGTGTTAGGGATTGAGGTGAGATTTATGAAGTTCAAGTCAATACCATCGAGAATACAGTCGTGATATTATTATGTTAGCAACGGACATTGAATAGAAGGCGACTGAAACTGCTGAAAAATTTAGACAAGCTTTGCCATTTGTGTTTGAAGCGATAATGTCATGCATAGACCAACCTTCCCTGAGATAAAGCATCTTCCAAGTGAGTCCTGAAATATTTATGATTGAGAGCTGTGATGATCAGTTGCGCATCTTTCTCTCTGTTCTTGATCCATGTCTTGCCTAAAACATAAAAGAGATGGGAACTTTGTGCCAATGGGAAACAAACAAAAGCAACTGTACAGACTGGGTAACAACAGCATGGCCTCATAGCTAGGGCTGTCCAAGCGAACCAAACATTCGAAATCGAATCGAATCGCAAATTATTCGAATCGCTAAAATTAGGTACCGGTACATAAAGCGGAAACCACCTTCGCGGGATGTTTTCCATCCGGCAAGCGGCGGCGCTCTGAGCTCAGACCACTCTCGCTCCCGGCTTAATTGGTTTCCCGATATTTCTATTTCTCTCGCCTTCATTTTGTGATAAACATGTCATTACTAGTCATCAAATAATATTGTCATCAAACTAGCTTGGAATTTTTAAATGCAATTTTGAACTTGAGCAACAGTGTTATCTATATTGATGGTTGTTATTATTTTGCTGAAATTTACACAAAAAAACATAAGACTAGTGAATAGGAATAAAATAGCATCTACAGGCTTTACATGTCCTATTAAAACTGAATCCATCAAAATTGAGATTGCAATTTTTGAATAGTGCAATTTTTACACTTAACACTCAACAGTTTTCGAGACCCAAATTTTGGAGTTCTCCAATTTTTTTGACCAGTTCATACAAGCGTGTGATCTACTTTCATAAATTTGAAAACATTGTATTGCAAAATACCGGCAGTAAGTAAGATGTAACTGCACATACGTTACCACAACATCGAAGGGCAGGCGTTTATTGTATAATAGAGACAGATTCAATATTGCGCAATAATATTCGATTATTCGGTTCGATTCGGCAAAAATATTCGATTCGAACCAAAAAATATTCGATTTTGGACAGTCCCACTCATAGCCATATACCCCCCAAAAGATTGAGAATAGCCACGATGATATAAATATATTTGAAGGGTCAGTTGTGTGTTGTAACTTTTCAACCAGTACCCTTCCTGCTTTTTACTACGAGGCTAGGGACCCTGCCTTAGCAAACTTGTATGGTCTTAGCATGACAGCGGGGCGCATGCAACTTTACTAGCATTACTCTATACAAGCCTTTCTCAAGCTTTTTCCCTAGGAACACCTACACCTTTTATCTCGCTTCGTGGAACACCAAGAAATTAGACGGTAAAATTTATAATAAAAAATTGTGTAATGGATTTACTTTGTGCATCAACTTGCACAACTGGCTTATCAAGACATCTTTAAAGGTTTCCAGTTTTGAGCCACAATCCATTGAGAAATTTAGCATATGGTAAAATTGAAAAGTTCACTGTAAACTTGACAATTAAAAAGTTAGGCTGACGGTTAATAATATTGAATGGTTGACAAAAAACGCCATGCTTTCCAGATTAGCATGAGGCCTGTCAGCCTGTTTAAATAGAAAGACCTGTCCGCCTGTTTGTCGCCAGTTAGGAGACAAAATTAATACCAATTTAATTGAAGAAGCTCGCAAAACAGCAATGTTCCGCGGAACACAGTTTAAAAAACGACGCTCTACACAATTGTTTGATCAAATGATTTTGCTTCAAGCAAACTGGTATAAAAGGATGTGAAAAATTGCTTGTCTATAAATGAACATGAGCCAGTGGGGCTTACCTTGTCCCTGTGGATCGATCAGTAGAGGATACCTGGTAGCTTTGGTCACAATAATTCCGTTTTGTACTGATAAGTCATCGCTTGGTAATCCTTGCAATGCCCATTCACCTGAATAAAAACAGAATTATGTGTCAGTTTTTTGCTACTTTGAGGCCTGGTTTTGTTTGATATATATTAACTTAGGATTGAATAACAGCCAAGTACAGATTCATTCTCATGAAACATATGAGAAGAGTTACAGATTATAAATCACTCAATGCATCTTTCTTGTCGCCCTAGAGATAAATATTTAAAATATCATCCCATCCTAACATGGTACAGGGGCAATACATAATACCGACCTATAGTAGGAGCATCAATGAGCATAGCAATCAAGTTCAGATCAGATGCAAACGGAATCCTACGAGCGATGAGTTCATTCTCCCATGTCTCTTTCAATAGGAGATTCCTGAATGATTAAGAATAAAGAGATTGGGATGAAACTTGCACTTTGTTAATTAGAATAATGATAGCCAAAGCCAGGGTGGCCCTTAATCCAATTAGCCTTTCTGGGAAAATTGAGTAAACTCTCATGAAAAACTGTTGTCAGAGAATCGCTGAAAAAACAAATTTCAAGCTACCGTTCCTTCATAGTTTTTATGGACCTATTAAATTTGCCATGATTTATAAGCTAAGTCACAGAGGAGACAAATTAGCAAACAAAACACAAGCTCTAACACAAGACAACCCAGATTAAATAAACTTCCAACAAACCTGAATTCCTGATTGAAAGGTCCACAATAAGACAAGAATCCAGTTGCCAGCAAAACGTTACCCACAAGCTCCAAGATCTGGGCTTCGAACATCTTACTCTGCTCTGTCCAACGTACTTTCTCTCCCCCAAGACCTGGAGAAAGCAAAGAAATTTAATTTTTCTAAAGCCTTGTGTAGAGGTTTACTAACAAGGGAATCATCATCACCATGTAGACTTCTCAGCCTCGCTCGAAGCCAAAATCCCATTATTTAGCCATTGGTGAATACACACAAAGATGCACTCATAGGGGTGAAATCCAGTTCTGAAATTTCTAATTGCCAAGTTAGACCATAACAGCTAGCGGGTCCGGTTAAGCCATTCACACGAACATGCGGTCTAAGCGGTCACGGACATCCGATTGATTGACATTGAAATGCTCTAAAATTGCTCCATACCTAGTTATAATAATATAAGGATGAGGCAATTTTTGAGTGATTAGCACATCGGCACGAATCCATACTATATGAATAAACATCATTACTACATTGCTGGATTTTGCGGTTTCTAATCATTGTGCCAGTACTTAATGTTATGTGAAGTTTGGTGGCGACTCATTACAATTTAATGCAGGTTCTGTAGATCTGAAATTTGATTTGACGACTTTCAAACCCTAAAAATAAATATAAAACCTTGTACCATCCTTCTAAAGTCAAGTCAGACAAACCTTCAATAAGCTGGGTGGCTGCTATCATTCTTCTCCTGCAGGATTCAGCGTCATCCAACAGTTCCTGCTTCTCTTTCATTGCCGCATCAAACTTGGCCTGGACTTCATCCAGTTCCTTCTGCTTTTCATCAAGCTGGGATTGTGCGCTGTGGGGAAATATAAATTTGGTAAAGGATTGAAAGCCATGAAACTTTTTCATAATAAAAATGGTGTGCACTCGCTCAGAAGTAAATGTAACTCATCTCTGGGAAAAGTTGAGACGATGCACAGAAAATCCAAAAGCTACTGGAAAGTATGAAGAATTATGGTGGAAATTGTCCAAGTGTTATTGAAATACGATTGAGACTTGAAGCAGTTTAGGTCAAAACAATCAAGAAACAGCTATGGGACAGCAAATTCCACATGACTTCTTAAAAAAACTTTTGACATAGGCTCGGCGATGTGGCGTACCGTGCTAAGCGTTCGGATACATCCCATCTCTATGTGCGAGAGGATTGCTGGACTCCTCACAGCTGCAGGGTAGTTCACGTAACCGCTGGTCGATTACGGCTTCCTCCATCATCAAGTCCATGCTTTCCAATAAATAATAGAAATCCTATCCGTAGTTTTTTGTGTCTGGTTGGTACACTGACACAGTAAATAGACGAGACTTCACACCCGAAAGGAATCTATTGGGGGCCCAGTAAAATCTTATTTAACATTAACTTACGTTAAAACAAGATATTGATTGAAAGATTTGGAACCAGTACTGAGACCCACCATTAATTAAATAGAGCCAAGATTCGATTTTTTGTGTGGGAATATGCAGGGCACATTAACAGTATTGTCAATTTTCTATAATATATCTATTATTAAATTGTACTTCATTTTTATTTCAGTTTCTGAGGGTCGCAAATTTGGCTGTGCCGAGTGGGTCACGATGAGAAAAGTTTGATGAACACTGGTCTAAGTGACTCACACAGATAAATCTCTCATAGCAATCCCAAGTTTGATCTCAGACTTTGCCAGGTTTGCCTTCAAAGGCAAGACTTCCTTGTTGATTCCATAGAAGGAAACCATAGCTTTGGTCCATGATAGAAGTCCGGCAACATTGCCGCAGACCTAGGAGAAAGCTTAATTGGATAAGCAAGCATGCAAGGAATAACAGAACGTGCATGAAAAATATACTGTATAGCAGGGGTTCTCAAACTTTTGGTGTTGCGGAGCCCTTGAAAAGGTTGACTATTATTCACGGAGCCCCAAACTAAATGTTAAAATTGTTACTTTCCGATTAATATTCCTGAGTAAGTAAGTTGAAAGTACTTCACTTAATTTGAATGCTAAACCTTTTTAATAGGGTTAATACAAGTCGTAAATAAATCTAAATTTTCTAAAATAAATTATATATACTAAAGTTGTAAATTTCACACTTGACAAACATAGTAATAAATTAGGGGTCGAATCTTTTGACATTTTTGGAAGACTTAAAAGGCCGCTAATAACGTGCGCGATAACATTTTGTTACAATCGCCGATCGTTTTCGTCAGCATGGCGTGTTTTTAAACCTTAAACATCTTTACACCGGTGTTTATTCTCCTTAATCAAAAATTTCACTCGGCATATACATGTTTTGTTCCACAATGACGACGATAATTTCTTTTTTGTTCTCGTGGGGAATTATGAGTTCAATGTAAAAAACATGTTACTATATTATAGTCATCGGTGACGAAATGCTAAAAATAATAATTATTAAAGAGGCAAATCTGCAACTCAAATGTCGTGCTTGAAAAGCAGCATTCTAAAATATTGAAACTAAAACTTAAAATGGAGGATCACGCTATAAGTTTGGTTTCAGCAGATTCACGTCAGATTAAGAACGTAACTGCGAAATCGAAACACAGTCAATTGTGCGCGCGATGTACCTTTATTTATTCTGAAACTACCGACGGAGCCGCATGCAATAAAATAAATTTCAATCGTTCGTATTTTGCCCAGACCTTGTGATTTTTTAAACGGCGATATCTTGCTTAAAATAATCTTGAGTGCGAAAGAACAAATCAAGTTTGACAAATCCCAAGATCGCAAAAATACAACTCCATTTTATTTATAGTTGGCAGTTTATCACGTATTTTATCTTATTTTAGAATAGTATTCTTTCATTTTAGTAATCTCGAATCAAACTTGAGTAACGATGAGCACAATTAAATTATAACGACAAGACACTTTAAATGCACGGCTTTAAGCAACAGAAATCTTGTTATCCGTTTTTTTAAATCGCGAAGAATGTTGCGCGGAAATTTCCAATTCCAATTTTGAACCCCATCCCTCTTAAGTATCCTGGCTGCGCTCCTGCTTATAAATAATGTCATTTTTTAATTCCGCCTCTTCGCCATATTCCAGGGGCTATATATGGTTGTCAAATTTTATCAAAGCTGTTATTGCTTCTTTGAACAGTTACAAAATTAGCCAAGTCAGTATTTTAAAAAGTTATTGAATAGCTCGCGGAGCCCCTGGGTTTCTCTCGCGGAGCCCTGGGGCTTCGTACGGAGCACTTTGAGAACCTATGCAGTATAGGACTAGCTTCCCAAAATGGGGGTCGTGACCCCGCAAAGGGGAGATCACGAATTTTAGGGTTGCAAAGAGTACACTGATTTCACACAAAGTAATATATCTATTGAACATTTTTTTAGATTTCTGATTCGAAACAGAATTGTTAAATCTAGTGCAAACGTAAATATCACAATTTTGAGAGAATAGGATCAGAGAAGCGACACGCTTGCATAACAATGCCAACTTAACAGGGGTCGCAAAATTAATACATTGGAAGAGAAGTTTGGAAAGCATTGGTATAGAAGATTATTTGCCTAACACTGTGAATACAAGTGCACGGCAACTACCAAAGACCTGTATACAGAACTTCAAAATTATCGAGATCTGGTCTATTTAGAAAATATATTCCGCAGCATCCAAGTATATTATACTGCCTCTCACTTTGAAGAGAGATAAAACACCTCCTAAAAGTATACATGAGTCATTAAAAGAGAAACCTTTAAATATCTTAAGTTGACGAAGTCAATGCTACACAATATAGAATAAGATATAGTATGAATCGAATACTCAAAAGGGTTGGATTGGGACAGTGGTCGAGTTCCCAATATAAATCTATCTGAAATTTTTGACTGTTCCAACATAATTATCTTGATGCCAAATAAACCAAAGCATGGAGGTCAAGTGTAAGATCTAGGCCAGTGTTTCCCAACCCGAGTCCGCGGTCTCAAATGAGTCCGCAGAGCGTTTAAATGAGTCCGCAACGAGACAGAAATTCACTGCGAGCCGCAAACGTTTTTGCGAAACTTAATTAACTATTAGCCAAGTTAGGATTTGCATTAGAATTTACAAAAAACCCCATAAAAAGTCAGTTTATTCACATGACATTAATTGCGTCAATAATTACTGGTTACTGAGTAGGGCTGGGCATATATTCGAATATTCGACTATTAGAATAGCACATTTACTAATCCAAAATTTGGTAACACCTGACGCGACAGGTCACTTGCGAGTCGCCTAATCAAACGATTGGATTTCACAACTCACTAGTGGATTTCCGACGAAAACAAGTCTGTACACGCTGCGATAGATTCGTAATAGACAGGCTTACCATACGTCCCGCTTTAGGCGTGACAGTCCCGCTTTCCAGCATATTGTCCCGCCGTCCCGACAAGTCAGCCAAAAGTCCCGCCTTGGCGTTCAGCCATTCAGCATAATACACGAACATGTTCTCGTTGCTGTGTAGCGCAACGCTAGCCTACTTACTGAAGGTGAATGCGTTATTCTGTTTTTTTGTTATTTCCCGCTAACATTGTTAGCGAACGTATCACATGTAAAATCGATTCTAATTGGTCCTGTTCGGACGTTCACGTAACATTGAACAACGTTTTTTTGAGGGTGTTATCTACATTATTACTACATTTATTCCTTTTTCTGTAATCAAAAATCAAAATTCGGATCATTTCTATCGTTAGCGTATATTCCTTTCTATTTTTCGAACTGAACCCGATATTTAGACAGAGAATATGCGCATGAACTCTCGATGGCAATATAGTCAATAAAGACAGCCGGGATGGCTTCAAATGTAGGCCTATGTAGTAAAATCGGAAACTGTAAAGTTACAGGATCACAGCTAAGGGGTCGTGTCTTTGGAGGCGTCCCACTTTGAAGTCAAAAAAATATAGTAACCCTAGTAATAAATGTTTCTCGCGAGTTTGAACAACGAGAAATAAATTAATTTTCTGGTAGGTGTAAATGGGGGCAACCCAAATTTTCTTAATTGAAAATCAGTCCGCGACCGATTAAAAACGCTTTTTTAGACATTGCAAATCGCAAAAATTCAGGATGCTACCGTAGTATACGTACCAGGGCATTTACCTTTAGGATTCTCTGCTTTACTGCTTCCACATTAGTAATGTCGCACAGTGGGTACGCGCAGTAGTAATGTCGAATTCACAAAAATACGAATCATATAATCGGGCACTTTACCATGCATTTTTGCGTCCACGGATTGTCATGGTATTTTCTGAGTAGTATTGCTCTTATTTCGTCAACACAACCGCAGATTAAAAGAATCACACATGTGGATGGATTGAATATTTTATGCAACAGAAAAAATCATTGAAAAGTCGGCTATTTCAACGAGTGACGTATACGCGACGATTACTTCAGAAGTTCAAGGCGATGAATATGTATTTTCGATTTACTAATATATATACCGTACTTTAAATATATTTTTAATAAATACTAAATTAAGTTGTACATTCTGGAAATTTATAGCAGATAGTATGATTTTTTCTAACAGCGATAACAAATTCCCAAGATCGCAAAAAATATGTATCAAAGCTGAATATAATCAGGCAATATATTCTCTCATTATTATGTTCGCAGATGGCAGTGGAATTTTAAAAAAGTAATGCTTTCATCTTGTTGTAAGTCGACGCAACCGCGAGTTACCATAATGAACACAATTAAATTAAAATAGAAAGACATTTTAAATTATCGTCGTTGTCATGGATTGAATATTGTGCGACAGAAAAGTCCATTGTACACTAAAAAAGTTGGCTCTTTTAACGAAGGCGTAATTGCGACGAATTTCGGATTTTGAAATTCGTTAAATTTCTGTTGTGTTTGGTTTTATTGCTTCTTTACACACAGTACGGTTGCAATAAACGCACCTTGAGTCCGCAAAGGTTTTCGCCGCGGTAAGAAAATAGTCCGCGACCAAAAAAGGTTGGGAAACGCTGATCTAGGCACACAACTACGCAATGAGATAATATTGATTGGTGTGAGGCTGGAAACGCTTCAAAACAGCACTGCCAGGGAAACAGCTAGGCGGAAGAGAATTCTGAAATATTACACAAAAAACTCCAAGATGACAATATCAAAAAAGCTTCACTATATATGGATGAAAACTCAAACCTTTTTGGCAGTTTCCAAGGTATAATCTTCGCTTCTGAAGTAAACTGACAGCAATTCCACTGTCTCTTCATTGATGGTGTCCTTGTCAAAGTTTTGCAAAGATCCGAGGAAACCACTCTGAGCCATGAGCTATAGGAATGCGTATCAGTAGGTAAATACAAACAGTCAACATAAACAAGATTGCTAAGCATTAGGAATTGCACCTCTGATTACAACTTCATCGGTTCATAAGCTCTGGAGGAGATAATTATGTGTGAAAAGAATGCTAGACTCCTCTCAGCCGTAGGGTGGTTCACATAACTGTGGGTCCGTTATGGTTTACTCAATCATCAATTCCATGCATCTGAAACAAATAACTGGCCAACTAATCCTTGACATGGACTGGTAACTGACAAAAGGCTGTGGTTCACCATATGATTGAATTGTTTCATTGGCTTTCCTCCTCTCTCTTGGGATGAATATGAAAATATTATCTTTATTCATAAAAAGCACAGTAGGCAATGAATATGTGCAAGAGAGTCAGTGTGGTGTGTTCAGTGGTTATATCACTAAAGCTGACTTTGACTTTGTTTTTACGATGACTGTTGCTTTATTTTGGTTTATAAAAAAATCTTTCTCTCTCTCTTATAATGTTGCACAAGATGCAATAGCCACCACAAACTTGTGTGCATCTGTTGTACATATGCTTCGCCTGAGCCTTACAAATATACTTAGTGCTAAAGCACAATGTAAAATACCACTGACACTGCTGAGATTAGTCCTACAGCTCTGTGTGAGCATTACCATGTAGTTCAAAAATGATATTATGTGTGTATGCTTATCTGCCTCAAAAATTTAACAGGGTCCGCATAATAAATGTATAAAAGTATTCGACGATCATGACTTACTTTGAGAGCATCAGCCCATGATGGCTTTAATGATGGTTTGTCAGGATCCATTTCACAAGCACCGATCTTACGTTGGAAGAGAAGTAACGCACAATCCATGATCCTCATAATCAGATGGGGAGGTTTTGCAAGCTTACGGACTGTAGCGATGTCTGCTGCTTTGATAGTCTGAAATGAGAGAGGTTCAGATAGTTTGATAGGATTTACATATTTATCCCGAGAGAGAGGAATGACGATAAGCCGGCTTAACTATATGGCGAACCATGACTTCTCGTCCGGTTACCATTCCATGTCAGGTATGGGATTCGTTAGGTATTTTCGAAAGTATGGACTCTGATGGTGGATGGTTTATCACTGGCTATATTTTTGTATATGAACTGTGAACAAAGTACTATAATTTGTCAGCTTTCAAACCGTAACGATGAAAAGAATGAGGGTTGAACAGTCCGAATCCAGACCTTTTGAGTATTCGATTTGGACTGGAACTATTTCGGATCATTGTCCCCACTTTGGATATGTGAAGGTTTCCTTTTATTGAATGACCTTTGTAGTTCCAAAGGTTATTTTATAATTTGCTCACATCTGCACCTGACAAATAATCATTAGCCGGCCGAGGAAGGGAGCATTGAGGAATGTCAAAATATAATTTCTGTGAAAAGTCTCGTTGAGATCTTCAGTAAAAATAATTGAGTAGCCCTGGCATACAGTATTGAGTATATAAAGAGTCGAGTAGGTTTTGTCTCTCATAACATTATCCCATCAACGCACATTCAAAGCATCCTCAGCTTCCTTCAATGCAGGCTTAGCGGCTTCCAACTTTGCTTCTGCAATCACTTTTTCCTTCTCAATACTGTCTACAATAGACTGAGCCTTCTCTTTCACAATCAACACTGCATTCTTGACTTTCTCTGCTGCCTGTGCTGATACTGTCACTTCAGCAAGGACCTGTGTAAAACAAACAATGTTTGCATGGAATGCTGATATAGAGAGTAATGCTCAAACATATGGACACGAAAGGCCGAAATTAAGTAACACGGATATGTAATCTGCCACAGTTGACTACAGCAGACTTCACGACTAACATGAAAGTGGAACAACCGCAAGGTGCGCAGTTTTTGATGAAGTCATTGCACATAGAGAACAAATCCAACAGAGCCTTCTAGCAAAAAAAAACAATCTTTCATGAAAAATTTCAAAGCAATTGGTTCAGTAGTAGGACTGGGCATTTTCAATACCTGATGATTTCAGAATCGAATCTAATACTTGGGAGATATGAATCCTTCAGACACATAAAGTACTGAAAACATAGAATGCATCACTCAAACAGATTGTCGAGCACTCACACACAATAAGAAACACGTTTTTATATATATAACTCACTACAGAAAAGAGTCATGTCACTACATGTCAGAATAGCGTTGAAAAAATATGGCATCAATAAAAATTATGAAAAATTTACCTCGGCCATTGGCGGAAAAAAGATGGCGGCGATTCGCTCTGCCTAGCCATATTTAGTAGTTAATGAGAAAATCAATTTTTTCTCAACAACAAGAAGTAAAATAACACTGAGAACAACAACAACACTATAACAAAACGATCAATGTGACTCTCCATGTCCAATAAGCACAATTGAACTGTGCTGGAAGCTGGATACAGGCTTAGCTTTATCAGTGTAAGATCACCCAATGTAATAATAAACATATGTAAAACTATTGTTTCTCAGTCACTTTAAAAGGACTGGAAACTAAACCAAACCTTATCAGCTTTGGCAGAAGCAATCGCAAGATCTTTTTCTTTCACAACAAGTTCCTTTGATAATTCTGCCACAGATTCACCGGCTTCCTTCAGCTTGTCGAGACCTGAAGTAAAAATCACATATAGAGAGATGAAAAGTTTGTCGGATGTGTGGAGTGTTGCTGTACTTGACACTATCTCAGAACATTTTGCAACAGTTGGTTTGTCACTGTTTCCAAGACTATCCAGGTCCTTGCAGCTGGAATCCCCCTTCCATATCGGATCGGCAAGAGATATTTTGCCATATCTTAATAAAACAGGGGTGTGCAACAAGCGGACCACGGGACACACCCGGCCTGCCAAGTCGTTTAGTGTGGTCCTTGTCAACACTGCGACATGGATAAAAGCACATAATGTTTTTTGCTTTCTCCATAGCATTAAATCTATTGTCATTTTACCCGATGAAGTTATTACTGTAAGGTTGAATGATAGCAGCATTCTCTGTTATTGCCTTTTTCGTTAAATTTATTTGTGTGGCCCATTCAAATGTCTGAAGTTGGTTATATGGCCCACTGACAAAATGTCCCTGGTCTAACACTCCTAACAACAACTATACCAGCTAGCAAACCAATCCATACCTGTATTCATTCTCTGGGCCAGGTTTGCCAGATGGCTGTGGTTTTCTATGTATATTCCTTTGTAACCATCCAAGAAAGATAGATATGATTTGGGAGTGACATGAGTTGTGCGACGATACCTGTGTTAGAAAACAATTAGATTGCTGGTTCAACTATTAATGAGGTTTTTATATATGATAAGGGCCTTAAAAAGCAGCTGTTGATATGTAGTAATTATGCTTTGAATATGCTCAGACCTCCACAGTTTCACAGAGCTTGCATAATTTATTGCACTTTCATTAGAGGTTGAAAGAATGAGGCCTGAATAATCTAACTTGAATCACAACTGCAGATGCTAAAGCAAACTCAGAAATCAAAAGAATATAGGCATTGGCTTCAGTGACATTCAGTTTAATTCAAAGAGCAAGGAATGACAGTAAAACATCATAAATGGAAGCTTTTTTATCTTCTTCGGAACTGTTTCCCCTGCTTATAGGAATGCTTTCATACATAGAGTATTAAAGGAACAGATGATCTAAGATTCACCATGAAAAATTTATATGAAAAGGTTCTCGTCTGATAGACAAAACTAAGATATTAGATCAAAAATTAATGCAATTCCCATCAGCATATCATGGTTTGAGTAATGCTGCTTTACTCACCTGTCAAAATAATCCACGCATGTTTCTGCAACTTTGTCATGGAACACACCCATTGTTTCAATCAACTGAAACATAATAAATACATTGTTAAAGCATCCCGTTGAACCTGCAATCAGGCCTCTTACATTTTCTATGACTTCTTGAAGGCCCTATCAGATACTCAGTCATAAAAGAATGTCTGTTTTTGAATATTAAATTCCCAACCTTTTTGTGGAATTTCACAATGATGTACTCGGTAAACGGCTTTTACGGCCAAAAATTAAATGATTATTATGAATTATTCATTTTTATATGACATTTATTCCAGCAAAGTTAAAAAGCTGCGCTTGTTTGCAGTCAGTAAGTTTTTGAAATTATGGTGTGGGTTCCCTTAAGCAAAATAAATGTAAAGTAAAAGCAAAGTAAAATAAAAGTTTTTGTGCTCAGATACTTGCCACATACACACTTACTATTGAGCATCACTTCAAAACCAAATATAAAACGAGAATATCGGTCAGAGACCGAAGAATTATCGATCGAAAGTTAGGGGATCCCCCAAAACATCGCTCTTACTCCATAGTGACACCATGTGTCTCATCACTAATTAATTAATAACTCGCTAATTATACGACATAATTCGCCCAAAATCAATAGGCTTCTGGTCCGAGATAAGATGAATGCACATGCAAAGACTGGAGCAGATTCAATCTCGCTTTCGTGAGATATCGCGTTCATCTAAAAGACATACATTCAGACAAATACCTATCAACATACTTACCGATTAAAATCGATAAGTAACTGAAATCGGCAATTTTTAAGCTTTTATAGAAAAACAAGTGCCCAAGATAAGTTTGAGGCGACTCAGTTTCAGGTTGTAACTCGTAGCCTTAGACATATGTGAGATTTGAGCCTGATATGATTAGCCTGAAACCATAGTAAAGCGCAATTTTCTATTTATCAGTTAATCAAACCTGCATTCTAGCAGACCGAACCCTTCCTCACCTGTTTCTTGACTTCTGGTTTACAAACAATGTCGACCTTGGACAGGAAATGATTGGAGACGGCTACGAGAGCATCACGCGGCCACCTAGTGAACCAATCCATAGTGCAGCCACTGAACAGTCCTGGAAACTTGAGAGCACGGTTGCGAAATTTCTCTCCAATCTGTGGAAAGGAAATATAAAGAAATTAGGATGAATGCAGCACTATTAATTTATGTTGATAAGCGGAGCAGATGTTACATAAGTAGCACTTCACAATTTTGTACTTCAACCAGTGTGCTACAGCAAGTGATTTTAATAATCTGAAAATTTCTGAAACTATCATGAAAATGGTGGAGACCCATAAAACCACTTAGGGTGTATTAAATTGTGTAGCGATATCAACTATCGTGTCTAGTGATGAACAAACAAGGATAGATAAGTAGCCCCTAGACTCGAATGTATATTCATAAAGATTCACACAACTAATCAAGCAAACGAGTATAATAATAATAGAAATGAACATAATAATCATTATATTAATAATAAGACCAGTATTAGCATTACACTGTTTCTTCTAAGAATAGTGGATTTTTAGGTCATAAGAGTAGCTGTAAATTTCTGATGAAAACACAAAATCAACTCACTGGAGAGAAACACAAGACGATATGCAGGTTATTTCTGGCACGAGTGATGAAATAATCATACAGATTCTCCTGAGTTGGAGGACGCCTTGGGAATTCCCTCTTCATGACAGAAATCAAACCCTGGGTGATCTCGTCAATTTCATCTCTAGCAAACAGACCAGAGACCTGAAAATATTATTATTGTTGAATGTTGGTTCTTTCAATAATACATCGTCCTAGCCTATCTATGCAGTAATATACATCTCTTGACCAGTGATGAATCAACAGATTCTCGTTTGTATCGAACCCACAAACAACAATTTCCACATTTCAGAAATCATGCCAAACTCATAACAGTGCAGTCACTTTTACTATCATATGTCACTGTGCAAGCTACAAAAAGTTAACACGCTTTACAAAAATCTAGTTTATAACTTTCAAAAGATCCATTATAATGTTGCGGTTCTCCTAAGCAAAACCACTGATTGTCACGTCATTCCACGAATTATTCCGTGCCAACACCCTAAACCCTCACCATTAATCTCACACATACACAAGTATAAGTATAAGTTTATTTCGACTCCATAATCAGCAATAGACGATAAAATGAATGGTAAAAATAAATAAATAAAAACTGATTATGAAATCAGGAGAGCGAACAAAACCTTAGATAAGGTTTAAAACGTACAGAATGTATATAAGATGGAAGGTTTTGCCAAGAAGATGTGGTACGTGTTCACTCACCTAAAATAATTGAAATATTTCACACACGCTCACACGCACCCACACACACAACCATATAGAAGTTATTAAGTAAAGGGAACATGAAAAATTACATACTGGTAGTTAATAAAAAATAAATAAATAAAAATTACTTGCCACACCATATTAATAAATTTATCATGATTGCCACTGCCAAATTGATCAATTTTATAAATGGGAGTGAACAGTAAAGATAAACTTTTATAAAAAAATATATTGTCAAGCTGATTATAGATGGAGTCAAATGCCAAAATGCCCAACCAAAGTTGCCAGAATTGGGTGCATGAAGAGGTGGGCTAGACCACTTCATTGCCCAAACTAGAGCCTATTATTGCCAAATTGTAGTCCAGATTGCAATAAGTATTTAAATCTATCAGTAACCAGTAAAGTTGCATCAAGTTTCAAGTTAGGTTAAGTTGCAGAAGAAGTAAACTAGCCCGAATGCTGATGAACCAGTAAAGTTGTATCAGGCTTCTATTTAAGCTAAGTCCCACTACAGCAGAACTCTTTGGATAAACATTAGCCTTAAGTGATGGACATATCGTGCTATTTTGTCATGACAAGCCAGTTGTTAATGAATTCAGAATGGTGCATTTGCTGCTTAATTTTTATCGGTAATCGCAAAAAAAAATCCATAAAAAACAATATGTAAGGTATTTCAACTATCCGACTCTTCCATATATTCTAAAACACACAGAGTAGGAATAAACAATCAGTCTCATGCTCACCTCTCCAGATGATAATATATTGTTTAAATACTCCAAGAAGCCTTCCTCCTTGATATCATTGTCAGTGAATATAAAAGTAACTCCCTTCCCATCAGCACCAGCCATTCTGTAGAGAACCTTCAGATCATCCATGAGATTGGTGGCATTGTATGTTCTGTAGAATCAATCAAAGTTGTCAATTAGAATATTAAAGCAAAAAGTATAGTGGAAAACAGAAGTTTAATAAGTTCTCCAAAACAGGATACAAGTTTTTGCTCAAACATTGATAGCAGCCAATCAATAATAATTTAATTGTGCAGGATTTTATTTTTCTAGAAATTAAGAAAGCTAATCAAATAAAAACAAGTCGTTAGGCGCCCAGGATCTCCGCTGATAGTTGAGGCCCGCACTCAAGCAACCAGTTGCCATCCATAAAAACTTGCGAATCTATATTAGCAGTATGGTATATTGAGTTGGTTACCGAAACTGAGAATATCGTAGAGCGGAGATCTAAAAGACGACAGCCCATCTATTTGTCAGTCAAGGCATGGTGTGATAGTTAATGAAATTGGATGGAAGATGGATCTGTAATTGACTGGCGGCTTGTACAAGCAATTTTATACTGAAATTCATCTCCCACAGAGTTAAATTTGATCAAAATAAGTTCTTATGGAATGGCATTCTGAAATCAAAGGTCCACCTCACCTGGTCAAAGTAATTTGAAAGTTTGTATATCCAGCAATGAAGGAAGACAGCTTAGTCAAACTTTGTTTCCCGGATCCACCGACTCCCACTAGCAATGCACTGCCGCGAGGTGTTCTGATGATACGAGATATCTGGAAGAAAATTGTCGCTGCTTTTGAATATGAAAACGAGGAATAGGACAAGATTTACCTATTAATCATGGGGAGAGGAAACCCGATAAGACGGATTAATCATATGGCAAACCACGGCCTCTAGTCTGGTTTCCAGTCCATGTCGGGTATGGGATTAGTTAGCTAATTATTGTTTCAGATGCTTCGACCTGACCTATAGTAGAATATCACGCATGAGGGATTTCTGTAAAAACAGTTTCCAGTCCTCAATGTTACTTGTGATATATTTCAAATATTTTCTAAAGGTTCAATAAACTTATGCATCTGTGAAACTGGTGATTGCAAATATGGAAAAAAAAATCAACACTGGTGCTCCCTCACACATTTCTATTTAACAAAATATTTATCGAAAAAGTGTGAAATAATTCTGACCGTTTTAGGGTAGAATTTGAAAAAATTTCAAAGAAACAACAGAAAAACCATATCAGTCAAGAATATAAGTATTAGTCATAGTGGGCTAGTGAATCAGAATAAGGCTGCAAGAAAATGTGTCTGTTACGAGCTCACTAACTTTGACTAGATGAGTCATTGCATCTTTGAAGAACACAAGATCCATGCTGGCACCACGCACTGTCTCGTTATATTGTTCCATGTAACTTTCCAGCTTTTCTGACAACTCCGGCAGTGAAGGAATCTGTAAAATTCCATGAGGAATACTTAATTTATCCTTTATGAAGAGAAAAAATCGACCATGTACTCAGTCATTATTTGATTTACAGATTATTATCCGTTCAACCATTCAACCCCACTTGAATATGCCCTCTTAGCTCCTTACAAAACAGCAGTTTTCATGCAAATCTACCAACAACAGCAAAGTTAAGCCAAAACAACATTTTAAAGTCAAGTCTAAATCTTTAAACAAATCCCCACAGAGAAAACAGCCAGACATGCAAATGATTTATCCTCTCAACTACTCACTGCTTCATATATCTTGGGAGCATCAAGATCCGCATCCTCAGCCTCCTCTCCTGTAGGTTCTGGGGGATCGCGTAGGAAATCCACAAAGTATGGTTCTGTTCCTGTCATTTGTTCAGCCAAGTCTGGATCAACTGATTCTTTCACAACTCGTTGCAATGAGGCCTCAAACCAATCTTTGTCTTCCTGGTTGGTAAACCTACAAAATTAATGTTCTATTGTTGCTAAATCCCAATGATTTGATAAAGAATTTGTTAAGTCTCTTTGGTAGTAGTCAGCGATTTTAACGTTATTAGAGCATATTAATGACAAGATTGCTCATAATTCATAAGTTTTATTCAATTCATTTAGAACATATTATAACTAATTTCATTGTGTGGTGCTTTTATATCCCGTGAAACAACGACAAACTGATAAGTTAACTCAAACAGGGGAACATTTGAAACCTTTTACTGATCACATTTTACAATTGATTTACAAGGTATTGCCCGATTTTACATCATGTCTTTATTTAATTGTGTTCCTTTGACTATTTTTGGTGGACGAGCACGTTCTTGTAGGTTTTCAACTTTTTTATTATTAAGTTATGCCCATCCTCCAAGTCTGCTGTTTCTTTGTCCGTTTGTTGTTGTTTTGTTTCTTTCGACCAGAGCGACCAAAATAAAAATGATTGATTGATTGGTAACATTTTCCATGTGAAAACACAGACCAATAAGAGGCCGCGGTCATATGAAAAATCCCACACTACCTGTGGTATAGGTACACAAAGCATTTCATGACACATATTAACAAATGCAGCACACCTATCAGCAATGACTCTCATACACTCATGCATGAAGAGATAGATGGCATCCATCTCAGTAACACACTCCTCACACTTCACAGTCAGCATTCCTTGCCAGATCCTTGATAAATCTCGAAGATTGAAAATGTAATGGAACTTTGCCGGTGTTGGAAGCATTTTAATCTGTTGATATATATTTGATTTAGTTCTGGGATTAAAACGCTGCCAAAGTTTGACTAGTTTGTAATTAACTAATTTTTACAATGTGCCTACTCGGGCTCGGGGCCCTTGAGAGGGGGGCCCCTTGAAGGGCACATTGAGCAAAACTGATTCCGCTTTTTACTATACAAAAAAATCTATCAATCGAAGTAAATAACACTATAAACTATGCTATAAATACCAGTGGAATAAAACACAAGGGGGCCCATGAGTGCTTAATTGAATATTCGCTTGATATTAAGATAACTGGTATTGAATCTGTATCAAACTAACCTTTGTCCACTGCCATAGTATCCTGGTAGCAGGCACAAGCAATGGTATGATCTTCAATACTTCTTCAGTGAAACCACGCTCAGGACAGAAGTAGCCATTTCCGATAATACCTAAAAAAAAGAGATCGATGGTTAAATATATGGATATGAAAGTTGTATGACTAATCACATTCAAGAGACCTACACAAAGTTCGGCACTCCAGAAGTGTGTGTACAAATATGGTGGTTACTAATTTTGTTCGCCTACTTTACATCAAGTTGTGCAAAGGGACTGAAATCTATGGGCGTTAATCTATGGGGGGTATTCACGGAGTACCCCAAAGATCTGCTATCTGAACTTTCAAATCAAGTCCTTGACTGTCTGATATAGTTCTAAACAAGTGTGGTTAACTGTCTGTGTTTCTACCTGGAATGTGTTCTGTTTGGAATGTACATACAGACTGCAATAGCAATAAAGTTCAACTGCAGAAGTAATCCACATCACACTTTAGCGGGAATATAAATCCGGTGCATTACTGTTACATACCCACACTAACTAATTGAAAAAATGTAAATTTCAATAGCAACAGTAAATTGCTTACCAAATATCTTATCAATAGAAGCATTAGAAGGCAGAGTGCAGTTGAAAACACTGAACTGTCTCTTCAACCGCTGTGGTATGTCGTTTCTGCCTCCCCCTGGATGGATCATGGCTGCAATGAACTGCATGTCCACAATGTTGGTAAAATCTCCTGGTTTCTCAAGAGAATACATGCCTCGCATCTCCATCATCTGACGAACAATCTCGTTTGTGATCTGAGAAAAAGAACCAGAATAAAAATATGGCACAATACATGAATTGTTTTACCAAATTTGTGGTTATCTCGGTTCCCTGGTGGGTTGCAGAAAGGCACAATGGGGGTTGAGGTAAAATATTTTTTGGCAATAACTTATGTTAAAACAAAACATCGATCAAATTTGAAAGATTCAGAACCAGTACCTACCATCACCGAAATAGAGTCAAGATTCGATCTTTTGTGCGAGAATATGCAAGTACATTGGACTCATTAGGGATATTGTCGATTTTATTTAATATTATCTGTATTACCAAATCTTACTTCATTTTTTATAAGTTTCTAAGAGTTGCAAATAAATTTGGTCATGATAAAACATGTTTGAAAAACATTGGTTTAGGAGTCACAAAATTAGACATAACTATGTGATCAACACAGGTTAGAATTATCACCCACACAGGATAATAGCTGCATGCGTTTACTCAATTGATTGAGAGAATGTTCTGGATAAAAGACATTGAATAGTCTTTAAAAAATTCATCATCAAAAAAGAGTTGTATCCAAAAGCAACACGAATCTCAACGTGATGCAACTGTAGCCAAAAAGATAGGTTGCAGCCCACGTTTGATGGAAGTAAGCTCTAAAATTACTTGGAAAATTCATAAGGCATGAATTATCCAGAAAATACTATAAACACCCCAAAATATTAGTACCCGATCGATAAAAACAGATTTCTCAATAACCGCAATGTCATGTCTTATAAAAGTAAGTTCATAACCAAAGCAAAAATGACCCAGAAAAATTCTTGTAAATTATAGCCAACATTTTGTGCCCAATTGATCAAAACAGTAAAGACAGCATATGTCCTTCGGAGAGCTCATCACCAACCAAACCATTCCCACAATCGATATATGTCCCAACCAACCTGATCTCCCCATTCATTGATAACCGGCATGTTGATGTCATCCACAAACACAGTCATCTTTCTTCCAGCTGGAGGTCCAAATGTGCTTCCCATCCTCTTATCAACATAACTTTCAATCGTTCTCTGAAAAGCAATCAAGTCAGTTTTATATTTATCTACTTATATATTCATCATGTATCGGATAATTAGATAGAACTGATTTTGAACTCTGTACTTGCACAGCCGGACCCGCTGGCTGTTGCGGTCTAGCTTGGTAATTAGAAATGTAAGTCCCCCCCTTCTTCAAAAATATTCCGCTCCTCCTCTGTTGATGACACAGAGGGTTTCACTGTGGGGATGTGATGAACGATCCATAAAACCACAATGAGCTTAGTCAATCATCACGGGAAGCCTAGCGCCTGTAATATTTCATCTTTACTTACATATTGCTCGTACATGTCGAAAGTCGAAACTTTAAATGTTGTTTAAGCATTAGAAAGTGCTACATGGCAATCATTGTAACATAGAATGTAGGAGAGATACATGACAAGTTTTCACTTAATTGAGCCTTTCATCTCATAATACTAATTTTCTAAATGGCCCAATATATTATACCCCATGCATATTTTCAATTCACAGGAACTTTTATATGACTCATTGTACACATCCTCATTCCATAGCATTAGACAATAGAGAGAAAATTAACATACCATCACTAAAATCTTGACAAAAAATTAACTATTAGATCCCAGTACCTGGAACATATTAGGTTCAGTAGCTGAACTGAAGTTGAATGACTTTGCCATATGTACTTCAGGGTCGTACTGTGCTGTATAACCTTGGATCAGTACTGTCTTGCCTGTACCTTGCTCACCAATCAGTAGAACAGCCTGAAAACATTGAGAATCATAAGGATAGGATTTTCATATTCATCCAGGGGGAGAGGAAATCCCATAGGTTAACCATGCAAAGAACCACAGCCTCTCGTCCGGTTACCAGTCCATGTCAGGTATGGGATTAGTTGGTTAATTGTTTTCGGAAGCATGGACTTGGTGGTGAGGGGAGCCGTAACCGACCAGCGGTTATATGAAGCACCCCTAGGCGGCAAGGAGTCTAGCAATCATCTTGCACATAATTATCACCACATTCGATTCAAAACTGTGAACCCACGCAGGGTAATCAGAGGTACAGTGGCGAACCCTCACCAAGCGCTTCGCACGATGCGTCACACCACCGAGTTTTATCTTGAAAAAGGGGAAGCCGGGTTTCTGGCTTATCCGTAATTCAAACCATGGCTTGTCAATTGTCCCAAATGAATGAAATATGCAATAAATCGTGGAAGATTCAATTAAGGGATATTTATTAGATCAGATGTGTGAACTTGGTGGCATAGGAAGCAGTAAGCAACCAGTATATATTTGAACCCTCTTGCATAGGAGTTCAGCAATCTTTTTGCACATATTTATCTTCCAAAGGATTCTAACTAATGGGGGGTATCAAGTGTGATCTCACTACTTAGCGAGAATATAAGAGAGAGGAATTTGCAATTTTTGAACTAGAGCGAACAACACATAATCAAAAGCGTGGCAACATCAATTCGATAATCTACTTCCGAAACTAAAACTTTTATTAAATCACCTTACCTTATGCTGTTTAGCAATGACATCAATCAGGAACTTGGTTCTTATATTATCAACATTAGGTACAAGGATTGATGAATACTCTGGCACTGAATCATTAGGGTAGTCGTATTCTTGCACTCGCCCCGTCCAATGTTCCCAGTTGCCTAAAATATATGAAACAGAATCATAAGGAGAGGAAGCCGATAATACCTAATTATATGGGCAACTTCCTCAGTTCAACCATCTTTAAGTACAGCTGAGGTGCGCTGATTGGCTCAGACATATCAGAACGGCAAGGTGGACAAGACAACTATTAAGAACCTTGTACCTCCATCTCAGCGAAATACCAAAATACATTATTATAAATGAGTCAGGGTAAAAGATGCAATACAGTTTCGGGTTCAGATTGACAACCGACGATAAAACCAAGTTTTACTAATAATAGCCCATGAATGCAAATGCAATAATAACATCAAGACTATGTCTTGCATTGCTCTCCGCTCAGCTCATGCTACTTTGCATATTTGATACTGCTTTCACTGCAATTCATTACAAATATTAAAGTGAAACAGACACAATTTCTACTGTACTATAAGGAATAAATTGTGGTTGTGATAGATCATGATTGAGAACAGAACACTGAATATTTAATGCATGGAAATTAACATGGCATGATCGAAGCTCATTTACTCAATAAAAATCTTGCAGGCTGTACTTTCTTCAATTGCTTACTGCATTGCACCCTAATCAAAACATTCATAGGATGGGATTTACATATTCATCTCTGGGGGGAATGCGCATAATCTTAAAACAAAACATGGGATCTTGTCCTGTAACCAGTCCATGTCGGGTATGGGATTAGTCAGACAGGTAGTTGTTTTTGAAGCAGGGACTTGATGGTGAAGGAAGCTATAGCCGACCAATAATTACGTGAACCATGGCAAGGAATCCAGCAGCATAACTTTCTAACATAACCATCTCGTATGGAATTCGAATCTGCAAACACACGCAAGATAATTAGTGTTGCACGTATTCCTTACGCTTAGCACAATGTGCCACACTGCCGAGCATAATTTGGTCTGAGTGCAGATGCCTCAGAATATTCTAACCTTTGCTGTCTGGTACAAATTCAAATATTGTGTGTCCACTTCCTGATTCTATCGCTGGTAATGCGAGCTGACTGGAATGCCCGGTGAGAAACTCCTCCATCTTGGCTCTGAAACAAGAAATCGAATAAATCAATGATTCCCAATTCTGGAATATCATAAAAACAGGACAGCAATACTCAGATATAGAGACATGAACGTCCAATGACTAACTTTGGCAGGTTATACACAGTAATATGTTCATTCAAATATCTCAAATTATAATTGCAAATTAAATCCCCCCCACAATTCACACTGATATTAGCATAGCTGAGCAACGATGAGTTGAAAAGATTGTAGAATAGTCGTACATGCGGTGTTGCAATATATGCAAAAATAGTAAAATTTTTGTTGAAAAATATGGGATCCCATAGAGCTCAAGAGAATACTCGATACAATATTATAAAAATGGAAGAAATAGCAATTCAGCAAAATGTACACATATATACCTCTACAGCCCAACTCTAGATATATAAATTAAGGCTCCCCACATACAAAATTCAAGAACTTCAATGCTGACAAAGCTCAGTTTGTTTGAGGCAGATATTTCAACCCTGTGTCACAAATTGTTTTTAGTTTATGGAATATCATTGTACAACTAGTACTCCCTACCTGTCTCCCAACTCCAATGTAGCTCCAACACTCCACATCAACGCAAATATGAATATCTTTTCCAAATGATCTTTGGGCAATATACCGGCTTCATCTTTGCTGGGAATCATCCCTTCCAAGACATTCAGAGCCTGTTGAAAATCAGAGATAGTTATTAAGATCAGAAAAAATTTGACTAATGGCAAGGCCATAGTTTATCAAATTGGAGAGACACATTTATTTATACAAGTTATATTTAAAGTCATGAGTTCTCAATGGGTGTTTCCACGAATCTTGACCCAAGAAAAATTCTCTCTATACTTTACTATTGCAAAACTTGGTTTACTTTTTGCTGATTGATCGTTGTTACAGAAATAAACAAGGGGACCGATGCTCGAGGAAACATCGATTGGAAGTGGAAATTGATCTGATGTAAAGTTTCAAAAACCACTGACACATTCAACAGTTGTATGCTGTTTTTTAATGAAAGATTGATCTAGAAGGCGCTCGATAGATAAAAAGAGTACTGATGGAAGAGTAACACACAACAAATAACATCATGTTGGGAGCTATATACAAATAAGTACCAGGGCAGATATGCTACAGCAATTAAGATGAGAAACAGCACTGGAAAAAGAGTTACATACAACAACTAACATCCTAGGAGCTGTTATATAAATGTAAGCTGAAAGAAAGACTTCAATTAAAAATGGGAAACAAACGTACAATGATACACCAAGATGGATTTATTATTGTTACATATATGATGTACACCAGAGGCTCCCAATTGGTGGGCAGAGTAGTTGGTTGGGCGCCACAATGACAGGCTCAAAACAAAATTTACATTTCTCTTTACGGGTTAACTCCCAGTTCTTCCTAATTTCTTTGCTTGATAAGGTTATTTCACAGGGTGTTTCGATGAGCATGAATTGTTTGAACATAATGGGATTTGAAATCTACCAATCAAAATGACACTATAAATACCACTGGAATGATAAACAGGGGCCAGGAGTGCTGAAAACCACCAGAAGGGGCCACGAGCCATAAAAAGGTTAGAAACCACTGGTGCTTTCATACCGACGTTTAACCAGAAGTGTATTCCCAAATCTCTCAAAGTAGAGAGTTGTAAAAAAAAACTTCAAAAATGCTTAATGCTAGAACATTTCTACCTGGGTTATGTAGTTACATTCCAGCAGTTCCATCTTAGGCCATAAATTTTGCATTGAGTAGGTGTAGACATCGGCAAACACTGAATGGAAAAGTTCTCGCAGGATATCTGCTTCAGCAGCCGGACGTTTCAACAACCAACCCTGTGAGAACAAGAAAAATATAGAAGGGATATGCAAGGATGTGTAAGCAGATAGTCTAAGCCCGTCTAAACTTGCTTTCCTGTTAGTGTAACTAAGCACGCAAGTCAACATGGTGGACAATGGATGTCTTATTTACAAATACATAGTAACATTACAATTCAATATAATTATAACAGGACAATCACCTGTTCAACATCGACAAGGCAAATGCAAGAGTGTAATATTATCAAATCCTAGTGGATAGTGCGTGATGGAGCCTCATAAGCTTACCCGTTGCACACATCTACCCATTTTCTAAAATTCTGAAAAGATCTGGCAACACGCCTGAGAATCTCTCACACAAAGATTCTCTGCCGCACACAGTTTGAAAAACGTGGGCGTATAGAAATAGGGGTTATTTGGTAGACAATAGTTATTTGATGAAAATATCATGAGTATCAAGTTGGATCGAGAAAGAACTAATAATTTAATTAGTAACAGTAGGTGAATAAACTGAAAAATATTTCATGATTTAAAGCCAAACAAGACATATTTACAGTGAATTAAGATTTATTTGGAATCAAAATTTTAGTGTCAGGGAATGAAAGTGACAGACTATACTGATGACGTGCTAATCAGGTTAGCATGGGACTGCATCAGAATAAAAACCAGCTTATATATCACCAGACAAGCACCTAGTTTACAACAACAGTGAAAAACTTAGGGAAGGGAAAACCCCATAATAAAAAAATGAAAGTTGTTACATACATCCAGTATAGGGCTCCAATCCAAAGCTGAACTGCTCATGTAGACCATACCGTTCCTGGATACTGTGGCAGGTGATGCATTGTCAATGTTGTGGACCTGTGGTAACAATATGTAAGTTTGTGTACTGTTTGACTCCCAAACAGATTGATTAAAACAGATTTAACCCATAACTCTTAGACTGAAGTACACAAGCTCGCAGGTCATATGATAAAATCGCATCCATTGAAGAATTCGAGCACAAAATGAACAGACACTACAGTTTGACTTTCAGTTAAAATTATACAGGGCATTTTAGATGAAATATCAGATATTACAGAAAATTTAGGAACAAATAAAAGTAATAGTCTTCTAGCAAAACAGAACCTACAGAAAATTTCAAAGCAGTTAGTAAGTAATTAAATTTTTTTTCATAACGATAAGAAGAAAAATACCAATAAGAACAACAACAACATATTATAATGATCCATTTCATGTCCAATAATAGTAGTGGCTAATGTACAGGGTCTTGTACAGGAGTAAAAAGAGGGCCACTCTTTTCACTCACCTCAAAGAGAATCTTGCAGTTAGGAGCCATTGGAATCCTGTCACCGTTAGCCAGCGTCAATGTCTTGTTATCGTCCAGTACTGAGTTGAGGTTCTCAATCCAGATTGCATCAACAGGCCCATCAAGTATCAGCCACACATGATCACCTGTAGAAACGAGAGGATTCAAGATAATCATGATGTATTGAAATTTTCTGCAACCTATGTTAAGTCGACATTGTTATGCAAGAGCTTCTCGCTTTTCCGATGCTATGTATTCTCGCGGAATTGTGAGATTCAGGTTTTGCACTAGTTTTATTAATTGATAATTGGTGTTTTGAATCAAGAACCTAAAAAAGTACAATAGATAATAATAGTAGGACTTTGTGTGAAATCCGTGTACTTTTTGCGGCCCCCAAAACTTGTCGAACGCCCCTCTGCGAGGTTGACACCTCCAGCTTGAGAAGCCTTGCTATACTGCAGGGCTGCTTAACTTTTTATGACACATTCCTCTCTATACCTATGTTGGCCAATTTCATTGACTAGATGCGGACATTGCATGTCCAGATTTTCGCAGTCTAGTCAAAAGTACGAGAATCGAAAGAAATTGTTGAAACAGTGATAGTCTAAATCAGGGTGATCCAAGGTTGCCGGCTTCGCGGGTCACAAAATTATTTTTGCATTTTTCGCGGGCCGCAATAATGCCAAGAATAGGTAAACATTGCAATACAAAACAAACACTTTTATTCTTTAAACACATTATCATTATTTGTCATTTATCAAGATAAAACATGGAATAACCACCAAAAATCTCACTAAAACGTGCAAAAATCTTACTATATCCTACATGTAGTGTAAGGTTGTAAACTCTTCACAACGAAGAAAGTGCCATAAAGAGAAAATGCTGTTTTAAAATTTGAGATACAGAAGGGTAATTAGTAGTTACTAAATTGTCTGACATATAGGCAGCATTTTTTGTAATACTGTTTGGGCTGGTTGCAAAAAACACACGGCAGGAATTATATTTTCGGCCATAACATTAATGTTTATTTATCAGGCAAAATCACATTAGGCTAATAGATTCCTCATTCGATTTTTAGTTTTTTATATTTTAGACTATTTTGTTAACATATATTCCTGACCAAAAAGATAGAGGGCCAGTTAACAATCTAGACCAGTGCTCCGCAACCGGTGTGCCGCAGCGCACCGATGTGCCGCGAGACGATGCCACGTGTGACGCACAGGAATTGCAACTTTTCTCTTTTTTTTACAAACTATTTTTTATCTTTTGCTAATTTTGCGCTAGTCTACTAGTCTACTCTACTAACGTAAAGTTAACCTGCTTTTACGTTAGCTTGAGCGACACCAATTCAAAATCCTGACACCACTGCTGTGCATTTGTGACGTAACAAGGAGTGGGCCTTTATGTCAAGCAAGTATATTGCAAAGCCTATTGTCGCGGCCAAAACGTAGCACGTGTAGTAATCGAATATAAATAAAGTGTGAGTTTGCATAATCAGAGTTTAGCAAAATGGATAAATTTTTTAACCTGTTTTAGACGCCCAATCGAGCCCAATTTTGAATACCCATTTTTATTAATGTCATACGACCCCCAAAATTTACCCAATATACAATAATTATATACCATTGGATAGGTATTTTAGAGTACTATACGCTAGATGTCACTGGAGGACCGTAAACTAAAACACCTCTTTCAAGAGGTCTCTCGTAACGTCAAAAAATAACAAAAATATTTACACTCTCTCATTCTATCAGCTGTTGGACGTCTATAGCTATTGTAAAGCTGAAATGTGACTATACAGTTGACTGCACATTGGTTTTCTCTTTCATATGATACTAAACGCTTTTCCATAGCGCGCGTCGTTCAATCGTTTTGGAAATTTTCCGTTTGAAAAGTCACCACATCGAATCAGGCCAGGCTAAGCTTGATAGATCGATCGGTTGTTTGTTTGTGCTTTATCGCGTTGAAAGCTTTTGTGAGTCATAATAAAACATTTAATATGAATCATAAAAGCTTATAATCGTCAGACAAGGAGAATTTGCGAGATAAAACGCTTAACTTTTTTTCGGTGAGGCAGCTGCGATCAAACGACTCGATATTTTTATAACTTCCTGACGTTGTGAGATGTCCACTCTCCTATGTTATGTAGCATATAAAATGACCTTCAAAATAAGACCTTATCATACTAGCTTTTGTTATTGGTTAGCGCGCAACGCCAAGGTTTATGGAATCATTTTCTTGTTGTGCGACGTTTTTATATCGCAGCGGGAAGTACACGCGTGATATGTAAGCGAAATTTTATCACTTCTAAATGTCATATAAGGTTCATTCTCATATCGTTGTGTGGGGAATAAGATTTCCTTTCAAGCAAGACCATAACAAACATTCCAGACCTCATGGTATACACACAGCATTGCAAAACGTCTGAAACGTCGCGCATGCGTCAGACCGGGAGGATTAGGTTAAAAGAACAACAAATACAGAGCAACATATTGTACCTAGCACAAGCAACATTATAAAAAAAAACTTGTCAAGAGGAAATACAGGGAAGATTACGTCAAATATGAATTATCTTGCTGTGGTAACGAAGATGCTCCAAAACCAGTCTGGGTTATTTGTTGGGAGCAACTTTCAAATGAGGCAATGTTTCCGAGTAAACTTATGCGCCACTTAAATACGAAACATGCCGTTCATGCGCGCAAGAATATAAATTATTTCCAGCGGTTGTTAAGTCAAAATAAGGAGCAAGAGTGCTTTGTGAAGTCGTCTTTTACCGTCTCCGAAAAAGCATAAGAAGCTAGTTATCGTGTTGCAAAATTGATTGTGCGTCACGTAAGGATCCTAATATAGAGCGATTGTGCTCATTGAAACAACCAAAAATCTCTCATTGTTATATGAACATAAAACAAAGTTACACTTTGTATTTTTCGTTTGTTGTGGTGTGCCGTCAAATTTGGCAAGTTTTATAAGTGTGCCGCAAATTTAAAAAGGTTGCGGAGCACTGATCTAGACTAGCCAAGCACATTATTCAATTTCTCTAGTTGCCTCAGCTAGCCATAACACTAGTCGATGCAATGACATTAGTGATGTAACAATATGTCAAAAGATTTTTCTGGTTATTTTGATGCCGAAACAACACCAAATGTAATTTTTTGTCACCCTCTCGCAAATGTAACCCGGGCCAGAGATAATGAAGTGGCGGGCCACATGTGGACCACGGGCCTGGGTTTGGACCACCCTGGTCTAGATTACCCTTAATAAATTCCACTGCCATATGCGGATCCATGAACCCAGGTTGATTTGGTGTAGGCATATCTCTTCATGTATGTATTTCTATGCACAAACGTACCTTTCTTGGTCTTGTGAGTCCTTCTCCACAAAGTACTGAATATTCCATCTGTCCAATCATTAGTTGCCACATCCAGTCGGCCAAACATCTGAGGGGCTGTGATGGCTTTAGGATTCATACGAACTTCCCTGGTTAGAGTAGCAGCAACATTTATCACCAACGTACAGGCGTTTATATTTATCGCAGGGGAGAGTGTATGTTGGCTTAAACATGTGGTGGACCACGGCCTCTCAATTGATTACCAGTCCAGATTAGATAAAGGAATAGATCATGGGTGCACAACCTTTATGCTATTGACGGCCACATTCCATTTATTTGTATTCAATACCGTCTCCAGGGGGCTAATATGCGCGAGAATTTTTTTGGCTTTTTATGACATCATAACCACGTATTTGACCCATGCGAGGTGCAATCTGCCCAATTATGAAGTATGTAGGACAACTTGGAAGTATAACATTGGACCTATTCTTGAGCAGCTATATTGCAGCAAGTTGCACAATTTTGAAAAAAATCGAACGTCGGGAGGGGGGAAGAGGGGTTGCCCCTATTTTCTTGTATCCAAGAGTATAATAAAATGTCAAATATTTTAATGAATTTATCCTATAAAAGTTTGCAAAACATAGCCGCCAAATCCTATATGTTGACCTTTTTTTCTTTATAGGATTTTGTATGTGGACGGCCGCATTATTTTTTCACCACGGTCGCAGGTTGTGCACCGTTGGAATAGTTTTGACCATTCAATTGCTCCAGATGCACAGACTTGAATAATTGGGTTGTCATTACTAAAAAGCAGTTACATAAAACCTAGCAACCATGGAAAAAATGCAAGTCTTCGAAACGCACCAGGAAAGCTGGTATTCAATGCTTTTGATAATTGGGCAAAACGTTAAGCCACTATTAACACAGACCCAATGCGATGAATTTTCATCAAGCTTTTAATTTGTCGAATCTCTATATTTACAGAACAGAGTTCATCCATTCACTGCAAAAATATTGTAGAATTGTCTAACATGGCTTGCTGCAATTTTAAATTGAAAAGTCAAAATAGTTCAAATCAGATATGCCTGGTGCAGAAACAAAGCATCCAAAGCAAATCTAAGGAACTTTCACTGCATATAACACAACCTAGTACTTCGCCTGTGTATCCTGAATATACAGGCAAACACTACTGGGATAGGATAAGATTTACATATTTATCCCAAGGAGAGGAAAGTCAATAAGACAGCTTAATCATATGGCGAACCATGGCCTCTCGTCCAATTACTAGTCCATGTCGGGTATAGCATTAATTAGCCAGTTATTTGTTTCAGAAGCATGTGTTTCATAGTTGAGAAAGTTTTGACCAACCAGAACTTGCGTCAACCACACGGTAACGGCCAGGAGTCCATCAATCCTCTTGCACATAACTATCTCTGCATGGGATTCGATGACGAGCGTAATAATAACACTTGGCGCCTAGAGGATATGAACTTCAGCCTGATTTCATACACTCAATTGTTTAACCCTTAAGTATGCTTGTACAAAAAAGCTTTGTCTTAAGCAAAGATCTGAAATCATAACAAACCACTTACTTGTGTGGTTCGCCGCACTCAGTCATGGCTCTCATGATCATATTGATGCAAATAGTCTTCCCTGCCCCACTTGGTCCCAGTGTCATCATTCCATGACGAACCCGTTGTGTCTCAAACAGCTGGACAACCTTGAGAACAATATTATCAGAGAGTTTGAACTGTTAGAAGTTGGATATAATATAGCCCATTGACAAAATACTTTGGACACTTGTGTGTTAGTGAAGGGATGGGCAACCTTTAATACAGAAGGACCAGACACAAATAAATGGGTGAAACCGCAAGCCGCACCTTCATTAAACATAGGATTTCTAGCAGTTGTGAGCACAAAAATTTTGGTTATTGATCTTAATAATATACCGTTGTTGTTTGCTTCGCCTAAGCTAGCTGTCAGGGCATTGTAATGTCATAGCCATAGATAATAAGGTGGACTCAGGTATAGCCTTTCCAGCACAAAAGAACTGAAATTACTCGTACATACCATATCAAACTAAACTGAAAAATATTTTGTGAGTCGCACAATTTTTCCATGTGGCCACAGGTGATCTGTCGTTCTACCCTATCCTACCTTTAAATTCCATGGAGGATGGTTGACAATTCCCATATCCTGTACATGAAGTTCAATAGCTGCCTGTAGTTCCACATACGACACTGTGTCCAATGTTATTCCAGGAAACAAATCACTGATCAAACTCAGAAACAAAGGCTCGTCTTCGTCAACCTGGGTTAAAAAGTAATTGTGAAATATTGAACATAGAACTGCCCTTCATGGGCAAGTACCATCTCTAGTACTCCTACATTTCTAAAGCTTGTTGAAGATCAAAATGAAAAGTTTAAATAAACTGTTCATTGAACATGGACTGGACTTATGGATCGTTTTGATATTATGTTATTGTTGTAAAAAAATTGCTTTTCTCCAACTACAGGACAAATTGCTTTAAAATTTTCAGTCGTTGAAGATTGTATTTTTCCTCGAAGGCTATTTACTTTTATTTATTTCTGGTATCTGGGGGCTATGTGGGATTGATTTTTCACTATAAGTTTTGTATAATAATGTCGGTTGCAGCTTCCTCCACCATGAGGTCCATGCATCTAAAACAGTGCTCATCAACCTTTTTGTTATTGTGGAACCCCTGATATAATTTTTCATTTTTTATGGAACCCCAATTAACAAAATTAAAAAAAAACACAAAATACTCGTAACACAAAAAGCTGAACAACAACTCTAGTTTGTAGTATATACTCTCTCTAGTCTCGAGCATTATCTACATACTTTGAACATCATGTAACTATGGTGCAACAATAGCGTTCTTGTTAGTTGCATAACAATGACTAAAGTGACGCAACAATCGAAAATATTTCTGTTTGTCTATTAACTGCACTGTGACTAAACCTCCTGTTTAACGAACTGGCCTACTTTGAGTTTGAATTAGACACGGTGGTCTAAAAATATTCATAATGAAGCATCAACATGCTGAAGCAAGTAATGATTTCCCCCTGAAAAAGAAAATAAACGCGGAACCCCTAAGGAACCCTATAAACTCACGGAACCCCACTGCATGTATTGCGGAACCCTAGGGTTCCGCGAAAACCCTATTGAAGAGCACTGATCTAAAACAAATAATTGGCAATTCACTTACCAGCTTAGAAAGGTTCATATCTCTCAAGACTCTCATCACAATAGTGGGCTCTCCTTCTTCTGGTCGAGCTCGCTTTGTTGCTCCGAGAGTACGAAGCACAGAGAGAATGTTACGTAATCCAAAATCATAGTGGACCTGACAAAAGAATGGGACAATTTGCACAATAGCCTACAGTACTGAACAAGAGGAAAAACATACAACAAGAATTCTATAGTCCTGATTCACAAAACTATGCCAGTCCAGTTATAAGAATCACAAAAGATAAATGAAAGACAGTTTGGGAGTGTAAATTTATTAAATAAATTGATACGTTCCCACCGCTAAGAGAAACCCCGAAATCTGTACAATCTCATGAAACAGTACAAAGTGTTTACACATGCAGTATGTACCTGACATTTTTAATCTGCGGATGCTAAAATGTCCAATATTCCGATTACAACAAGTTCAAAATCAAAAATACAGGCAGCAAAGAAAACTCAAGATCTACTCACCTGTTTGGTCAACTGTTCCTCACATAGTTTGTACAGAGTATAAAATTTCTGAGCAAGAATTATGTTTTCTTGGAAACCACAGCTGGCAAGCTTCACTCTCATGATAATCTGCAAAAAAAGATAACAATGAACATGGGTTGACACTAGTCTAAATATATTCATTATTTCCAGACACTTTCAATTTAATGAGTTGTTAAAACTTGATCTATTCAAAATTTAAATTCAATCAATATTAATACCGGTTATAAATTCTAAAATTTAACTGCTGTATTTTACAGACTAAAAGGCGCACCAGGTTTTATAGCACACTGCCAATAAATTGCTTAGATTGGGTTTCTATTCATACCAATTCATAGGCTTATAAGACGCACAATTGATTTTTGGAAAAAGGAAATTTAAAGTGTCTTTTATGCGGGCGAATAAAATGCGATAAATACACCAGCTGCAAACAGACTACTCCAGGCAGCGATTTTTCGCAGAGAAACTAGAGTTCATTTTGTATTGCTCAGCTGACTCAATGAACGCTCATCATTTTCATTATGATGTAGCCGTCTTACCACCTATTTCTCTCAAACAATACACATGTCTAGTTTTTTTTGTTTTGTAGTTGGACAAGTGAAACATTCTACATTTACAACATTGATTCTCTAACCTGTCTGTCTGGAACCATCATGGCCACCGATCTGAACTGAACCTTTAGGTTTTCAGGCAATTCTTGACGACCAGCGTAACCGGGGTTCTGGAAGTGTGAAAAGGGAAAAAAAATGAAATGCAGTTTGTAAAGAGTATGAATCGTTATAGCATAAAGATTTTAATTTGAAACAAACTAATGATAAATTTCCTGGAAAGCTTTATGAAAATAAAGATTCATTCATTCAAATGGAAAATAAGGGACCTCCTGAAGTATGCGCACAACCTGAACTCAGGTTGTGTACCAGGTTAGGGTTCAGGTTATGCGACATCTTGGTGCGCATACTTCAGAAGTACCAAAAGAGGTCTATGGGATGTTCATGTGCAAAATGATTCAAGAGCTCCATCATAGAATCGTGTGTGTATGGACATTTGACACCCTTCTCTGATATTGTCCTTATTTCAAATCACATAAAAACCAGCTCAGAATTGGTTTTTCATGATCGGTCCGAATGAATAAAAAAATGAAAAAATATGGCTCTGGCAGTTCGCAGTAATTTGACAAATGGAATTACCAAGAGACGTTGTGTCACAGTTTAATAAAAATATAGAGGTTTAAGAGAAATTGGAAGCATTTAAATATTCAGCTAATGGAATGTAAGCATGCAGTAAATATGCTAGTATATAAAAGACTGACAATATAACCAACTAACACACCATTACTGCCATATAAAATATCTATAATAAACCCACTTACCATAGTAATAAACAGTCCAAACTCAGGGTTGAGACTGACATTGTCTCCATCAGTGAATATGAAGTGAGGTTTCCTCTCCTTCTTAGCCATAAGCACAATGTAGATCTGCTGAGCAGCTACAGATAGCACAGGTAGGTCGATACGATTGAATTCATCAAAGCATCCCCATGATCCAGACTGTGCAAGTCCTGATAAGGTAGGATTAGCAATAAGTGGATGTGATAGCCTAGAAGTTAGAGTGCAGAATTAAACACGATCTACTGGCATTCGTAACGATTTAATTTACAACCAGGGCAGAGGAGCTGGTTTAAAATCACAATGGTTCTGGCTTGAAACTTCCTTTTTTCTCTCCAAGCTGAGCTGCATCTTTGTCTCGATATCCATTGAGGTATTTTGATATTAATACTAACATGAAACATCATTTCAAATAAAACGCCAAGCATAAAACACTTGATGTCAATGTTATTAAAAAAAATTTTTTTTAAAAAATGGTCAATCCCTATATAAAATGCCAATCATCAATATATATCATACTTATAAAAAACAAACCTTTATAAATCCTTCCAAGGCCTCTGAAATCCATCTGATCAGAGCAGTTAAACACAACAACATACTTCCCAAGTGCTTTTCCCATATCTTTGGTTGTCTCTGTTTTACCAGTCCCAGCCGGACCAGCGGGTGCTCCACCCATGCTCATACCCAGAGCTTGAGAAAGTGTGATGTAGCATCTAGATTAAGTGGATGAAATGACTTGTTGATATAGATTAGAGAACCCAGGCACAAGCCTTGTATGTTCAATGATTTCCAAGCATTGGGAACCGTGGTCCCGTATCAATGTTCACACAGTTTGTTTAGTTTGATAATGATCTTTTATGGCCAAATACCAATTCCAAAGTTAGGTGCCAAACATGGAATATATTCATATTGATTCCAAACTTTGATTAAGAGCAATAAAAATCAATCAAATAGCCAAAAAAACTGCTCGACAAATGAACTCTAATGGGCAAAATGAATAGCTTTCTATGTTCAGTATGAATTTTTAGTTTCCACAGTGGCATAGACAATAAATTTCCCTAAAAACTCAGAACCTTTTTTGTCTATGGGCAATATAACCAACCTCAGACATCTCGCTAGGCCACACAAGCAATTTTTTTTTTCCATGTACACAACAAATTAAAAAATTAGCAATAACCAGAGCGCCGCGACAAAAGCTAGAGAAGATGGCTATCGCTTACCCTGCTAGTAATAAGGAAACTGGGCGAAGCGACGAAAGATTTATTGCAGCAACATAATTTTCATGTATTGCTACTCATGTGATTGACTTTTTAGACAAAACTGTCCGATTAAGAATTTATGCTTAATGGGGAAAAATCTGAGTGTTGACAAGGGCCACACTAAATGGCTCGACAGGCAGGGTTGTGGCCCCTGGGCTGTCTGTTGCACATCCCCGCCCTAACACAACTGTCAATTAATCAGTGTGATAATTAGCCTGTCAAATAGTTCAAAACTAAAACTCTGCTACTGACGAGGGCTACCCAGATGTCTCCCATATGCAGTATGGATTTCGATATCCAAGGTAAGATTGACCATATTTTCCCTCAAGAACTTAAAATGAATTCCGTAGTGTCTGTTCATTTTGTGCACTGTAACTTGTCACACCGTAACAGGCCACTCAGTGTTGATTGAGGTAATAAAGGCTTATCTTGTGAGCTTCGAGCAATTGTACTTTGAGTATAGAAGTCTGGGTTAAATCTGTTTTCATTAATCCGTTTGGTGATGAACAGTACAAATTCGAATCCCATAATGCAATCCCTTACCTGTCAGTTAGTGGTGTGATGACCAGCCTGTCAGTGCAGCCTAAGAACTCATTCTGGTAGATGAAATCCACATCAGTGATGCTGACAATACATTTATCAGTGTCTGCGTTGAAGTAGAATCGAGATTGTTTCAGCCATTCAAAATCAAGAGGAGTCTTGATGTGCATGCGGACCTGGAAAAAGAAATAATATCTGTTGAGTGAGAATTGGATTTATTTAAGCATGATAGCCTTGTGCAGGGGATCTAAATCTTTATTCTCCAAATTATCACTCAATTTCCCAAATAAGAGAAGAAGCTCTGGGTTAGACAGTGACAGCATTGTCGCAAATATTATGCATTGAAATTTTAATAATGTTGCAATCAGCTGAGTTCGAAGCTGCAATTGATCATATGCTAAAAGGAAGGAGGTAGCCTATCTGTGTAGCAGAGAAAAGTGTGTACTTCTTGCTTTCGAACCCAAGGCAGGTCTATATCCCAGGGTGAATTCATTCCCGGCAGTTTTACTCGCTTTCACTAATTAACCCACTATACTTCAGATATGATACAATCAGTGAGGTTATAACAGTTAGCAGGAAATGGGTAATGTGTACAGCTGATAACTAACATTATGTTTGGCGTTTCGGTAATTCTGTGTTAGATTTGTGTAAAGCGTGTCATGTTGATGTAGTTTATGTAGAGACATCTACTAGTAAACAAGGAGTTCCAATTGTTTTTATGTAATCTTATTCTAGCACTCTTATAGAGCTAGTAAAATCAGTTTAAAAAAAAGCCGTTCTCAGATTCCGTATCTCACTACTGAACATAACCAGTTGAATATTTGTAATGCATGGGCATGATGAAAGAAACTGTAATCTCTGTAACCCATATTATGCTTACCAAGTCATCGAAGATATCCCTCTGATGTACGTGAATAGTGATCAATGTCTCATATTTGATTCTCTCAAATTTTGTGAGTTCCTTGGTGGTGACTTGAATGAGTGAGTTCAAGATTTCCAGGAAACGTTGATTGGTCACCTGTGATTGAAAACTGACAAATTAGCATGGTATTTTCATATTTATTTTGTTGGAGACAGAAGCAATACTAGTGTTGGCTATTAATAATATGATGAACCACAGTCTCTTGTCAGGTTGCAAGTCTATGTCAGGTATGGAAAGAGTTTATTTGTTTCAGATGCATGGACTTGATAGTGAAAAAAACCAATGCTGAACAGCAGTTATGTGAACGGCTTACAACAGTACAAAAACCTTAATTCACATAGGAAGGTGATAGCATGGCTTAATACCATGTCCTCTAGGCCGGTTACCACTACATCTTGGGTATGGGATTAGTTAAACAGCCATCAGTTTCAAATGCATGGACTTGATGTTGGAGGAAAACGTATTTGACTAGTATCTACATGAAATACCCTGCAAAGATCCCTCTTTCATATTGAATCCCTATAGATTCGAGCTCGTCTAACAGGGTAAAAAGTTACAAGCATGTTCCTAATGCTCACAACTGAAGGAAAGCTCGTTAATTAACTGAAAAACTGGATTTAGTTGAGGAACATGGTGTGACATGATTGCTGTTGGCTCACTCAACTTGGATAAAAAAAAATTGACAAAAAAGCCTTATTTAGAAAGGCAGCCATAAAAATATGTTTAGTTACATATCATATAAAAATTCTCACCGGCATAATTTTCTTGTCATGTCTTGCATTAGAAAGAGCTTCTTCAGCATCTTTCGTCCAAATCATTTGTAATCCGAGCAACCCAACCTGCAATTAACCAAATCACAAAAATTTGCTAATATGAAAAATGAATTCGGAAAGCCTCCTTCAAGCCAGAACCATATGAAGGGATTGCAACATCTCTTGTGAGGCTTGTAGCACTAATGTATTACTATACTTTCCCAAAACTATTCCCCTATATCAAAAGCCACAACAAATTTTCTGAGATGGCCTGTCTGCATCTCCTTCTCCGGCCTACAATTCAAATCAACCCAACCATGCCTATATAAACTCAGACAGTCAAGCAGAAATGGAAGTTGCATCTCTGCATCAGAGGCTGGGAACTTAATGGCTATAAATTGTAAAACAAATTTTTTTTTTTTACTAGTTCTCGGCATATCTGTGGCTGCTCGTAACTATGCTCAGAGATCAGTTGCCCTCACAACTGAGTAGCTCTTGCCCCTTCAATGGTCGATTGCTCAGAGACTACTTCCGAGTGTTGTCCCTTCATTGAATGATCACTCAGAATTCTGTCTCCTTTACTTTCACAAATGTATGCTGGCATGACCTCGCTCGGAACAAATTCTCTAATAACAACCCATGTCTGTTTTAGACAACCTCAACAGTGCAATGCACATACCTGAGCAGGAGCAGAATCCAAGAAAGGATGAAGTTGGAAGGAAGGATCCACTATCTGTATGGAAGCATCTCTTATAACTCCATGCAATGATCCTTGTTGTTGATTAAGTAAATCACCCAACCAGATCTCTACATTGCCTTTAGCAACCACTGGCTTCTCAAGCTGTAACAAATTTAAAAAAAAAAGTGGATTAAAGCTTACACATGGCCATCAGTAGATATGTGCAGATTTTATTACCGCTTTTTATATGACATATTTATACAACGTCCGAACAAGGCTCTGTGCAAGCAACTACTACTGGGTTAGAAGTTGCAATAATTTGGAAGCTGTATGCATTTATTACACTATTGGTGGGGTGATGGTCTCGGTCTCTATCTACATTGCATTTAGCAAACACTGGCTTCCCAAGCTGTAACTAAGGTTTGATTATGACCAATATAGGACAAGCAGCACAGATGTGAGAGTTTGTTTCCAATCGATGCAAACTGCACAAACTAGATTTACTTCGGACTTGGTAATCAAGTATAGCTATCTTCCTGATTTTATTCAGATTCTCCAAAATCTCCAATGGGTTTTAATTAAAAACTCACAACCCATGCATAAGAACTAAGAAGTGGACAAACAGACTTAAATGGGACCGATCTGCCGGACAACAGTACAAACAAATCTCATATTTTTTTTGGCACAAATTCAGACTAAGCTGCAGGAAGAAGTTTTCCTAATGATTTTTGCGGCAATAACAAAACAAAATCTGTGAATTATTCAATTATTATATCGCCATACCATAATTGTTTCTCCCTCCTTTGATACGACAGTCATTATTCTATCATAATCCTTTTCATGAAAGTCAACTTTGTTCACATTCTCAAATACTCCAAGAAGATGAGCCTGCAAACAAGTGTATGGCACTTGGTAACAAAGGGTTACCACACTTAAATATATATATTCATGGTACTGAAACTCTCAGTATATTGAAGGTAGACTAGATTTTATATCTATTGCACGTAAAAAAAATCTGAAACGAGCATCACGCAAACAATTGTGCTGGATAGAATGTGACAATTTATCAAATTTTTATTATTAACCAGGCATTGGGAGCCAATGTCACAGGAACTGACCAGTGGTGGGGTTCCAATTTTTCGTCACCCGGTTTTCTTCAAAAAAGTTATATTTTTCAGTCGGTTCTGTTACAAACAGAACACTGACAGTTTTCTGATCTCATAAAAATCCGTAAGACAGTTCTATAGAACCGGTGAGAACTGGCTGAATCCCACCACTAGAACTAGCCAAGCTTCATATCAAAATATTTGGAAACAATATCTCAAAGTGTATGAAGACAGATATTGGGAAAGTTTGGCTTTGCCTCCATCGTGAACATTTCCATGGATGGATCAACATCTGTGATATGTATGCTGTAGCCAAGTATACAAACCTGAATAGAATGTGAATCGCTTGCTTGTCCAAGGATTTCTAGCAAAGCAGGATCTGATATGAAGAAGAAACGAGGAAACACAAGTCGTTTCTGCTCAAGGTATCTGGAAAACAAGGAAGATATGGATTGATATTCCTATCCTGATGCCATGGCATGAAAACCTTAAGAACTGCGGAGTATCCCGTACAGCAGTGATTGGCAACCTTTTTTCAGTGACGGGCCGGTAAGATCTGACCAAAATTTTGGCGGACCACCTTTATAAAAATTACAGACGAACTGATCTAATGTAATAAATTATATGCGCTAGAAAAGGTACGTTGACAATACATTCAAAAACAAAGGTATAACGTGTTTCTAACGTTCGTCCTACTTCAATGTTTCGTTTTTGTAGTTGTCAATTTTGAAAACCTGACCTCACATACTGGTAACAATGCTATAAAGGCATTGTACGTTTTTTGTGTCACCTTTCTGCGGACCAGTAGTAATCTTTTCGCGGACCGGCAATTGGCTGCGGCCTGGTGGTTGCCGACCACTGTCGTACAAGAACTTATCAAATTGGCTCTTTTGGGATTGAAACACAAAAGGTATACAAATACAACCATACTTATTCTGCAACCATGACCCAATACTCTGGACCATTTAGAGATAAATATGGGACAATATTTCATATCACTGTGTTATGAAACCAGCAAGAACCGATGAATATCCCGAACACTTGCAAGTTAAATTAACAATTTTCACAAGTAAAACACATACATTATGCCAGGGGTGAACCGATGAATATCCCGAACACTTGCAAGTTAAATTAACAATTTTCACAAGTAAAACACATACATTATGCCAGGGGTGTGCAACTTTTAATACAGAAGGGCCAAGATACAAATAACTGGTGAAACTGCAAAATGCACCTTTATTTTTCACTTTTTACTTGTAGGCCCATTTGGCCCGCAGGCTGCAACCCCATACATTATGATATTACTGCATATTAGATACATTATCCCATGCAGCAAATATGCTAAAGAACACGAAAGCAAGGGCAGAGGCTCAAAAATCACAAACTTGAGCAGACATGTTACAATTACAAAACTCAGGGAATAGCTTTTAATAAAAGAAGTTTTAAAAAGCAGAAAAGGAGCTCCTGCATATGGAAATACAAGAATCTTTTTGCTTGATAAGGTTATTTTCATAGGTTGTTTTCACTTTGTCCAGCATGAATTGTTCGAATACAATGGGATTTGAAATCTACTAATCAAAGGGCCAAAAGTGCTAGAAGCCTCTGGAAGATATAATAAGTTGAGAATCACTGCTTTATAGTATAGGATAACAACCTACTCAATTACAATAGTAACCAATATGATTTTTCAGAACAAGGACTAAAACTTCTCTACATGCTCACCCAGTCAAAGATTTCTGACACTGTTCCAATTGCTCTAGTAAATGTGGCAACAGCTGACCCAGAGTCTCATCCCCCACACAGCATTGCACAACATTTGGTGTCTCATGTGCTCTGGTCATGATCTTCACCCAGGATTTGTCAATGTTAGAGAAACGTTTCGCTTCCTGAAATAAAAATGAAAAATGAGGGACAGAACTTATTAGAAAAATTAAGGAAAACAGAAATCAAAAGTTACATCTCAAATGACATTAATAATCCCTGATATTTCCTGGGTAGCGTGCTCTGATGTTCAGAGCTATATAGAATGATTATTCAGCAGTAAAAGTCTGCATTCTGTGTACTTATGGAAAACAGAAGCTTTAGTTATATTTATCCGTACCTTCGGCAACTGTTTAGCAATGTCTCCTCCAACAAACACAGCCTCGAGGTAGACCCATAAGTTCTGAACGATCAACCAGTTTTCTGAAAACAAAATAAAAATGAAAAGCTGGAACATCGGGCAGCGGCGCGGTGGTTGGCTCAACGGGCTAAGCGTTAGGAATACGATCGCCACCGCACCTCTAATTACTCTGCGTGGGTTCGCAGGTTCGAATCCCATGCAGGGATGGTTATGTGCGAGAGGATTGCTGGACTCCTCGCCATCGTTGGGTGGTTCACGTAACCGCTGGTCGGTTACGGCTTCCTCCACCACCAAGTCCATGATTCCGAAAACAAACAATATAACTAATCCCATACCCGACTTGGAATGGTAACCGGACGAGAGGCCGTGGTTCGCCATATGGATAAGCCGTCTTATCGGTTTTCTTCTCCCCCGGGATAAATATGTAAATCTTATCCTTATCCATCTAAATAAACTCAAATTCATGTACATTTTAAATATGCATTGAATAATTTGGTCTTCGAAGCAAGATAGGTAAATTTCGGTATTATAAATTGATTGACATAGTGGTTTACTAATACAAATAATCTATCTCAATGAAATGACACTAACCAATAATGTCCGATGTGTTAGACAGCTTTGCAACCCATTGTTGTATAGTTGGTTTGAAAGGTGCATTGTATCTAGGATAAGAAGTAATAAACAATTTTGTTACAGCAAAGAAAGCAAAAACCTGAGTGTGCCAGACTGACCAACATTGACTAGATACTAGTGCTTTTTACGACTAAGTTGGCAGAAGCTCTGACCATGTTTGAGAAATAGGCAACTTACATCAGGAAAAATCAAACAATTCTTGAGTCTGACAAATTAGTGTGCTATACCATACTACCGGGATGTAAAATTAGTAGCTGTGTAGAGTAGCTCTACTGTGCTGTTATGCTGACTATATTAACACTGTCATCTCATAGAAATTGAACATGTTATCTCTTAACCCAACGAGATAAACAATAGATTTATTGGGGTTGCACTGAATAGGGATGGGACGAGTCCGGCATTACAGAGATTCGACGAATCCGAGTAATAGGTCAAGGACTCGAATCGAATCTGCCGAGTCCGTGACGTCATAATAGAAAAGCAGAAAAACACGTTTTTGACCATGCTACAGCATCGTGCGCTCACAAATATACGTCGTAGCTCATATTTTTTGCCTGATGGTTCCGCAGATAGCTGTTGAATCATTTTAAAAATATATTTTCCTCTTTTTGGCGGCCATGATACAAACGTAAACGTGGGCCAATGTGCGCCTTGGCTGTGAACTGAATTTCCAGCCCACCACCTTGCGTCAATTCTGGTCGGCTATTCAGATATTCTTACATGTTAATATGAAAAATAAAAAATCTTCTGACTACAATGCTTTCCCATAATTCCAGATATTTCTAGCCGTGAATTTACTATGTCACGTGCGCATATTGTAGAGAAATGCCACTCGTCGTCAATACATTGTGGTACATCCGCTTGCAATTTAATAGTTCATCTAAACGTTCTAAAACTCTCCATGCTTTCCATTGCCTTTTTAGCGAAAGGATTGCACGTAGTAAACCCGATTTAAAAGAGGTATTGATGAGATTCCCCATTGGGTTGATTCAGGGCATGTTTCATTTTTACGCGAATCTAAAACTCAAAAATATTGCGCTAACACATATTTTATTGTGTACCACATGTATACCGAAAAGAATAGATAGTTTGAAGGCGACTGGCGCAACATCATTGTTATAAGCGATCAATAGTTTTTAACTTGCGTTATCTGGATTATCTGGATATCTGTCGTCGTTTTATTAGGAGTGTTTATAATGCACACGAGGGATATTGTTACAGAGCTAACTTTGAATTTTACTAGTTAAGGTATGTAGTGGGATTTAAAGAGGTAAAAGTACAAACATAGGCGTAAATTAGTAAAAACAGAATTGATTATGGACTCGGTAAAAACGACGTGGACTCGAAATCGAATCCAAGTCCAAAAAATGCCTGGATTCGACTCGAATCCGAGTCCGGATCCGAATCCCGGCCCATCCCTAGCACTGAACTGTGAAAAGATTTTGCTTTTTAAATCTAAAGCAGCCTTTTACTCTGCACTAGGACAAGAGATTAGAAGATATTCTGACTATGACAAGAGCTCAAAAAAATTCAATATCTCATGACCAAAGCTCTCAAAGGATGTAGAGAGCTAAGGTGCTAAACCCAGCATGAGACACTACTCTACCTGTTACTAAGCAGAGATCCAAGGATCATCAAACTGTCTTCCAGCAATGATACAATCTCCGATGTTTCCTGACCTTTCAGGAGTAGCTCGCCTGGTTGGACAGAAGAAAGAGTAAGGATTTGCTTGTTGGGCTATTGCCAGCAGTTTGCGAGTCATGGATTATGAATTTTAAGTTAATATTTGTGACCACAAACATTTTTCAAATACCGGCAACACTATAATATCACATGTTTCATTGCACTTATTGATTATTTCTTCTTTTACTTCTGATCAGGGGTAGCAGCAGAGTGGCTCTAATTAGGTATCGATAATTCAGGTACATTCTGGGGCTGAGACTCAGTCTTTATAGCATCCACAACTGGTTTCAATGCTAAAGAATTAGAATGAAATTCTCGTTAAACATCCCAGTGCTTATAAAAAGATCTTGTGCGAGAGGATTGCTGAACTCATTGCCACTGTGCGGCTCTTGACATTACTGCTAGTCGGCTGTGGCTTTCTCCACCATACCAAGTCAAGTTTATTTTTTCCAGCCAGTAAATAAATAAGAACAAATGGACACAGAAAATACAACAGAAAAAAATGAAAATTACAGTTTTACTGAAGGAAAGTCGCGAGGAACCAAAGCTGGCTATCGAGCAGCGACGCCTAAAGTTCAAATATCTAATTTAAAATAGTGAAATATTTTTGTTTCTGTTTTAATCCAGGGGTGTGCGACAGGAGGCCCGCGGGCCACAACCCGGCCCGCCAAGTCAACACTCGTATGTTTCCCCATCGAGCATAAAATCCCAATCCGACAGTTTTGTTTAATAAAGAGACGCTCACATGGCTTTTGTCGCTGTGTTAAATTTTTCGCGGTTTTGCCAGGTGCTTTATAAATGTAAGGCTAGGCGAGAGTTTTTCAATTCGTTGTGTAAATGAAAAAACCAAACTTTTTGTGTGACCCGGCTAACTGTCCAAAATTGGTTGTATGGCACACCCGCCAAAGAATGTTGCACACCCCTGTTTTAATCTAACATCGCTTCATAGGGATAGTTAGTTTCTTGAGATTACATTAGGAGTAAACCAACTGCTGAATGTGTAATTTCCCAATTCAGTAGAATCAATTATAGCAAGGGTTGTTCCAACCACTCCCATGAGTTGGAACATATTGAAAAGCCTAATTAGTCTCATATCTAAACTAGGCTAGTAAGCGAGTGGCATTGGTCCACTACACAAAATTACTGTTTTGACTGCTTTCTTTAGGCCAAAGATAACTAAAGATTCTTGCATAATCAAAACACTTAGAGGTGTAAAGGAAACACAGCTAAAATACAAATTTCCAATAAAACAAATCCACTAATCTTAAAGTGTTGCTATAAAATCAACCTACCCCTGGTTTTGAAGTTTGCAAAGCTAAGGTTATTTCCGTTCCATTCAGCAATGACTTGACTGAGTTTGGCTTCGATGTCTTTCTCCTTGACTGCACTGATGCAAATATCTTCTATGTCTTCCTTGTATTTGAGAAGAGGAGCCGCCATGATGTTGCGCAGTTGGAAGTTTTCATTGTCTGGGGAGTGAAACGGTTATTAATTATTAAATAAAGTCTGTGCAGTTAAGCATGTTGAGACTAGAGTCGTATATTCCCAGGAAATTTTGGTAAATTTTTCCCAAGTATACAGCCTTTGATGAAATACTGACTGTATTTGCATCTGTGAGCTGATGAATGATTTGACAGGAGCATGCAAAAGCATAACTATTCATGGAATCTGCTTAGAATGCACAGCCAAATCAGATAAACCGCAGGTTTGTCAGGTTCGCCAAGCTATCACCATTAAATCAGAATTTTTACTGATATTAGTGCAAAGCTATATCAACAATTAAGCAAAATATTTGGCGCAGGAACAAGAGCCAAAAGAAGGAATTTGAAAACTCAGATATCTAAATTCTTGGCTGAAATAATTAAATCTAAATCAATTTTGAGTTGAAGATTTTTCGAACCCTAACAACAACTGACGTCAAAACTTCTGTCAATGTAAGTCCAACAGTTGAATTTTTGAAAGATATGAAGTTATGATCCAAATGCAAACTCACTTTGATGTATATTATTACTCACCCACGTCAAAAGTATATCCAGTTAATGCAGTGATCCTGTCCCAATGTCTTTGCTTCATTGCCTTGTCAGACATGAGCTCAAGTATGGGGCAAGATTCATTGAAATCATTGATCTTATTGGATAGCTCGTTGTAGGCTTGCCATTCCTTGAGTCCTTTGGGAAGCTTGCGACATCTGAAAACGTAGAAATGGTTGATAAAGTTTGGCGGTGTAGTGCAGCATGCGTTAGGAACACACTCGCCACAGCCCTTCTGATTACCCTGCATTCTGATTATCGAGCAAGGACCTTATGCTAAGATCAGCACTATTTATTTTGGCATCAACAAGGCCTGAGTTTGTAAATAATTAATTTTTCAAAAACAAATCTAATCTAAGTAAATCATATTTAGCATGATTTTTCAAGGGTCATATCAATCCGGCAGTCAAACCATTTCAACAATTAAGATGACCAGGTTCCAAACACCAGCTTCCAAAATTTCCCTACGTGCCACTCTAAAAAGCTTAAAAAACTTATGCTAAAGATATTGTGGTCTCATCAATACTACTGTAAAGTTAACAAAGACATACTGGATGGTGAGCTAACCATAGAATTTTGCACCCACCTGTTTTGAAAGTCGAGCAATTCTTGGTTTATCTTATCAATGTCAACTTCCAGCCATAGAATGTCGTAATAGCCATTGATAGACTTCATCACAGCATTGTATAGTCCATACAACTTCTGCAGGAGGTTCAATTCCTTCTTTGATCGTTGTAGATGGGGGTATTCTGTGACTTGCAACCCGAATAATTCTTCCCCTGCATTGTAGGTTTGGAACTTGCGCCACAAGTCATCGAATCTAAAGAATGATGGATATTAGTGATACAAAATGCTCATTGTCTTGGACTAAGACAGACCTGCGCTAGTTAATCACAGTGATAGTACAATGGCAATTCCTATAGCATTCAATATTAAAAGAAATTCCCTAACCATAACAGACAGACCAATGGCCACAAATTATTGAAGCCGCAGGAAGCTATCACATTAGATATACATTATGCCCATTGTCTAAAATGCGGTAGAATGAGTCAGAGCAGAGGTTCCAACCCCGCGGTCGAATAAGATATTTCGATTGGACATGGCTGGGTTAGAGGATAGGATTATTCATATTAGACCAAAGGAGGGGAAAGAGATAGAAGGTTATGAAATGAAGCAGTTTTAACCTGACATGTAGCGTGAGTAGGTGCTTTACAGGTTAGTCATTTCAAATGAATGGGTTGGACGGGGGAAGAAGGCATATGGAAAACAGTCATACAAACCATCCTATGACACTGAGGGGTTCAGCAATCCTCTTTCAAATAATCATTGCTCGTAGAATTTGAACCAATGAACCCATACATCGTAATAAACAGTGTAATGGCAAGTGTAATCTAATTGCAATTCATGATAAATGAATTCACAAGCTCCAACAGATGGACCAATAGCTCAAAATTATTTAGGCCTTGGGTCGCTATGTCGTATGAGTAGAAAATTGGACGCATCCGGAAGTAGAACCTTAAATTAAAAGAGCTATAGGTGGACTGGATGATACTGAATGATTAATAGTAGAATGGAAAGCAAACCCATCATAAATTACATTACTAAACCGGCAGACCAATTGATCAAAATGAACCAATAAATAATCATCGATGATTTTCCTCAAAAAGAAGTAGATTGGACTCACTTGAAAGAAAAATTCCTGATCGCGAGACCCATGTCATAAACTTATTGAATATTTCAAACAATTCAAGTAGTCTACCTGCTTTGATAAACCTGCAGTAAATCGCTGGCTTCTACAGGAGTGAGACCTTCTTTCATTGGTCCATTCTCATCATAGGATTGCTGGAATTCATCTGAATCCACATGGAATTTCTCTACCTTGGCGATCAGATCGGCTCGGAATTTTGGTTGCACATCACAGAGCTCATCTTGAACCTGGGATAAAAATTTATACGCAACGTTTTCCTTACGTCCAAGCAGTCACAAAAATTTTTTCAGCTCATAATTCTACGCTCTAATTGCGTATTTTTATCATGGCACTTTGGTGTTCACTTGTAACTTTGCTTAGAGATCATTATCTTTGATTTAAATGATGGTGCGTGTGGCCTTGGTTTGAAGAAATTTACTCGCAAAAATGTCAAATCCCAACTCACCACCCCGGCTTATATTCATATCATTTAAAGAAGTGGGCCTTAACCTGTGTTGGATCAAACCTCCGGGGCTCGGAGTTATTCCAGAGGGTTGGCAAAGGTCATCTGAAACAGTTGTATATAATGGAACTTTTCTATTACACTAGGTCAAGAACCATTGATTTAAAGCCTCATTGTACCTTATTAACAAGTGAGAGAAGTTTATCCCAGCTGTATCTCAAGGTATCGACTTTGTTTATCTCATCTGATTGTATCTGTACATTGAACTTCTGCATGATGGCGTAGGCTTCCTCAACAGGGCCTGGTTAACAAACAGGAATAATACAGTTAGTACCCAGGCAGCATGAAGTTGATATAAGATAAGGTTTCTAAACCAGGGGTGCACACACCTCTAAGGGTTTGAAAACATTTTCTGAGTATAGGGGGTGTAAAAAAAATACATCGCAATATACAGGTTGTGAAAGTTATTCTCTGAAGCACTGTGAATACTTCTGTATTGTGGTAATTTAACTATTCTTTCCTAGTGTGATGATAATTTGATTTCAATCATGATGTTATTATGGTGTCAGATACACAAAACAATAGGAAATAATGCAATAGTTATGATATTTACACAGAATAATATTATTATACTTTATTAATTCCAGAATGGGAGTGCTTCAATGATGATTAAAAAAAAGTGTGAAAAAAGATAATTAGGAGCACCTGTTTCAGGGATTGAAGACTATTTTATATGTCTTTCTATGTACTGTACAAATTTATTCCCCCATTGCAAATAATATCAAGTTGCCCCATACCCAACTCGAATCATTTTGTAAACGAGACGCTTGCTAATCAGGTTCACCATTTAAATAAGTTGGCAATAGGCTTAAAAAATGTATCAGAATAAACAATGTTTTGATTGGTTACTTTGATTGTTATAAAGTGCCAGAAGTCGAGAATGTCACAAAGTTCTTACCCCACCAACAGATGGTGAATGCTATTATTGAAATCACAAATTGACTATAATATATATAGCTAATATCAAGTATATTTGAATGCTTGGTTTGTTTTGAGCATAATATCCAATCTTACCCAAGCTGAAGTCAATCCTTGTGAACTCTGCCTTGATGGTATCCAATGCATTCATGGCTCCCCTGACATCGTCCAAGTCTTTGATGCTTCTGTTCAATCTCTTTGAATATTCGTTGATGAATTCACTCAGTTCATCCATCTTGGTTCGATATTCGATGTTAAGACATTTGCAGAGGCTCACCTGTGTAATATAGGATATGAGAGTTTTTTCAAAACAAGGCGCTACACCGGTGGTGTGCAACAGGCGGCCCGCAAGCCCCAACCTGACCCGCCATTTTAGTGTGGCCATTGTTAACACTCATATTTTTCCCACCAAGCATAAAATCCTAATCCGACAGTTTATGTTTAAATGGGTAAGGATAGATAATATTTTTGATGGATAATCTATAAATTACAAACCCAAACAAGCTACGCAAGGAATATATAAAATCAGAACTTACAGAATTCAATATAATGGCTATTCAGGTACCATTGCTATGCAAAGGATAAAAATCACAAACCTTCCAAGCCTTTGTTTCCACAGTCAAAGCCGTTTTAATATTATCGGTCTGCAATTGTACAGGTCCAATGTTGAGAGTGTTGGGCAAGGCTTCCACACTCTGATTCACGTCCTCATATTTCATGATCTCGGCTCGGAACTCTGTCAGAAGAGGTTCTGTTGCCATAAACCTGAGATGGAAAGATTGAAAAACTTTAGTATGGCACAAATGTTCAAATGGAAGAAATTTAGAATTTGAGCTGGACAATAGAAGTCTAACAGAATGAAAAGAATCTTTTTTATTCAAATGCTAATCAAATGCTAAAATATTAAAAACGAATCCAATGTTTGTGAACTTTGACGACTTGGCTTTTTCAAAGCCAAACACATTGAATCGCATGCCCACCATATCACAATGCTGATTCAGAAAGACTGTAATCCTCCCAAAAATAGTAGCAAGTTGCATGATTGCTTGGACAGTGCATTGTTTGGACTAGAGGTTAGGAAACTATTGAAAAACACACTACTGAGATAGTAAGTTTGAAAAAACCTTGTTCAATCAGAATGTTCAAATCGGAGAAATTTAGAAGACAATAAAAGTCTAACAGAATGACAAAATTCTCCTTCATTCAAATTTCTTATGCTGAATATTTGAAAACTGATCAAATCTTGTTACATGGTGCATTGTATGGACTGGAGGTGGAAAAACGCTTTTAGACAGTCGTGACCATAAAGTGTAATTGTCTGACCATTTAATTCCATCATAAAGTTTTATGCAATACACCCTGATATGCTATAGAGTGTTATTATTAATCAGTGAACATAATACTGTCAACTGGGCATCCAAGAACCATTGCAAATTATGAAAAAAAATTTGAGTCACTGCAAGCATTACTGTTTTAGCTAGGGCTGGGCAAAATATTCGAATAACGAATAGCGAATCGAATATTAAATTATTCGAATGGCATTTTACTATTCGAATATCGGGTACCACGTGATCTGCGTCGCTTCACTTGGACACAAAACGTCTCTGAACCGATCATGAATTGCGCGAGAATTCACCTACAACGCTCGCTAACGGACAAAAGCAACAAATTTGAAAAATCGTCTTTGCGTTGTGGTGGTATTTGTTTTCTTTGCGTTTCGATCGTGCATTTCAATTCCCTATGTTGCACAAAGAGGTATCGACACCGTTCCCTAAATTTAGAAACGTTAAATCAGATGGGGTATTTGAAAATAAATATTCCAGATTTTAAACTTCGTATGATTGGCGGCACGTGATTAGCCGTTTCGTGCAACAAACCAAACATAAATTTATTTAACAAAATTAAAATTTGAATTAACTATATGAATATGAAACAATACATAGTATAACACGAACAAGCTATGACCAGAAAAGAAATGGCAGGACATAGTTCTTTTTTAATGTACTTTCAAATAATTCTTTAGTGATCCCTTTCATTCTTGACCAAATATTGTTTCGAAAGTGTAAACATTCCACTCGGGCATGCATGGCGGGTGGAGTGTAGAAATCGTGAACAGGAGTATGGCGTAAAATCAATCGTGAATTTCGATGTAACAACGCGCACTGTCTCGTTTACGAATTGTTGTATCGCCGGAAATGATTACATTTGTTATATTTTGAGCATTTTTGCACTAATAAATAGGGCGTGACATTATCAAAATTGTCAAGAGAAGTAAAAGTGAATTCGCAAATTCCGTAAATAAAATTGTGAATTACTCGGTAACGATATTAGCTATGATGATCGCGCGGATTGTTGAAAGAAAACGTCGGAACTTGGAAGAGTTAGTTATAATTAGCGCCTGGCCATTTATTAGGCACAAAAGTAAAAAAGCGCATTTTTTTTCAGCATTAGGTCGCATATGTAAATTATTATTCAAGTAGCGCTGTTTATTAACGTCATCTCGTCATATGGCCACGCAGAAATGCCTTTATTGTCGAATTATTTAGTCACTAATTTAATTAAACATTCGGGATTGACGCAATCGCAGCTTTGTGAGGTTTATCTGTAGAGTAACATAGACACCATAGAAAAGCATAGCAAAGTTAATTACGCAATTGTCTTAATAAATATCTACATCCCGGTATCGATAATAATATTACCAGTTGCTTAATATTGTGGCGGTAAATCTACAAACGTTGATAAGTAATATGAAAGCCAACGCAAATGATAAAAATGAGAATAATATCAATTTGGGTTTTTACATCAATCCTTAATGATTTTAACTTAAGAACAGCTGTTGCCGACGTGAACGCACGGGTAAACCCGAAATATAAACGTCGTTGTCCGCCGACCCGAAAGAATTAATACTTGCAAATAACAGAAAGGGCGGTATTATAGATTATATATCGCCGCAAAAACGGTCAAGGTGACAAAAACAATCAGCGATAATGACAAAATTAACTAGTAAAAAAACGCTTTGTAGCCGATTTTGCAATGTCTTTATTAATTTCCAAAAGGAGTATCGACCGACGTTGTAGACCTCCTGTTGTGTATAAAAAATATTCGTTATTCGACTATTCGGTATTCGTTAAAAATATTCGAACTATTCGATTCGAAAAAAATATTCGATTTTGCCCACCCCCAGTTTTAGCCAACGAGCACTGAAGGGTGTCAATAAAGTCCCTTTACAATTTCAATTTGTTATGAAGTCAGTTGTCAATATATCTTAACTAGGTTCACTGTTTTTTAATCAGTAATAGTTCAAGTATTTTTACTTAATACATCTGTGAGACATATCATATGGTATCGATAAATTCCCTTTTCAATTTTAAGACTTTATGGACACCCTTTATTCTACACTTACGCTTGTACAGTTGTCTCTCTATCTTCTTCCCACAGCATATGAAATTGATTGAATGGATGCAGCTGCTTAGTGATGGGTTCCCTCATGTTATTCATTGCACTGCCGTGCATCATCACTAGTTTGGCAACATCCTTCTGCTCTGACACAGCCTATGATGCATTTGTATAAGTGTGTAATGATCTTATTGCACAGATATAGACAAGAGCCTGAATGCATGGATTCTCAAATTGCGACATACAGAGACCAAGGGCTCCACAAAAAAATAGGAATTCCACGAGCCATTCGTTTACCTTTTTGAGATATTGACTATAGCACACTGGTTTCCAACCTTTTTAGCAATGATGACCCAAATAAACATTCTGGAGGCTGAAGCAACCAATTGTACAATTGATTATATGACTATATTTGTTATTTGTTATCAAAAAATTTGCAAAAAAAGAAACTAAAAATGAATGGAACAGAAATATGTTTTTATGATAAAATTGACGCGGAAGACACTCGAATGTCTTTCAGAAAACACTACTGAAACATGTTGGGTATATTTCATTATATTTAAACAAAATGCATATAATAATACTTATACAGACTCAGAATTTGAGAGTAAACTTGCGGAACCCCAGACTGTACTGGTAGAACCCTAGGATTTGAAACCACTGCTATTGCATAATGAACTGGCAGACTCACAGACGACAAGTGTGATCCTGAGATTATTAAGCATTGTATCTTTACCTTGAAATGATTCTGGAGTTTCTCACTGGGTACAGGTATAAGTCCAGATATGCTTCCTTGCTTCTTTATTGAGTCTCGTTTGTTTTTGTTGGCCGATCCGCTCCCTGAATCCTCACTGGATCGCTCCTGGAATCGAATCTGTCCCCAACATATGACACCTCGGCTGACTTCAACAACACATCTAAAAGTGAATTTCAACTTTAAAAAATGAAGAATAAATAACAGTTAACTTAGGAATACAGAAACAGATTATTGGGTGTCTTGGTCCCAATTCTTGATACTAAAATTAGCAAATTTGACTGGAAAAATTAAAAATGAAGCGGTTGTTTTGAAGTAAAATTCAGCATGGAATTTGAATTAGGATTATACCTGATCATGCTAAAGTAAATTTAAAATAATAAACAAGAATAAATAACAATTCACATGGGAAATACAGATATATTGTATTCGCATTGATCGCCACAGATGTCTAGTTAGGACGAAAAGCCTCGGGGTCGTGAATCTTATTTACTTACCACTTTAACCTATATATTATATTATCTCAAGCAGCAGATAATTAATGATAAACAATTCTTTGACAGTTGTACTGTTTTCTACAGTTATCTAAAATTAAATAAAACAGTATTAGCCTGAGAAACAGGAGAGATGTAATCTATCACTGATGTAATTTTCTGAAACAAAAATTGAATTGAAAGTAGAAATATTGTTTGTCACAATGAGTGTACAGCAGAAACATACTTTGCAGCGTCATTCAAAGCAGCCTGTATTTCCTCTAAGTTTGGTCTTAGTTCCACGTTAGGTATGGCAAGTTCAATGTTGGCATTCAGTAATGGGGCGATTCCTTCCTTTCCTGTGAATTCATCAGTCTTTGCTTTGCTTCCCATCCCTCGAGAATACGAGGATTTTGGATAAAAGACTCTGAAAGTGAAATTAGAGAAAGTTCTCAACCTGATTTTTAAAATTATTTGGAGCTTAGGGTTTGGAACCAAGATCTTAACATATCCAAGTCCAACAGTCAAACCATTACGGCAGCGACGTACAGAAGTTCTATGTATGTGAGGGACTTGTTGATCCCTGATAAAAGACTCTGCGTATAATATAATAAGAAAATTCTGGAACTGATTCTAAAAATTACGTTGGAAGTCCAATGGTCTAACCATCACAAAACTAACATATGGGAAATTTATGTATGTGAGTGGCTGGTTGGTAACTGATCTGAATGTAACCTACCATTATTTTTATTCATTTGTTTAATTATACAATGACTCATTGCAACAGAATTGAATATCTGAATCAGAATCTTGATGGTGCCATGAGTCATATTATTGTATGTAACCCATTTTTTATGTAAATTTTTTAAAGATATATAATGTTTGATTTTTTTCTCTTCTATATTATTTACTGTATGACTTAATCACGGGTGCCACTGCTCTTTAACCAGTATTGGTTTATTGCGTTTCTTCATTCCATAGTTTGAATAGAGTGTATTTTCAGTATGGTGAAAAATAAAATACTGATTACTGAATCCAACAAAACTTCCATGTACCTATATAACACGACCTACCTCCGTTTGATATTGTCCAGTGACTGCTTAGTGCATCTCAGTAACGCATCGACAGTCCTTTGTTTGAAATATTCCACGAGTTCCTCACATTCAATGACGAAAGCATCATCCTCGTTGTATTCAACACTGTCCTTGTACTTGGAACGGGCAGAGGTTGACGTGTCCATTGAAAAGCTGAAGAAACAATGAATGTTTAATGATGAGATTTATCCCAACAGTCAACATGTTATGGTACCAGCACATATAGATTCAGCTGTTTGTTGGCATAGATATGTGCAGCGATAACCGATCCATGATGACATTTTATCTATAAAAAAGCTCGTGGATTGATGAAAGTGTGAGAAAGTGAGAAATTTGATAAGTTATCTCAATCATGTAGAAAACATGGAACTCTCATTCAATTTCTAATTAAGGCAGTGTTACAAAATAGCTAACCAGTTTACAGTTCACTATTTAAAAATTTAACAGGTAGAAGAAGCTGTAACCGGCAATAAATTGGGCACTCATGTAGTATGTGCACCAAAATGGCAAACACCGGAACGTAGTATGTGTACCAGGTTGGGGCTGGGCCATAATTTCAGGTACAAATACTACGGAGTCATTTGACTAGTCCCCGAACTCGTAATAGAACTAAAATAAGGAAAATTAGAATAAAATTAGGGCCAAACCCTAACCTAGTACACATACTTCGATCCGGTGTCCGCCATCTTGGTGCACATACTACGGGAGCACCATAAATTGAGTTGAGTTAGTGGGATTCAGATTTTCTCATCATAAAAGGCTCACTAATAACCTTGCTCATAGCAAAGGTAAAATTATTTTACAAAAAAACTTTTTCAAAAACTTACACAAAATTTGCTCTTCCAGAATGTTTTGCAAAAACCTGTATCAGATCCTGCACAGCATTCTCTATGTGTTGACTTTTCCTGTCCAAATACTTTGCCATCTCGCTGCAGTGCTCTCGAGCCCTGAAAAACACAGATCAAAATGGAATTTACATTCTGTATATTCTTGCATGTAAGCCGAGTTTAGGACTCAAAAAAGTGGCCAAACTATGGGGTAGGCTGATTCGCACATAACTCTGATTTCATTGAAAATTTAGCTTAGCATGACTTTGAATGCACTAATTCTCTTCTGCAATCACGGCATGTTGCAATTTGTAGGGTCAGCTTTTATGCAGATTTATATAAATTCACCATTTTCAGGGTGTCCAGCTTATATGCAATATACGTTACTATATACAGTTAGCAATATGCGAGAATTATTACCTATTTTACCAACATCTGAGTCCAGAAATCTGTATCCGTATAATGTGAGAATGCCCAATAAGAATAAGAATGACTATTCTAAATTATTCATGAATCACACACGTTTAAATCACATAACGAACATGAGAGATCATTTTGAAATTGCAATGTCACTGATAAAATGACACTATCATTATGGTAGATAGCCTTCTGTTGTCCAGATACCATCCCAGATTGGGTGTTAGTTTAGTTTATTCAAAATATATGCCTTTGGCAGTGGAAGTCAACAGCTAAAGAAATTGAGTAATCTAGCTGTTCAATAATAATAATCTTCAGATAATTCGAATCTCCTAACGAAGCCATTACCGATTCACATTCTGTGTTTTTACTGTTTGTTTATACTTAAGTTACAATGATTAGTTAATTACTTATTTGCCTATATCAGTGGTAGTAGTCAATAAGATATAGAAGATCTAATCCAGGGGTTGGCAACATACGGCCCACGTGCCGGGTCCGGCCCGCGACGAGATTTTGTCTGAGCCCCTGACTGTATCCAACCACACTCTGTAATGTGGTCCGACGCATCATTCTTGAAAGTTGCCGATCGCTCTACTCTCACCACACTGTCAGTAAACAATGGTGAAATAAACAATTACCTTAGTGAACAAACAATTGCGTCAGCACACTTGTTAAACAAACAGTATAAGGTCAAAGCAGAGAGCGTTGTAAACATTACCCGCTACTATTATCAGTTATATTTATATTTAGATTCTAAATATAAATAAATTTTAGAAATTAGATTTTATATAACGGTAAGTTTTATTAACCTTGGAATATCCCAAGAAACGTAAAGTTGACTGAGAGTGTTGAGCATTTAACAAAGATTGGATACCGGAGTATTTTTTGTAATAATCCGGCCCGCCGAGTACTTCATTTTTCCACATCTGGCCCGGCGACTAGAGAAGTTGCCCACCCCTGATCTAATCCAACCAAGACTATGCAGGGAAGTAAAATTTTCATCTAACTCTTGCAACAAAGGACCATTTTGAAAGAGACTGCTTTGAATTTAAAACATTTTGACTTGATTTGGAAGAACTGGAATCTTTCCAGTTTGGTATTGTCTACCCACACTCTGGGTGAGGTGATGAGCATCACAGTTCCAAATCATGACAATTAAATTTTGATAATGAAAACTTTGATTGCCTGTCAGATTGCTTTTTGAGTTTCCAATGAAAATAATAACTTCAATTAAAGTATGAAGATCTGACTCCAAAGAATTCAAAATTTTGACTTGGGCTGAGGGAAATATGAAAATACAACTCTGACTGTAATACTGACATGAGCAAACTACGGCAAATCTGGCTCGCCTTGGGCTGCCTTAAATTTCTGCTTTTAACAAATTACATAATTCTGCACTACACAGTTCTATTGAAATTGTATGGTGTTATTTGGCTCCATATACATGTGTGAACCAACTTTTTTATCTAATGAATTTCAACAAATCTGAACACAGACCTTAATTGACGGATACTCATCTCAAACATTTTTTGACAATTGCCACACCCAAATTTTGATGTATAGCTAAAAAATAGCTTAAGGAATTTGTTAAGAATGGATTAAATTTAGTTTTGGTATGACGGTTACTGTTTTCCACTTTTGCTTTTGTAAATAAAATTCTGTTCATAAAATGTAACTTTACATGTCACACTGGCATGGCCCGCAGTCTAGGCGGACAGAATTTTTGGCTCCTGGTCAAAAGACCTTACCCTCCCCTGGTGTAATATCATTAAAAAATGCCAAATTCAAACACCACGATCTTGACTAATCACAAACAGTCATCAAAGCATAATACATACAATTGAGTGAAGTTCTGCAGGGTGTATGTTTTATCATCTTCCAAGTCAATGAGGGCAGTGGTTGCGATATCTTCCAGCATATCATCAATCCTGGCTTCCTTCAAATCATTCACATCTCTAATGACTCTGTTCAATTGAGAAAGCTCTCTGTTTACGTTGTGGAAGTAAAGCTGAAAAAATAAAGTGTGATTTAGAACATATATTATTTTAATTACAATAACTGCAGGCGTGGTGGCCTAAGTGGTAATGGATAAATCATTAGACCAGTGGTTTCCAGACAGCGGCCCTAGGGCCAATTATGACTGGCATACCAATTTGATATGGCCCACTGAACTTGGGTGAAATATTTTAACACTTGACGGTAGGTTACACAATCCTGTGTAACATTTACACACAATGTTTTTACATTTCTGCGTTCCGGATAATGTAATTGTTACATCATTATCACAGTTTAAGCATGTGTATAGCTGTAACAATTCAAATATACAGGTAGCTTAATCATTTTGGGTGCTCCCCTCTCCCAGCCAGCGAATACCATTACTCTTCTAATATCGGCCACTGATAAATTAGCTTCAGGAACCACTGCATTGGATTTATATATGTTGACATTGCAGGTCCAAATCCCATACTACCCGCCTTACCCGGGTTCAACAAAATTGGGCAGGTACTGCAAAGCTGGAAGATTATCGTCCCTCCGAGAATATATTAGTTCATAGATATCAGTGTCTGCCTATACAAATGAGTATACATTCTACAAATGTATCTAGAAATATATATAATATTGTGATCTAATAGTGAGAAACAACTAACATGTGGTGCAGCCTCAGCTAGGCCTTCTGTCACATGCTTTTCACCAGTCCCATATGAATACGAAATACTAAAAAAGCTCAAAGTTGCGCAACATGTAAAACCAAACTAGTTAAAGCAGTGGTTTCAAACTCACGGCCCGGGGGCCAATTATGGCCGCAGAGCAATAATTTGAGACACTAAAATTTTCCCAACCAAGTTTTTATTGAGGAAACCTGATGCGGCCTAGACCCACACAGACTTTGTCTCCAGTGGCCCCTAAGTAAATTGAGTTTGATACCCCTGAGTTAGACTTTAGTAAACTCACATCGTGGTTCAAACTACTCCATGTAGTGAAGACTAATCCTTGTCTGATCGCAGCATCGACTTTTTTCAAGTGTTGTTTCATCAAGGGTTGGAATATAGTTGGGATTTTCTCTTTTGCTCCGTCGTAATCATTGAGCATGCATTCTAATCGTTCCTGAATTGAATAATTGAAGCAAGAGAATTAGAAACGCAAAAAAAAACATAAATATCATGCAATACACGATGTCCCTTGCAATGACAAAGGTCCCTTTACAATTTCTATTTTGTTATGATGTCAGTTCTCAATATATCTTAACCAGGTTTGTTGTTTTTCAATCAGTAATTGTTTAAGTATATTAACTTCATTTAATACATCTGTGAGGGCCAAAACAATATATGGTATCGATAAATTTCCTTTGCAATTTTAGGACTCTATGGAGACCCTACATTTTTTATGACATTACCTACCCCATTTCAGTCTCTTGAAGATAAAATATATCTTAATATATCTTAACCAGGTTTGTTGTTTTTTTACCGTACTTCATTTAATAGATCTGTGAGGGCCCAAACAATATTCTCTTTGCAATTTTGAAGAAATTTCAAGACTTTATGGATACATATATCAGCAATAAATAGTATAAAAATAGTAATGATAGCATAATACAAACAAAGTTTCAAATAATTTTTCCATAACCTCATTATGATTAAGTGAACTAAAGTATAGTAGCAATTATTATTAGTAATTTTTTGGGGTCAAGAGTCAGACTTCTAATGGCGATAACAGATTTCTCTTAGAACAGTGGTTCTATGTCGGGCGTAGACAATTTTTTGAGGGGGCGCGAAGCTAATCAAAAATAAAGATATTTGTTAGATTTGATCCTACCAGCCTTATTTTGAATATTTACATTTCTTAACTTTGGATATTTACGCTTCATCGACATATTTTTAACATGTTTTTAGAATAAAACATACTTTTGATTTACTATCTGTTATTTGTAGCTTATTGTTAGCTAGTTATTTTTGAGGTGGGGCGGCTTCAAAAGTTTGCGAACCACTGTCTAAGAAACTTGAAAGCCTTAAATTTGATGATTACCATGGATTCTGATACTAAATTAAAAACTCGTTTTGGGGACACACACAACGCGGACTGCACAAGTTTTGCTTGTGGGCGCATTTGGCCCGCGGGCCACAGTTTGCACACCCCAGATTTCAACACAGATGAGGTATATGAGCCATGAAGTACCTTAGTTCTTTTTAATGCAGCCTGCTTTCGTAACAGATTGTTGGTTACTTCAGGCACATCCATTTCCATCTTCCTAAAACACTGAGCTTCACGAACCATCTCCGGTATCTGTGGATCGTAATTGATGAATATCTGCTTGGATTCAGGGTGCCGGACAAGTAGAGTGGCCTGTGAATAAAAGGTAGTGAATGGAAAGAATGTGATGATAAGGTGATTGCTGGGGAGATAGACAAACATAACCCAGGCAAATATAAAGTGACTATGTTAATATTGCACATTTGTGACTGGAAATGCTTTTCAAATACTGGAATTATTCTGTAGAGCAATAAGTGTTTTTTTAGGCTTCATTGATTTAGGCTTCATCGATCTTAAGATCGATAAGTATATTGATAGGTATTTGTATGTATGTCTGTCTGTCTGTGTGTCTGTTAGATGCACGCGATATCTCACGAAAGCGAGATTGAATCTGCTCCAGATTTTGCATGTGCATTCATCTTATCTCGGACCAGATTCCTATTGATTTTGGGCGAATTATGTCGTATAATTAGCGAGTTATCAATCAATTATTGATTAAGTGATCTAGATTTTTGTAAAGTGAGAGAATTTTGAGACCCGCCGAGTGTGTGTGTGCGATGCGCAGTGCCCAAGTTACACGAGCGGATGAATCGAAACTGCAGTTTCTGTTTTGGGGGATCCCCTAACTATCGATCGATAAGTATTCTGTTTCCAACCGATATTCTCGTTATAATATTGTTCACTTCTGATCTGTGGCAAAAGCATGACACTGACTATCTTTTTGCCAATATATACTTGGCTTATATTCTGATAATCCAGAATTAGGATAGGATTTACATATTTATCCAGAGGGAGAGGAAGGTCGATAAAATGGCTTGATTACATGGCAAACTACGGCTTTTTGTACTGATACAGGTCCAGGTCAGGTATGGGATTAGTTAGCCAGTTATTTGTTTTTGAAAGCATTGACTCAATGGTGGGAGAAGCTATAACCGACCTGTGGTAAGTGAACCATTGTAGGACGGCGAGGAGTAAAACAATTCTCACACACTTAATTATCCCTGCCAACCCACTCAGGGTAAATAGAAGTGCCGTGGCGAGAGTAATCCTACCGCTTCGAACAATGCGCGACATCATCGACTAATACTTTCCAGGTATCTCGGAACCAATGGTGGACCTCACCTGTAGAGCATACTTGATATTCTCAGTTGACCTACACCAGGCCCTATGAAACAAAACTTCAAATTCCATCAGTATTTTTCCCATCCTGTTGTAACTCTTCACAATTAATCTGCCGTCCTTTTCCTGCAACAGAAACATAACACAAATAAATGCAGGAAACATCAAAATGTGGCTACGCTAGCATAATAATTAACTTCTTATGCCACAGCAAACTGTATGTATGTTTATATGCCTCGCGTAATGAAATATAAGAATGCCAATATTAATAATGTTGGAGATTGGATGCATGCACAATAGCATAATGTGTAGAAATGTAGACATGCCCCCCTCCGGCAATAAACTAATACTGCTGTGAGAGCAATCAGATACATGAACACTGACATTAAAAGAAGTTCTTTGTTTAACAAGAATCTTTTTCTTTCAATATAAAAAAATAAATATCCAATCCAGAAATGGTATTTGTGAAGGAAATCAAAGACAGACAAACACAAAGTCAGATTCATAAAGAAGTTATTAAAAAGTAATAGTATTTCTACTGATGTTTTAAAGTTATTTCAAGGTCAAAATTTAACCAATTTAAAATAAAATAATAAATTGGGCACACTAATTTTATAAGCTTAAATTTGAAATATACAGTAGAGGAGACTAACTCCCAATCCTTTTTCAATGCCTTTGCACTAGTGGATCCGTATGTGTATATTGCAAGGATGCTGTAGCTGGAATTGCATAATACAGTAGTACGCTTGAATTTGAACACAAGATATTTTTTAAAAGTTTATCAGCAATGAAGTCCACCAACCTTGAGTAAATGTTCAGCATTTTCCTGGAAAACATCCATAGGTTGCTGTATCTTCCTGAACAGTTGACGAGCCCACATAATTTTCCCGGATATTGGCGGCATATCTCGGGGTATGGTCGGTTCGTCTCGCAACTTCTGGTAAATCTTCTTGATCTCTTCAATCTCTTGTCCAAAGCTTTTCAATATCACACTGTATTTTTCCTGAATGTCACCCTGCACAAAAGAGAGTAGATATATTTCAATACAGAGCGACCCAAAAACTTATTTATATGAAAATGAAACAAATTTATTTACAAAATAACATATAATTGACAAATCATATCCAAAATTAATAAATTTCCCAAGATCTTGGGGTATCTAATTTCAGTGTGTGTAGATTCATGACCATTTATACATTCGTGTTCTAAGCAAGCACAAGCTTGACAGACTAGGTTTTTCATTTTGAATGGGGTATACATCACACAGCAGAACCATAACGATTATTCTTTTCACACAAAAATAAGGAAATAATATTGTACAGATAAAAAGCAAAGTTATTTAAAGAACAAACAGTCTTCAATGCAAATATACAAACCTGCAAGCAAGGAACTCCAAGTTTCTCAAATCTTTTCAAGAGCAAGAGAGCTTGGGCCGATGATTGAGGTCGATCGAAACAGGAATCCATGAATATCTGAAGCTGACATTCCAAATTATAAATCGAATCCTTGAAGTTTTCAAAATCATTGTCAAAGTCAATTTTCCTGAATGCAAAACGAAATTCATGGAATTATTTTTTATATTTAATATGTGACATATATCTTTTATGTCCGTCCCAAGTCTGGGAACACATTCTGAATGACCAGGTGGCTATAAGAATAATAAAGAAAGTCTCAAATCTGCATTCGAAATCGCCACTATTTGGCATATAAGTGGATGTTAATAAGGTTTGGAGCCTCACTCCTTGGTATATATGTGAGATGTTTATGAGGTCCTTTCACTTTTATTACTCTGATCAAAGTACTGCACAGGCATAATTTTAGACACAGCCATAAGTTTGGAGTTACTGTCACTGGACACTTTCAAGTTTAGTATACACTCAAATACTTAAGATCTGGTTTAAAGGGCGCTAGGTTGAAAAAAGGCTCAAACTTTTCACAATTTTTCATATCTTCATATTAGGCTGCCATATTACACACTATGAGTCAATAGCGTTGCTTAATAAAATGCAATATGACATAAAAAATAACTAATCTGCCACAGCTTCTAGTTAGGCTGGGCCAGAAGTTTGTCAGCTCGGCAATCCTTACCCAAAGACTTAAGCTCTCAGTGAGATATGTTGGATAATAAATATACAGAGACTCAAACACAAGATTTCTAATTGGTGATATCAGCATAATTCAACAGCCACATTAACCACAAGTAGCATACAACAAATCCTACCTGTGATCCAATATATCATAAGGTTTCTTCTTAGTATTGGTCACAATAGATTGGAATTTATTAGTTAGACCTTCAATTCCTTCAATCTTTGATTCTCCAAGTTTTGAAAATACTTCAATCGTATTCAATAGTTCAGTAATCTATGAAAAATGTTTAGGTGTGATAGTAAACACATAAACATATGGACATTTCATGTATAAGTTGTGTAGCTGACCTACAAACAAAACTTCCGTCTATACATCATCACAATAGCCCCAAGCAGAGGCGTTGAAACCGTGTGACAATCCATAAGCCCGTCATGGTTCAGCCAGAAAATGGCTTGTGGGTACCGAGGTTTGAAATCTTGATATAAATGTATTAGAATAGAATGTGAAACCAAGCCTTATTATTGAAAACCAACGTTCACCAATGAACACCACCAACATCCAATACTATTACATAAGTTATATTTTGGGTTATAAGCCAGAGAATGTAAATGATGTTTTTTTGAGCTGAAAATTGATTGTGAGTGCTAACTAACCTTATTCAGTCTTTTGCAGAATGTGTCAAACTTCCCGAAAATATACATCTCAGAGAAATCCATATTTTCATCAGGAGTTTTCTGAAGTTTTTCTTTCATCTTTTGAAAACTGCTCATGTATTCTTTGTATAGAAACACACAATCCTGTGTTGAAACAATAACAAGCATGAATATATATTTTTTTATTTACAGTGATACCTCAAACAATCGCCCGCAATGAATGAATCTCATAGAACGCACAGAAATTTGCTCAAACATACAATAACTGAAACAAAATTTTATATATTTTTTATTGTTATGTTTAATCTTTCTTATGTAGGCTACATATTCAAATAGTTATTGTTAAGGGACACATTTTGTTAACATATTTTGAGTATTTTGGAATGCATGAGAACGAATTAAAATAATAACCATTGTTTCTTATGAAAAAAAGAGTTTCGGTTCACGAACACCATTCCACAACGAATCCTGTTCGACAACCGAGGTATCACTGTATATGGCTTCATACTTACAAACTCTAATCAAACAACTTGGTTTGAATTTATCTTTCTGATGGGACATATCCCACCAAATTCATTCCACCTCAAGTGGGCTTAAAAAAACAGCAAACCAATAAAAGCTTTTTATTAGGTGTTTCCAAATTCCATCAGCTCAGAACAAGAAGCCGTTGATAACAATAATAAAAACTATTTACAGTTGAAAGAACAGATACCATGTGTCACTAAATAATTTTCTGACAAAGCTCCAGTGTCAATACTCACAGCAATCTTCTTTTTAACTTCTGAACCCTCCTGATCCCAAATTCGGAGCTGCCCGTTCTGTGTGATGTAGTTCCGACAGGCAGCTACCATTTGGTTTGTAACCTGTAACAGGTAAATATTACAAAGTATTTGGTTGAAAATGATCATTATATGAAGGGGGAAATATCAGAGATGGCCAAAACTGAATATCTTCAACTATGGGATATTGAATATATTCTAAACTGTATCCTGATCAAGAAAGAACATTTGTCAATGTGTATTTATGTATATTTTATTAGTTGAATTAGGAGATATAAGAGAGTTAAACCATGATTAAATTGATTTTCTATATTTTCAAAATTGCAGATCTTGAAATTTAGGCCTGAGAGAATTCTGTTGGTTGAAGTGATAGTTTTCCAAGTTAACTAGGCTATCTAAAATTATTTCTAAAATTAAGAATTAAAACAGCAATTAAATTTTAAATTGATCAGATTATTTGATTTGATTCAGATATCCCTGGTATGTTGTATATGTATAGTAAATTAGTTGGGCCTAATAGAGTTTTGGTCATTTTTTTTTTTAATTTTTGCAGTTGAATCTGTAATTAAGAATGTCAAATAAATGGAATCAAATTTGGCACAATTTTGATTTATTAAAACAGAACAATTCAGAACATATATCGCAATAAAGAATTCATTCCAGAATGGCAAACTATTGTTAGAGCCTGAACTAGAAAGTTAGGAATTACCTTTATGAATAGAGAAGTCATTCTCTGCGATGTGTTATAGTATCTCGATATATTGTGAATCATACTGATGATGTTGATCAGGGTAGGAATGACTTCAATCATATTCACCTGAAAAATTAAATTCTCATCAATGCTAGAAAAATTTCACCAAGAAAATAGCCTTCACCCAAGCAAAATTCAACGCAAATCTTCATTTTTAAAAGGCTCATTGGGTAGAATTTCCTGGATGAAGTTTTCAGTATGGAATGGAAATTTCCAAACACCTAAAATTTATAGGCCTATTGATATAATTTAATATCATAAAGCGAACTTGTCTAAAATTGAGTGCAAAATTCAAGTTCGCAATGATTTTTAGAATTATTTTTGCAAATATTTTGATCTGTTATTTATCCGAAGTCCATTGTCATTGACTGGTAGACTGAATTCTGATTTATACGGACCCAAATGAATGTTTGTAAGAAGTCTAGTTTAGTTTAAGAATGTTGATGTCTCATAGCCCTAGGGTTTATATAATTTTTTTGCAATTTTTTGCCTGTGAATCGAGTGATCCAAAAGTCCAGAATGCTCTGACGTGACAGACAGTGCGTTTCAGCCTAGTTTTTAAGTTGGCAAAATAGAAGCAAATGGTAACGTCAGGAATACAATACATATTCTACAAAGAAACACAAAAAATGTTGTTTTACAGCCCAGCAAAACTTTGTATTGTGGCTTGACTGCAATATATAAATAAAGATCAGTCATGAAATATTCTACATTGTGAGTATACGATGAACTTACCGGATCGGCATTGTATAATGGAGTGCATGCTTTTTCTAGTGAATATAGATACTTCACATTGTCCTTTGCCTCATTTGCATGGTCGGTGATTTGAGCATCTAGCTCCCTCCACATCTAAAAAAGGGAAAAAAGATATTTTCATGTATCACCTTATTATACCTTTAACTATAAATATGGACATGTTGAAGCAATAACTGATATTCAAGAAGTAATAGATTCTTCATACGATACATTTAATCTATTTTACTTTGGAGAAAACCTTGTACATTCCCCCACTGCTGTGTAAGGATGCACTATTTCTTGGCTTAGAATCTTTTTGGTTCGGCATAGCCTAGCTAATTTATTACGTCTTTTAAAAATGGTGACTTGCTTAACAAAATGCAATTGAATTTAGTTTTTAGTAGCTTTTTTGAAGATTTTGCTTTAGTGGGTTTTGGTATTGAATGATGTTATTGTTAAAAACTTCATGTTCTACATTTCAGAATATATTTTAGGTGAAGCTATTTTGTATGTGATAATTTTTGATATTGTGGGTTTCACATGCCGCAAACTTGATTTGTCTGTGATTCCACATGTACTGATTATTGCCTGAGAAATCAAAGGTAAAATTAAAGATTTTTCAGTAATATGAGATACCTTCAGTACTTTTGACTTTGAGGTATGCAGGATACTAATAGCAGCCTTGCATTGTTTTCCTTTGATATGTTCAAGTAATGAATTGAATTTTGACATTAGAAATCTCCAATGCTCCAATTCAGCTAATGGCCCAGTATCATCTGCTTCTTTGCGCATCTGCTCACTTTCAGCCAATACCTGGAAAATATTTTTTTCATATTTACATGTTATACGTGGCACTTATGCATGCTGTTTGCTCTGAACAAGACCCTGATACCTAATGATATGAAAGGGACTGCTATTCATTGGAAGACTAGTTAGAGTACAGCAATCCCTCAGCCAACACAACAATGTAGTTGAAAATGTAATAATTTATTTTAAACAAGGCATACACGAGGCAAAAAGACATAAAAGTACTATATGAGCAATCTCATATAAGTCTAACCTGTTCGATCTGTTTGCACCACCCAGAGACCAACTCTTCAAGTGCAACTACGACCTCAGGATCATTGGCAGCTTCAGTGCATTCTTGCGGTGAAGAATATTTTGTCAAGTCAACTGTGGTTGATTCACTGAGACGAACTGCTCCGTCAATATTCATCTGAGCACCTGAGATAAGTGTGAAAAATTTTGATTATTAACCTGATAAATTTTCCATGTCAAACAGTTTACAGTTAGCCTCGACTACAATAGTATCGCAGGTTTTAAAGATCTCGAGAATGGCGGCCATGCACACGCTTCACTCAATGAGCAATAAATTTGTAATGCTGCAAGGATTGAAGTATTCACAAAAACTGCAACTTCTTATGTATTCATGAATGCTTGTACTAGTTTGAATTAAAAATTCATATAAAAAAAGGTATTTCCCAATTATAGGACTGTTAGTTTGAGCTATTATGAAGAAAAGTAAATGTGTATGTTAAAATGTTTCCAGCTTGATGTAGTTGATTTTTGAGCCCTCAGCCTTTTTATGCTCCTACCAATTTTGAGTTTGAGCTTTGATTAGGGTAGGTTGAATAGTACTCATATGAAACGAGCCACCTTCCCAAACCTAGTGATTCATATGCACCAATTGTTGCTTGTCTGATGCCTTACTAGGAGCAAAGTCTAAATAACCCCATTGATTGAAGTTTTATTTTGATTAGGCTAGAATACAGGGTAGATTCGCAACACAATACTGTGACGCTTACTCCAAACTAACTACACAAGCCATAGTAACTCACTGTCCAGGTAATTGACAAAGCTTTCTAAATCATGCAAGAAAGTCTCTCGTGTCTTTTTTCCTTGTGGTGTCTCAGCCAAAGTGCCCCAGTTGGAAAGGGCTTTTATAGCAGGGAGATGAACCAGTGACATTATTTCACGAATGGCTGGGAGGAGTCCACCATTGCCTTCCACATCAAGGACGGCAAAGTTTGTTTCCTGGAAGAAATAGGCAATGATAAACTCAGGAAAGTATAATGCATGTATATGTGAGGTGACGAGACTTCATCCGATCAGTAAACAACATTCACAGCCACTACTCCAAGGAGTAGACAAAAATATGCAGAATTTTCACCTATAATTTCGGGAATCCAATATAAATATTTTTCATTATCATAATGATTAATTTTGGATGAAACTGTTCCTAATTATGGTATACCAAAACCAAGAATTCACTTTAATGTACAATGAAAATAGATAATTTGAAATGTATTTGAAATATCACCTCATTTGCATTTCTGACACTGAGCTGTGCATCTCCCTTTGGTTTGATAAAATAAAGGCATTGTCCGGTTAAAGCTTCCTTGGTTCCATCAGTGATGAAAATCTTCTGAAGTTTTTCAACTTTCTGCATCGTCCTTCCAGATTCTGGTAATAAGAAAAGCAATAAACAATCAAACTATTGAGAGTAATTGCGTCACACAAATGGTTTATGGCAAATTTCTCAAAGGAACTCGAAATGTTGGAACGTAACTTAAATGAGTAGAAATTTTGTGTAAGGGTCTCTTGGACAAAATCTCTAAATATTATTGACATAATTTTCAAATTTCATGATGAAAAGACATACCATATGTGTAAATGAATATCTTGAGCATAGCTAAATAGCTGAAAAATCTGCAATATTTCTGTTCCCAAAATCAACAACTTACCCAGTTTAGGAGGTTCTCCTTCCTGGTAATAAAACATGAGAGTTTTTCTTCCACCTTTTCTGATAAAATCATCCAAAAAGTCAAGTTGCTGAAATTTATTATAATGCAGTTGAAAAAAGTCAAAAAACACCACCTATTAGTAATTATCATAAATGTTGTAATTGTTAAATTTTATTTTATTAAAACGGGTTTACGGTACAATCAAGCTATCGCCTCTCACTACTATTATTGTCAGGTAGGCTATTTTCCATCTCAGCCAAGTTGTAATAAATAGGGCAAGTTTATGTCAGATTGGTGAAAACATAGCTGCTGGTCCAGAGCCTTGTTTGGGGTGAATGCATTAAATGCAAAGTGATAAAAAATTAATGAAATTTTGAAAGAATGTCCTGAATGTTTGGATATTTATCATTGTAAATAATATGATGCGAAAAATCATAATTCATGATTGAAAATGCCTTTGCAATAACGACCAACTTGCATTGAATTTGATCACCGGCATGTAACGCAAGTATGAAGTTATCATAACGAGCCCAACAACTAAGCTGGCTCAAATTTTTCATATTTATATTGGGATAGCCAGACCAAACGTCGCATAACTGCCTCTTCTCAAGTAGCGAGTACCTGTCGCGAAGGAGCAAATTAGGAAGAATTTTTTTTCCAAAATCATGAACAGATGCGAATTGATGTTGGATAAACACATGTCCGCCCATAGTCAAGAGTTCCCAAACTTTTGAAATTCACATCGCGCTTACTTTCTGAAATTCGCAACTTTAATGATGCGATACGCGAGTTTGCTTTTTTAGCACATTAATTAATGATCATAACGGGAAGAAAAGTCCGCTATCGCCGATCGTACTTCTCTCTCTGCATTCACTTTCAAACAATATTTGATTGTTTACGGCAGCGGTTTCCTTTTTGTTCGCGCCGCGCAAAATTAGCAGGAATAAAACTAAAGGCGCACTTACACAAAAAAAGTAAACGGCATAGAAGGGTAAATGAATTTATTAATTCATATACACAACATTTAAAATAAGAAACGCTAAACATTCATAATATATACAATATGTAAAATATTAGTCATATATTAGTTATATGTTGAAAACAATTCAGATTCGAACTTGCGACCCCACGAGTTATTTATTACGAGGTATTTGTGATGTACAGGCAAGGGTGTTTTTGACATTGGCATGCAGCGCCAAACATCTTGATTGTTTGTTGATTGGCGATTAATATTTATTTCTGAAATAAATAAAAGCAAAGATATATTTAATATAAACGCTTACTTCAGCTGAGTCCAACACAAAATCTTTCACATAAGCATTTTCCAATTCCAAATGATCGGCAACGTAGTGAACGAAGTATTTGTGTGTGGCTGCCAAACGAACTTTACGCTTATCACGATCCTCGCGATAACGTGCCTGAGTGATGAGAAAATTACTTTAAATTTTTATTATTTTTTTAAACTTGTTAACTCATTTACAAAACTGTTCCCTGATAGGCTACGTTATTATATTTTCCTATGAGTCACGTTGCGGCTCTTCTCCGAAATTTGAGTCCAAGTTTTCGTTAATAGATAAGTATAAATCACTATTTGTTTATTAGGCTATCAGTAAACAATGATTTACCCACTGCATGAAAAGAAAGTATATGGTAATAACGAATACCAATGAACGTATATACATAAAGAAATGCACAATGCTACTGATAATCCACTATGCCCTCCCAAGTTTTTGGATAGCGTTTCAGTTTAGACAAAGACTGATATATAAATGAGCATTGTGATAAAGGAATGTTTGACACAATTTTACAAAATCAATAATTGCAAATTATTTCAAATTTGCGTCATTTGTCGGTTTTCCTTGTGTCTTAATGACCAACGTGGTAGATCTTGGCCTGGCAAGGTATTAGGCCCGTGTGAAATTATTCGTGGCCCTTCGTGTAGACCAGGGTTTTCATAAGGTTGAAGCCTGGATAATGCTCTAGGTAGTTTCTTATAGTTTGAAGATGTTGGTGTCATCGGGGACATTGGAGTATTTGGTTGTATTAAGTGGGTAAATCATAGATAAGTATAAATCACTATTTGTTTATTAGGCTATCAGTAAACAATGATTTACCCACTGTATGAAAAGAAAGTATATGGTGAATAACGAATACCAATGAATGTATATACATAAAGAAATGCACAATGCTACTGATAATCCTCTAGTTAATAATAGTTAATAATTAACGTATGAAAAGAGATGACCGTTATCAGTGGTTCCCAACCGCCGTTCCGCGAAGCTTTTTTGACGGCCAGCGAGAGATTTCGTCGTTTTGTTTTTCTGCGTCTCAATCGATTTACCGATACCGAAAAGATGAAGTTGCGATGATTTATTACGCAATTTCTCTTCCGCCGTCATATTGCTGTTTGATAAGTACGGCCCGGCGACGTGTAATCACACTTTTCGCTTTCCCGGTTCCGATTCATCGCGAAAGCGCTCCGTTAAATCTCACAAGAATCTTAAACCTGAAAATCAGCATGTGTTCTTTTTTTCTTTATGCATGCTTTCCTTGATCAATAAGACGAATTTACGTTGGTTTATTACGCAATTTCACATCCGCCACCATATTGCTGCTTGATAAGTTCGGTATTAAGGGCCTGGCGACGTCTTGGCGCCGGGTAATCACACTTTTCGCTTTATCAGTTACGATTCATGGCGAAAACGCTTCGTCAAATCTCGCAGGATTTAGAAACCTGAAAATCAGCATACGTGTGCCTTTTCCGTACTGCATGCTTTTCTCGATTAATATTACCATACAAATAAAAGGTTATGAATATTTATTTGTTAATTGAACCGGAAAACTGTCAAGAACAGTATAATTTTCCAGAGCTTCACCTTGACACTCAGCGAGATATGAACTTGTTGCGGTTATGCAGGCGGTCACTAGACGCGCAATTAAAGCACTGGCCGCTGAGACCTTTTCCGAGTGATTCACGGCAGGATTTTGAGCCTGGTGCAAGATAGCAACGACTTTATCATTGTAATATAAATTCATTCTGTTTGGGCAGTCGATCAACGGCATAAGAATTGATATGATGAACACGAATAAACCTCTACTTCACAGTCCAGATTTATAAAGGAACCACTGTCACAATTCATTCTTGAGCTCTCTTGGTAATAAATACTCATCGCTAAGTTATCGAGCAATCAAACTGTTGTTCGAATTTTCAGCCAGTTACTTCTAGCTTTAATTAAAACGAAGCAAATAAAACAACTGTGAGCCGCTGCAGAACTAAGTGTTACAAAAACCTTTTTTGATGCCCCGTTTGCAATCCTGTATTGGAAACGAAACAGAAGCAAAATTCTCACTGGAGATAATTATGTTTGTACATGATTTAGCATGGGCATGTTTTTTTATGTGAAATGTGTGCCTTTTTACGTATGATGGGCGCCCAGCACTGCATTTTATGACGCAAATATATGTTATTATTTTATATTCCACCCATTTCAATTTTTGGTCGGCACATTATTTGATAGTTTTTCCTCGCGTTTTGAAGTGTGCCTTTTACTTCTAAAAGCATGGTGATTGCTCGACATTACGCAAATTTATGTTATTATTGGACACGTTTATTGGACACGTTTAGTGGCCATAACGATCGTTTCAAAATTTTGTTGTTATTGTTATTGTTTTTTGTCTCGGTCTCCATTTTTAAAAAATCGCTTTTCTCTTCGAATACTGGACCAATTGCTTTGATATTTTCAATGGTTAAAGATAAAATTTTTCTCCAGAAGGCTATTACTTTTTTTTTTCGCTATGACGTCATCAAAATTATTGCCATTGGGTGGCGCTATGTGTCCGTATATTTGAGCATAGCTCTCTTGTTTTCTGTTCAACTTATTTCAATTTTTGCCGGTCCGCGAGTACATATTATTCAATTTTACCGTCCGCCAGGGTAGAATGGTTGGGAACCACTGATTTAAATGACATAGACTAGTTACCATCACCTGTTACAGTTTAGTCATGCCTTCACTTTGAGGACTTGCCTTGATCGCCGATACAATAATAAAACTCACAACGTTAAATATAATATATGAGCTTGTTGTTACCTGCGTTACCAGCAGTCTAATAAACTAAAATAGCTTAACGTTACGCCATTGAATGTCAATATAAGTTAAAGGCGTTCAATTGCAAGTTTCCAATGAAATTTATTATTAAGTAGGCTAGAAAACGACAAACCTGTTTTTCTTTCAAAGTTTCCGTGTAGTTGTACACATTTCCGGCTAAACTTGCTCTTCGATTTGAAGCTGCCGCTCCTTTGATTTCTCGAAGCCGTTTGGGAACGGTTTGAGGCTTCTCGCCAGCTGAAGTTGACGGTAAACCGTCCGCCATGACTGGGCGGTTTAAATTTTTTCCCGCTATCAGAAAATTAGAATTTTTCTAACAATCGGTGGGGAAAACAGATAGAAACACACAAATCCAGCGGCGTCGGAAAATTTTCTCAAGAATGTTTTTATTTTGAAATTTGCAGACGACAATCGAAGAATCATGGTATATTCTTCCGCAATTTGAAAATGCAATTTATAATATACAACTCTTAAATTTATATTTCTAGGCCACTTTTAATGCTTATTCATTATATTCAATACATTTTCAATTTCTTTTAAAGTAAATTACATTAGAAGTACTTGATTTTTAAATTTATTTCGAACTAAATTTAGCGGAGGAATACCTTTTTGGCAACTGTATTTAACAAATTTGTTACGTCACAACAATTACATTGTTATCAAAGAATGTGATTTGAATGAATTCAAAACTTTAGTGTTCGTCATAAAACGTAAAACCCACTTGCCAGATACAGTATTGACTACTCGGGGGGGGGGGGGAATGTTTTAACACAGACGAATGCGACTAATTTGGTGAAACAACTCTGGGCATCTTCTCTTATATTAGCATTTATAAGCATTAATTCAACATAAGCGTTTTATGTTTGTAAAAATATTCAATCAGCCTTGAATGTTTCTGAAAATTTGGCATAATTCGAGATTTTCACCAACTATTGTTATTGCCAAACGATTATCGCGATTTCTAATGATTAGCTAATGGGTTCGCGCAATGGTAAAACAATGGACCTTTCCCCGACATCAAAACATCCGTATTCTCAACCAATCACAAGCGAGCAGATGTAAACAAACATTCTCCGCTGAAAAGTCGCTCAGACAACCTTGGACGCGTTCCGCACAGGTTGCTGGCGGTTTAGGCAGATCTTTGTTCTTTTTTTTCGCTTTTTGTTTTCTTCACAGGGCTGCGAGAATTAGAGAGCTGTAATAATGTATGTTACTTGTCGCAAATCACGTTCACGAAATCTATATATCTATACTAAAAGGCTGTACCCGTTGCTGGCACATTACAGGAGGTACGGTACCGGTACGTACCGTACAGGTCAACCAACTGCTATTTCGAACCCAAAAATAGTAGACAGTCATGCTGATGCAATCAAGGGTACCGATAGCCTACCGTATGTCAGTACGGAATAATTCGCTTTCGATACGATGTTGCATTTTTATTAAACAGAATCTATTACTTAGTGAATTATTTCGGTAGACTAACTATGTGTAAACGCTGCGCATATGGTATTTGTCGGTCTGACAACCTGTACGGTACCCCTGCCGTTCAAATGGAGTAAGATTTGTGCTATTTTCACATATACCACATATTGACCGCTGAAAAGCAATGAGGTGGATAAAGGCATGCAACAGGCCTTATAGTCAATTCAATCTAGGAAAAATCACCAGAAATACATACGTGTGTACCAAGGTAGGCCAACATTGATATTGTTTTCGATACCTATGATATATTCAATATGTTAATTCTTATATGAAATAAATTTTCATACAACAATGTGTTTCATCATGCACTTTCATGGAGGCGATGACCAACCCTGACCCTATATCAGATTCTTGTCGCCCAACATGCACCATCAAATTGTGAGGTAAGGATTACTTATACCATAATTTAACTTTGGATCATAATTTGACAGGATATGTCACCAAATACTTCATTTGATACAGAGACATGCGAATCTGACGAAAGTGAGAAAGAATTGTCAGGGATCCAACTAGACCTGCCCCCAGACTCCTTAGTTGAAACTACCTCAAGTGCCGCTGATGAAAATGACAGCGCTTTGTCAGACAGCAGAAAAATGTGAGCAAGCATCATCACCATCATTTTATTTTGTTTCTCTGGCATAAAATCACACAAAAAGTCAACATACAAAAAACCTGGAAGGTGAGCATAACTTAAAATAGATTTCAAAAAGTACGTGGCTACCTACCAGAAAAAGAAACAATAATAATAAAAAGGCACGAAAGAATTAACAAGATTCAGAATCGAGCAACACTTTTAATGTAATTCAAAATGAGAAAACACACACTTCTTTCAGCATTGGTGTCATATTTGCTAAATGTAAAAATGATGAATAAAGAAGGAAAATTAATATTGAACACTTGGGACTTCATGCAGAATCTTTTACAATCCATTGATGATGAAATGATGTTACTTTATGAAGGATGCTTCGCATGCATGCCATGTCCGGTGTGACCCTGGGTATTGTAATATCATTTTTTGTGGGGACTGCAAAGTCACACCAAGCTGCTCCTGATTCCAGAAGTTGGCCCTGCACTTGGTAGTAACTGTGGTTTGTGATAAATATCCTTATTTTGTTAGGTTGTTTTGCATTTATAACTGTCATATAAATTACAACTTGTTCATATTCATCTGATAACTTTAGAACCGAACCAATTGGTGGGTGTTTGCCCATCTGACTATGGGCTGACTATATAACAATGAGGTAGTGCTCAGTGAGCGCAATTCTTCCATATTATCAGGAGATGAAACCAGGCAGCTTTAATAAAATAACTCAGCAGTGAAATCATTGTGATACATTATGTCTGTGAATGGAATTGTGGAATGAATTTAATTCTATTATTTTGACGTTCCATTGCTTTCATGGTTTTTGTTCGTTGTGCCTAAAAGCATACGGTATATCTGGTGTGTATTTTTATCCTATACAACACAATATCTGGAAAACTGTATAATTTGTAGTAATTTTCTTGGATTTTTTTTCTTGCTTGTTCCCTCATCATTTATTTTTTATAATCTGTTATATTCTATTTCGACACTGAATGAATAAACTATATTGTAAAACCTGTACCGGTACCCGATACCCTGTACAGATACCCGACTGTTTTTGGTTGAACCGGTATGATTGGAACTCTGGCTCGATCTAACTTTGTGGGCTTAGCCCCAACTACAGACGACAAAACTGTTGGATCTATTTTGTTCCCTGCATATAGGTTGTTACCAATGCTGGGGAAGGCTTGTACATGCTTGGCTCTGCAGAAAATCTTTTATTCCCATCAATTTCATCTGTTGGTTAGTCTAACGATATGGCAACAAGCACCAGTAGTTCTGATGAATATGTAACAATTTTTAAAATATGTTTATCACTATAACATTATTGGTCTTGTAATTTTATGCGGTATGTAATCGATCATAATACCTCAATAAACCTGTTGAATCTAATCTTTCAATAGCATATTTGCACCCATCTTACTGAGCTAATAAATCTGTGTTTCTATGATACGACATAAACTTAAGTGCCCTCACCGTACCCAGCATGTACAAACTGCATCAGAGACTTGGTTACTATCCAGCGACACTACTATTTGAAGATGATGTGGTGGCAGAGACTCCTGAACTTATCTATAGCACTTGGCTTTGAAATCTAGCGTTGAACCAAGATTGACGACTGAACCATCATGAATGTATCTGAAAAAAATATTCATCTGTTCATAATTACAGATTGCTGTAGTTTGTGCAATGTTTCCAAGAATGTATTTAAAAGACTTTTTAAACCCTTCATTTCATTTGTTTCTATACTAAACCCACCAATTCAATCCTAATTCGGACGCTATCTATTAGTCTATTCACCATGGGATACGGTACCTACCGGTAGTCACGCAGGTCTTCTAGTCCTCTGACATTCTTCAACCATAAAAGTTTAAATATCACCTTTCAATGGAAAGTTTTGTATCTTTCTCCAGCTGGTGGAAAGAAAAGTTCTTGCAGAACCAAGTCATCTCTGAGTGATTCCATTTTTGTATGTTAAATGGGCTTTTGGAACTAAGTTAGGTACGGTAACGGCAATGTGAAGGCGGAATAACGTTAACAATAGATCACTTGACAATATGTTATTACATTAGAAGCACGAAAATACCGCCATCACCAGTGAAATGCCATTCGAAGGCCTTTAAAATGAGCAACGTACCACTCTATCGCCCTACACAAGCCTGAATATTTGCAATGTTTGTCTGAGCGACCAAAATCAAAACAATAAAGGTCAAAGGTCGGGGAAAGATCCATAACCTAAAATCTGAAAGAAAACTTTCATATTATCGCAAGGATCTGGAATCTGGTCATATTTTAGCACGATTTTGACCACTGAATCGAATCATTTAGGTAGGGGTTGTCAAGAATACCTCCTGGTAATGCTGTTTATCACTTTCTTATTTCACAAGTTAAATTGAGGCAATGATAAAATAAACATCTTCATCGATCAAAGTTAAATCGTACTGAAGCTGACTAAACGTTCCCACAAAACTGAAAAGATTATTTATATGAAAACTTTGCTACAAAAAGTCTTTTTTTACAAAACTTTATTCTTGCTGCACTGGTCGGTGATTTTTGTGCATATTAATTTCCATAAATAATTTCTAGCAAAAGTCTGTTTTCGCGAAACTTGATTCTCGCCAATTACCAGCGAGGGTTTTCGCATAAACGGCACTATTCCATTTCCTGTGCCTCTGCTAATACGGTTAGCTCCGCTTCTTGTGACAGTGTGACGTCTGCTCAGCGCCGACTATTCCATTGAAAGAAAAAAATGTTACTTGCTAACAAGGATGTTATAAAATGGCTCGGATTTTCTTCTTTTGAAATTTTTATCCAGCTATCATGCCTATTGGTTTGCACCATTCTCATCATGTGCAAGGTATGTTTGACTTATGATTTTTCCAACAATTTGGGATAAAAATTATATCAGTTTTTACTGTATAGTACCAAGGCGAAAAAGGGTTTAATTAACCGAAAAATATTGATACCGGTATATGTTCGATTATACTTCTAAAAATTCAACATAAATTTAACAGATAAACTGCAACTTCAATTATCTGTTTTTAGAAGACTTGTTGAATAGCAAGCAATTTTTTTTTTTGACGTTTCTTAAATAATTATGATATGTTCATCTTCATAGGTTGAACTTGAAAGCTTTGCTGACATATCATGGTGGAGGATTTTCATTCCAATGTTTGCTGCGGATGGAATGACTTTATACTTCAGCACCATTGTGTTTATTCGTACTTTTCATAAAGGAAACCACAAAGAAGCATTTAGAAGAGTTTTGTGGGTTTCGTTACTCTTAGTGCTGCTGTTCTTATTCAAGGTTAGTCTCATTTTAGGAATTCGAGTGTGAGATAGACTTCCTTAAAGTTTTCAGTTTTAATAAGTAACAGTCATGATTAATCAATTTCTGGGTCCAATTATATCCACATTCAGATTTATATAAAGTTTTTGCCACAAAATAAATTGAACAAAGTAATATAAATCTAAACAAATTGAGAAGCGGACATACAATATTTCTACAATAATTGCAAAAGACTGGTTGAGGAGTGATTGGTCTTGTTACTAGGTGATTACAAGCAATCCTCTAACTCCGATTATGACCTTTCGGAACCCCATGTGAAGCAAATTTAACAATACAAAATTATTTTTGCAGATGCTTGAATTATTTTTTATATTTACAGATGCTACTCTGCCAGCTATTAGAAGGTGCAAAAAAGACATCAGCAGCCGGCGTCATGTCACCTTTATTCGTTCTTTGGGGTCTGCTCATAATAAGAGCTTGTAAAGTGACTTGAAACGCTATACTACGAGAATTCTGTGACCCGAAATGCGATCGGCTCAGGCAAAGGGGCCGCAATACTCTGCTTCAATATGGCCTTGGTTTGGCGCCCAATTTCTTCAAATGGAATTAATCGAATAACACTAACTGCTGTCAATTGGATTGGGCCAAATGATTTACAAAATTGTATTCAGGACTTCAAATTTAATCCAGTCGAAGTGGGGCAACCCCCATTATCTGCGATATGATGGCTCATGTATCTAATCTCTGATAATTATCTATTTCTATAATCAAATTATCAGATCTTTTAACTAGATATTAAAAACCTTGGGTGTCGCTGCTCGATAACCAGATTTGGTTCTCCGCGGCTTCCCTTCCACAGTAAAATTGTATGTGATTGTTTTTTACTGGTTGGATAAAATGAACTTGACTTAAAACCTACAGTCCATGAATTGGCTATACAAATTTTTCTATACTTACAATAGGTGAAGGGCTATCATGCACAAAAACTACAGGATTTATTACAATTTACCATAATTAACATACTGCAATGAAAAATATCCAATACCCAATCCAACTTTGTTTTATATATATGAAGTCTGTGTTGGTGTGAAGACTGCTTTGGTAAAGTTTATTGGATGTGTCAGTTCGCTGTCATATGCTTAAAATTTAGCAAGGAATTTTACAAATATAGGAGACGAGAGGTATATGGTAGAAAAATCGGTGCTCTAGAAGTGTGTGTACCAATATGGAAGTAACTAATTTTGTTTACTTACTTTACATCAAGTTGTGTAAAGGGGCTGCAGCCTATCGGGAGTATGGAAAAATCTGTGGACAGGGTGTGGAGTACTACATTTTTCGTGATCGAACATACTCACAAGATCGAATTTTACTGGCAACTAACCAGCATGCCTGTAACCTCACCACTGACAGAGACATACACAAACATTGAATGAGCATTAAGCCATATTTTTTTGAAATATACATGTTCATACAGCATCGCTAGTCATGGAATAGCAGAGACTCATAAAATAGAGTTCTATATAAAGTTACAGCATAAATGAGTGTTCACTTCGAGAACTTAAAATTGCAACATTGATGACAAATTTTTCCAAATATGTAGTTGTTCAAAGGGTAATATGATAAAACTATTATTAGAAAAATCACTTGCTCAAACAAATGATATTTTGAGAATCCAAGATTAATATTACTCTTGATGCAATTGTATCTGATCTTAATTCTATATGCCTATTCGGATTGTAACCCATCTAATAAGCTAATTTAATTGCCACAGTATTATCATTCACAAATACATATTGTGTAATGGTCAAAGCTGTTAAGAAGCCCAATATTATCTAAGCACCCAAGCCAAGAAATTTCAACGCCTGACTCAAATTAGGAGTATTCACAAAGGGAAAAGGCATTGGAGATTCCATTAGCTTTCGAATCTGTTTTTTTCTTTACTTATTTGCCAGTCATGGGTGAAGATAAACAAAGTTCAGTATTTATAAGACTCAGGAATATAATTGTGCTTACTCAACTTGGTCATCCTTTACTGGGCAAGCACACCAACTACTACACCACTAAAGAGGAATTATAGGTGCAAGTTGAAACCAGCGAACTGAAACTTGCAAAATCGACACCCTCTAAATAGCATAGCAGGCGTATGTTAACACAATTACACAAGTGTGACCAGAACCACATTTTCTATATTATTTACAACAAAAAATTAAGTTAAAATACAATAAATATAACAGTAAGCTTATGGATGGCAAAGAATTAAATATTGAACCAAGAAATATGACTTTCCAATTTGAAGAATGCAAGACTATTTAAGAAATCTCAATCAAATTGTACTATAACAGGCACTACTTCAGTGCTACGGACCCTTCCTAGGATTTGTCTGAACATGGAAACCTATATTTAAAACCAGTCAGTACCGTTATGTACAAGTGGTATCTAATAGACACAATGCTTCTCACAGTTGCACACAAAAACCACCCCGAAAACAGAATTATTGCTAAAATTATAAAGAAAAGGGCCCGAATCGATGCACACATTTCATCCAGTTACGAAATACTTCGCAGTAAAGCAAGCAGCTCATGATAATCAGCCAAGCAATTTCAAAAGAAATAAATGAAAAGTTAGGACGTTTATTATACCTTCTGTTACAGAAGACAAATGACCAAGACACACATCTTGCCCAGGGTGGTAAAAAACTGGGTTTCCGAGGCTGAACTGAAAAGATCCCAGCACCAGTGGCGTATCTAGGGTGTGGCAGCCATGGCTCGTGCCATGGGCGGCACTTGAACAGGGGCGCAAAAAAGTGCGAAAAGTATTAGTCATGAAAAGTTTCAATGAACTAATTTTAAATTGGGAATAACAGAAACTCGTATTTTCACCCAATTAATAACGTACAAGTATCTTAATTCAAAAATAGTCATTATGAATTGTCAAACAACTATCAAGTTGGACTTTGCCATGGGCGCCATTTTACGTAGATACGCCCCTGCCCAGCACTTCAATGATATTAGCTTTTGAAATACTTAGCGGCCAACTGTAAAGAGCCTTGATTTAAGTGAAAACACCTAAAAATAAGAAGGTACGCAGAAAGACCTTCAATTTATTCACGGATTGTTTATATAGAAATTTTTATTTATCCCTGGAGTGAGATAAGACTGTTTTATTCGGAATGCGACCATGGCCTGTTGTGCAGTTACCAGTCCATGTTGGGTATGGGGAAATTAATGTAATTGATTTCGTTGCATGAACTTGATTCACCCATCTGTACAGTAACACAAAATTGCAGCATTTATTTTAAAACATCTGTAACTACACCAGCAGCTATGGTTGACCCTCCGTACCTTAACGTAAATCGTCCCATTTCTTTAACTTTATGGTATTCCTCAATACATATAGGTCTATGGGTCATCATTTGTACCATCACATTCTGACCTTTCAAAATTACTTTGGGTTTTTTAGCGACAACTTCGCCCGTGCTTTTATGTAAAACACTCAACAACCGTTTGATGACTGCCGGTTCAGATGCAGCTTTGTAATGTAATTCTACAGGAAACCCACGAGTTATCGGGACCGCAATATTGAAGATTATTATTCGGGCTTGGAATCGTGAAACGACTGGAATCGGATTTTTAATGTCGCTTAAAACATTCCCTGTATGTATTTTCATGATGTCAACTCCGTGGCATGTTAGTGTGGCGTGGTCTCCCGCAAGTACGACTTCGGCACGGGCGCCGTCATGAAATTCTATTCCCTTTACTAAAGATTGTTCACCAGCTGGTAATACCACGACTTTTGACCCGACCTTTACCCCTCCAGTTTCAACTTTACCACTGACATTGATGCCAGTGCCTTGTCCGCGTACTACGTCGGTTACGCAGAAACGTAGAGGGTAGTCCACAGGTCTTTGTGGAGGTTTGAATTTGTCAATCACATCAACGAGACAAGGTCCCTTATACCAAGATGTCAATTTCTCGTCTGTTCCTAGTTTGGTCAGATTCTGTCCCAGTAATCCACTGACTGGTACAAAAGTAACATCAGAGTCCTTGAATCCTGCCTAAATATAGAAGCAAAAGTTTTTAAAGTTGTTTATTTGGTATTTGCAATGGTTATGGCAGGGGTCAGGAGCCTTTTTGGTCAAGAGAGCCATAAAATGTACATATTTTCAAATGCATTTCCATGCGAGCCATATAGCAAGCATTTCTTAACTTAACCAGGTTTGAAATTTTTACCCAAAAGTCACACATAGCCTACAATGTCAATATACATTTAATGTATATTCTGATTCTGCATGTTGTCACTGCGGGCCTTGAACGGATGCACACATGCAGCACAAATTGAATTCTATGTGCTCATCACCCTTCTTTCGTTTAGGCCAGGGGTCAGCAAACTACGACCCGGCTGGGCACGCATTCTCAAACGTATTGGCAGATTTTCTGCCAAATTTGGCTATAAAAGAGTTTGAAATCTCGTAACAATATTAAGCTTAGCCTTAGAATATGGAGCCATATGCCGTCACCAAAAGAGCCATATATGGCTCGCGAGCAATGGGTTCCCGACCACTGGGCTATGGAGTAAGAGTTACATAGGTTTTCGTTGATTTTGTTAATATTAATATTTTCAAACTATCTTAAGTTTGGGCCCAAAAATTGAATTGAATCAAAAATTGAATCCTTCAAGACTCAAAATGATAGACTTTCAGTGGTTATTATCAAAGTAAAACGTTCCGACTAAAACTCAAGAAGCATTAAGTTTTTTAAGCCTTTTCATCAAGCAAACAAGCATCGCATATGCTAAAGTTTTTGATATCGAAATTGGTTTTCTTCTAAGTCAAGAGTCAAAATTTATGTAAACCCCAAATGAAGAGTTTAATGAGCTAGTTGTAGCGTTTCCCCATTCCACAGCTTGAAGTTGTAATGCGAGCATTGGTAACAATAGCAAATAACCATTCTTGCGGAGATCTTCAAGTCTCAATAGGAATTCAATTCAGAGCAAAAACCATGGAAGTCCAAACCAACCTGTTTCAGAAATGAAGACAACTTTGAAACAATATCATTGAATCTTTTTTGTGACCATCCGACCGTGTCCAATTTGTTTATGGCGACGGCAAGTTGAGCGATCCCGAGAGATCGAACCAGCAATGAATGTTCTCTGGTTTGTCCTCCCAGATCAAAACCAGCTTCAAATTCTCCGGTCGTTGCATTAATGACAAGAACTGCCACATCTGCCTGTGAGGCGCCTACAAAATAAATTTTATAATTAGTTGGTATGAACAAAACTTATGCTTTTGACAGTTCTAGTTTGAGGTGTTTTTACACCTTTTACACCTTACACCCAAATGAGGCTCTCCTACCACCGATACAAGAAAGGGCCATTCGTAGCCAGGGGAAGCTGAGGGGTCTGCTTTTATCTAGCCTTGTTCAAATCAAAAAAAATTTCGGGCTGGCCACATTTTTTTTTAAAGGGTACTATTTTCTATAATTTTATTTATTTATCATACTTTTCAATAAGTAAGACATAGTGGCTTTGTCATTGTCTGCCCAATTTATTACACCCTTGGTGAGGTGGTGGGTATAGAATTTAATCCAATATTTTTTACCTGCATTGCCAACATAGTGCAGAAGCAATAATACTGAATATTTACCTGTTATCATATTCGGGATGAAATCCTTGTGACCGGGAGCGTCCATGAGTGTGATGACTCGATTTTTTGTCTCGAATCGAGTGAGACCAACATCCATTGTTACACCACGAGACCTTTCCTCCCCGGTTTCGTCCAAAACCCAGGCATAAGCAAACGATGCTTTCCCGATCTTCCGTGACTCCTGCTCGTACTTATGCATTGCGCGTTTCGATACTTCACCAGACTGATATAGAATATGTCCCATTAATGTTGATTTTCCAGCGTCAACATGACCAATAACAACCATGCTTATAAGAGGTTTTGCTAGTTTCATGCGCTCTTCGTATTTTGCAATAATTTCAGCAGCGTGTTTTGTGTTCTTATATTCCACAATGGAAGGTTGCGGTTCCTCAGATTTTTGTTTTACATTTGGTGATAACGAGGCGCTTTCACTTTTTTCAACCATTAATGTTTGCAGCGGGATGGACGGTTTTGGTATTGTTGCTTTTTTAACTTCACCATTTTCAATTTGCAAATTTTTAAAACTTGAATCGACGGAGGTAATTCCTGAGTTAGGTTTCGATTTTTTTGGCTGACTCGAAACTCCGTTTGTATTTCTATAGCTTCCGTTGTCTTTTTGATTAGCGTTGTTCATGGCAAAACCAGTTTTTCCAGGAGTAGTTGATGAAACTACTTTGGTTACATGACCTTGATTAGCTAAAATATTAGGATTCGATTTTCGTTTTTCCGTACTCGGTGTTGAAATATCCGAATCATTATTATTCCTTCGGTTTCTGCGTTGTCTTTGTTCCAAAGGGGGCTGATTCATGGAAAACTCTAACCCACAACTTTGAGTTACAATTGGACAGTTTTCTGTCTTTGGAGATGAGAGGAGAAAGTTTATGGCGCGTTCAACATCAAAATCAGCTTTAATTGCTGCCTCCTTCATTGCTTGATCTGAATAGCTTTCTCCTACAACGTCATGCATCATCTCTATACAAGATTGGATAAGAATCTCATTACCGGTTTGTGATTTCTGTTCAGTATTCATTGATTCCTGCATCCCTCCTCTATCCATTTCATCAAAAGCATCCTCATCTGCTTCTTGTACAGTCGACTCCGATGGCATAAATGTAGAAAAATCATCCCGTCTTGATCTTGAGTAAGAGTATTGCGCCATAGTGCCTGGAGAAACACCGTAATCATCTTCGTATGATTGCCCGAAAATATCATCGTCATCATAGTCGTAGTCGTAACTTTTTGCGTTACGAATATTCCGATGTCGAGCCATGGTCAATTTTATTTAAAAATATTTAATTTTTGTCAGAAATGTTTATTATTTTCCATGACATAGACTTTCAGTTTGTAAAGTTCTTGAAACAAGTGGAATTTTTCAATATCGCATTCTTCTCATTGATTTATAAAAAAAAATAATAAAGAATATAATTTTAATTATAGAAACATCTGAAACATAAACACAATCAATTATCAGCCAACCCAATTTTAAATTTTAAATTCAATTACAGTCTGACTGGTCTATTGCATACATATGAGATTTAATAGCTTGGCAGTGTAGCCCATCATGCTAAGGGTTAGGAATAAGCTCGCCACCGCACCTCTGATTACCATGTACAGATGTATGTGTTTGCAGGTTCGAATGCCATGCGAAGATAGTTATGTGCAAAAGGATTACTGGATTCCTCGTCGCCGTAGGGTGGTTCAAGTAACTATTGGTCGGTTACGTCTTCCTCCATCATTGAGTCCATACAGTACTTTCAAAAACTGGCTAACTACTCTACAAGGACTGGTACGGTAACTAGACAAAAGGTTTGCCATATGCATTAGTTATTACTACAATAATAGGTGATTATTATGATATGATTCTCAAATTTTATCCCAAGACTTCCACTTGTGTCTGACAGACCAAGTGCAGTTTTAAATATTCTGTGGCATCTGCAGCTGCCGCAAAACCATGGCGGTATTTCCATACCATGGCCGCTGTGGCCAAACTCATGGCAACTTGACTATTTAGCTGCCACAAACCAATGTCGAGCTGCCGTTACCGCGGCAGCAAATTAAAAACCAAGAACAGGTAAAATCTTGCTGCCGTAACCGCGGCAGGTGGGCCGTAAAGACAGGGCTGTCTATTATGGTGACAAATATTGGGTAAGTTGGAACGTTTTTCTTATGGATACAGTTTTGATTGATTTGGAGTTAAGGTTAGGGTTTAAGTACTGAAGTAGATATAATTCCACATGATCAATTAAAATCTGGTACATTAATTTGTGAATATACCGTTAATACTGATTACTGAATACTGAGTAGCGCTATAAAAACATGGCAAGAGCTGCCACGGTTTATTTAATATTGTTTTTTCATTGTTTGTGGAAATAAATCTCTCTCGGTTCGTTCGTGGCTGGAGCTGCCATGAAGTGGTAAGAACTGCGCCTCTGACAGACAGCTGGACAGTGATGACATTGATAGTTAAAAGCAATGTGCCACTGACATCCCTGTCTCGGGTTCAATAAATAGCTCTTAGTGTAGTCACTTCCAACTCCTCTATTCAGATTAAGTCTATTAGTATTCTTCACAATCTTTGGGGACTGAACCCTATTTTGAACAAACTCCAGAACTTGCCACCAGACTACTGTAGTCTACTATACAAAATATTGAATATACCCGTATGCTTAAGATACTAAAAGCAAAAAATAGGTTTAACAAAAATAACTATCAAATTAAAGTTGTGTTACCGGCCTTTTTTTAATCCACGAAACCATATTAGGGTGGTTTCGTATATTTTCATAGACATCCACAATTTTTGGCACTCCAGAAAATATTTCACTACATAATGGCAACAAGAAGTCGCCAAATAACAACAAATAAAAGTCGGCCAGGCTGATTTTATTCAAAATAAACTTACTACCATGTCCATACTTTATCATTAAATTTTCCACCCTCAGAAGAGATTTTGGCGCAGTTTTTTCAAAGTCTTTGATTAATAACTCCTTACGAGATTTGTCTCCTGGTCTCGCTCTCTGAAAAAATATTTTTGTCCAATTTCATCAAAACATGCACAATACATGTCAATATAAAACGCTTTTTTAGTAGTCAATCCATATAGTAATTACTCGCGAGCAAGGTGCCTGTATATAGCGGTTGATTGGCACAATCTTTCTCCGTCAATTTCCAAAACTGGCATCTCTTGAAGTGGCATTCCATCTTTGTGTTTCGGCCACTCGCTGTCGGGTATTCTGATATCTTCATAATCAACTCCAACGTAGGCAAAAATAAACCTCATTATTTCGGCTCTTCCGCGTGAAAGAAAATAATACAATTTATATTTCACCATGTCTTCCGGCGCTTGTCTCAAAAATGATAGCGGTTTAAAAACGCTCAGAAGACAGACAAAACGTCAAACACGCGTAGACGGCATGACGTAGGCGTTGTGATTAAATCCATCTGTTGCAATACTTTGAGGTTTAGTGGAACCGCGAGATGACGCCAGTAAGTTATGAAATTTCTTCATTGAATTTCTTTTTGGTCGATCGGTAAGTCGTTGATCGATCGGATCATAATAATGCAGAATCTTTATTTCAGGTTGTAAATTTATATCAATGACATATTGCGTGAAAATACATTTGCTGGCGCCTACGGTTGCTCGCGCAAATCTGATTTGACAAGATGAACTTTCGCATGAAAGCTCTTTACGTGACGAGCTTCTTCTCGGTTCAATTTGAGAGAATGAACATTTACGCGAATGTTATTTGACTGAAATGAACGGAAGTTTTTTCCGACATAATCGACCTTTGTGCTAAAATTGAGTTCTGTGGAACGCACGTATTGCAGTGATTGTAGCTGTTCAATAAGACAATATGGAAGGATGTAATTTTTTCGGGAATACAGAATCGGCAAAAATATTTATGCAAAAACAATTAGCTTTAACATTGTTCTATTTTTTATGAAGTGTTTCCCGAACTTTTACTCAAAACAAGCAAATAGGGAGATGTTAGAAGATACTATTTATGGAAATACTTGGGTGTTGAGCGATAGATCTTCAACGGTGATCGAACATTTGAACCCATGTGTATACCCGCGGGTTCAATCCATATGCGGGTGATAAAACCCATGGGTTAGGGTTAGTATGGGTTCAAATATCCGTAAAGAACAAAAAAAATTTCCATAGGTGAAATGGTATGCAGGTTCAAATGTAATGGAACCATCTTTAACACATGACACTAATTAGTTAATCCAATGTCCCACCTTCTCTACCATTACAAACTCATTGAGCAGCTACAACACTGAGCATAAATAATATTTCAAGAGTATTCATGCCTTCAAGCCAACAAACAGTGAGCTGTAAACCCAATATTCCCATACCCCCAGGCCCCAGACATGCAACTATATCAGCCTAACTTCACTGATTCAAGAAACGACCCAGAGCAGAAGTCTAACCTTGTTTCACAGTTTTATTCCCATGGTTTAAAAAACAACATAGCACGACATCGAAAAAAATGAAATAAAAGAATTGGGGAAAATAGAAAGTAAATCATAATCAACTGAACCCACAAATAGCAGCAGCAAAAAGACGAAATGAATTACCAGTGGGTTTTTTAATAAAAATGGTCTCTATGCTGTAGTGCTCTGCCATAAACTATACGTGCACCTGAGCAGTTTTGTTATCTCTCGTATGATAAAAATACTGTAACTTCTGGACTCGTCAAGTTTAAGGATGGTGGATGAAGCGAGATCAGAAAAGGATATTGAAAACTAACAGGACTGCATATTAAGGTCTTGTAGGCACAAAAAGGCATATTGACGTGAGTTGGCAGTTTAGTATGAAAGATTGAGCATTTATTGCAAAATTGCGCTTTTGACAGATTCGCTAGATTTTTGTAATACAAATACCAACACTACGCTATGAGCGGCAGTATGCTCAGAATAAATGCTACTACAGTGGTATAAAAAAAAGATTGGTATGCCTGGTTCCACATACCAAATTAGATACCACCCAAATAGTACATCGTAATGTCAGAAGTATTGAATTTATCCTAGCCTATAAATAGCACACAGATGGTCATAGTTATTTCAACAGTCGAATCAGTCATTATTATTTGGTCTAGGAATGGGCCTCATACAAGTCTTTTTTAGGTGGAAATATAATAAAACTTATTGTTCTATTGAGATAAGATTTATTTTTGGAGATGATTTGTAGAAAGCAGAGTTATGGGCACTCACTCAGAAGTAGCAATGTCACTTCCACTCACTCAAAAGTAGCCACAGAAAACTTTAAATAGCCCATCTATTTTTTCACAAACCAAATACCCAATGCTCAAACTGACAATGAGTCATAATAGTATGATATTGATAAAAACAACCTACAAGTATCGTACAGTCCACATAATTAAATTGATAAAAACACTGGCAGAATGAAACACATAAGCACATCATTACTAAAGTTCTGCCAGTCTCATTTAACACAATTCTTCACTTTTGATAAAATCAGGCAGAATTATTGACATAATATTACCATTGTAAATATTCTGCGGAATCAAGCTCGTTCAGCTTCTTTTACTTTGTTTTGTAAAGCAGTGATAATATCAGACATTTCTTTTCCCTTATCCATCCTCACGTAACAAATGTTCCGAACAGTCGTTCGAGATATCCATGTTGGTTGATGTTCGATTAACAATACGACATGCTCTTGCACAACAGCTTTAAAAAAAGAAAATTTTAGATCCCGTTTTGCACACACAAGCAGAGCTGCTATATTTAGGATAAAATGGGGGTCACTTCAATCACTCACGATCACTTAGCTACACCATAGGTCCTCAAAATATTACATCAAGAGTCCCATGGGTATGTTAAAGAAACTTAATGACTCAGCGAGGTATTCATTTACTTATTAAACAACTGTTAATTCACTAGAATTTAGTGGTGATTAATTTAAAAGCATGGTTCATTAATGATTAAGATCTTCAGTAGTCAGCTTTCATCTCCTCCAGAGAAAACCTTACCTGGTGTCAGAATCCCAGTGCAACATTTATCAAGCTTATCAGCGATGTATTCCAATGGTAAAGCTGCCTTTTTTTCTGTCACAAATAACCTGGAAACGTTTGGTTAAGGAATCCTAGTGTCAGATAATCTGTTACATTTTTATTGAGGATTTCTCCCAATGCTTTAGACAAGCATCTTAAATTAACAAGTTACTATACAGTAAAAAAGAGCAAAATATATTCTTCAATTTATGAATGAATAAGATAAAGTTTTGATTAGGAAATCACTAATAAGTGCCATGGTCTAACCCAGTGTTCTTCAACCTTTTTCCTTTTTTATCGTGGTATACCTTTTACAATTTTTTCAAGAATTTGTATACCTTACAAATACCAAGGTTTATTTAAGGCTTGAATAAACATTAAATTTTATGCACATATTGTACTGCAATATCACCATGCAATCTAATAGGCTAATGACCGCAAGTTATAAATTTGACTGACAGCCTTATGTTCAACGTAAATCAAACAAAGTGCATGACAGCTGAAAATATCAACCCAGACAAGTGGCCGCATTATCTTTATATATAATTTGTGATGTGACAATGTGCTCAGGTCAGTTTTTTGTATAAATGACATTTTTTATTTCATGTGGGCCGCGTTTGCATTGGTGAGAGTTAAGAATCCCTGACTTAGGCTGTACATCCTTCGTATACCCTTTATCAGTTGTATACCCAACTTATGATTCGTTATACACTTGGGTATACCGTATACCCGGTTGAAGAGCACTGGTCTAACCACAGTCCACTGCGGCAAAATTCAGTCTCCATTTTCAGTTTAGGAATTGAAACCTTGCTTTGGCCAAACTCTTACGTATATACCAAAATGGCAGTTTTTTGAGGGAAATGGAAATTGAATGATTCATTGATATAAAAAAGTTGTGAAACTCCTGAAGTTGTTGCTCCAACTCATCCAAAAGTGATCTTTTCACTTTTGAGGACTGAGAACCTTGCTTTGAGAAAACTCAACAAATCACATATTTGATTATACAAAGGATACATTCTTAGAGCTCTTGCGACATCAGGCAACTTGATCAGTTGTTGAAGCTTTCTGGAATCATTGTCCGATCGTACCATAGTTTTCAACTTCTTTTCAGCTTCCTTCGCTCGAATCTAAAACAGGAAAATTTGATGTTGAAAAAGTGAGCGGGGTTCTGCCCTGTTGTTTGTAAAATATTTCTGCTGATTATATAAGCATAATTGCAAATCGGGAGGGATCAGATTTTTGAAGTGAGAAAGAGAGTTGCAATTTGCAGAAACGTAGCAAGGTCACGCACACTCATTAAGAAGAGAACACTTATCTATGAGCGAAGTTACAAGTGTCCACCTAATGCCAAGAGCTACTGCAACCATTTAGAATTAGGAATGTGACTGTTCCTAAAGAGACTTAGGTACTCCCATATTATGTATACCAAGTTAAGGTTAGGCCATAATTTTATTCCGATTTCCCTTATTTTAGTCCTATTACGAGTTCGAGGACTGTTTGTATTAGCCAAATGAATATGCCCCCCGTCCATAGGATTGAGTCCCTTGATGTAAAGTAGGCTAACAATATCAGTTACCTCCATATTGGTACACATATTTCTGGAGCGGCGAGTGAATGAATTAAGGATGAATAAAATCTGACGAACCTTTGCTAACAATGATGATGAGACTCCTTTCAAAGCGGGTGCAGATTTCACTGGAGTTTGAGGTTTCTTTGGCGTTATGTTGTTGTTTTCTTCCATGATCACAGCATTGTGGCGAGATTTCTCTGGCGTTAAAGATGCTTTTTCTGCAACTTTTTTGAGAGCGTCGACAGCCTGGAAAAATAAATGCTAAATTTAAATTTTTCTGATCTTCGTGGTCTAAAAGTCAACCTAACACATTTTGACTCCGAAAAGCAAATACTGATACAGAGTAAAATCTTGGGTATCTTGGCCTCATTCAGAGCTAGATAAGTGACTTCGCACAAAAATATATACTACCAATATTAATCTGTCTAAAATGGTGTTTTCTATTTAATTCATCACATCCTTTGTTGTTGGCAAAATTTAATTATTCTGTCATGCATGTTTTCTGCGATTGTAACATTAAATGCGATATCAGTGAAAATTGAGCTTTTGTCGCAAACGCTGTGCAGTCATAATTTGGCTTGTTTTTCCTGACAGTAGTGTCAGAGGTAGAGTCCTAATTTCCCAAGTCCAAGATTTTAAGAATCGAGACTGTTTTATTTAAAATTGAACGCTGGGTTTGAAATTTGAAGCAAGGTGTGAAATTTCAAGATTCCACAGCCAAGGATTTACTACATAGTCTCATAATAACTTCACCTTTTTAGTGAATTTACTCCTTGCTTTCTCCAAAACATCTTTTGCACTGTGGCACCTTTCCTTCTCATGGTCTGGTGGTTTCGGAAGATCTGATTGGCTCACATCAGGGACTCGGTCAAGCGGAAATTGTGGATGCCAACGCAATATCTTGTCGCTTTCAACTTCTATCGGTGGATCGAGAGTTGATAAAAATTTCTGAACAAAAATAAAAACATTAGATGTACTATAGGGCAGCTGTAAAGTAGCCAAGGTGAAAGTAACGACCCATTATGACTCCGATGTGCGTCAATAGGAATCTCATTCTAATTCTAGAATGTTATCATGATAAATTAGAGACGACTCTGAATCGAAATCGAATGATTCCAAGATTTCTATATCTTCGAAATTTCGATAATAACCACCGCCCCTCAAACTAGGGTATAATAAAATAAGATGAGCAACGTCAAAACAAGGCCTTAGGTATTATTAAAAGTTTCTGCTTGTCCAGAGAATTTTATTGAGCAAAACCTTGAAACAAATGTCTAAAAATGATGCAAAATGCAAACAGGAGTTTAAACCCTGCTTACCTTATGATGATCTTTCACAATGTTGACAAGTTGAACCAGAAAGTGATGTCGTCGTTTCACCATCATCCCACTGGTTAGCTTACGTGAATCAGTTCCGTACTGATCACATTCTAGAACAAGAAAATGTCAGGAAAATTGAAAACATCTCCTCATTCCAATAATCTTATAAAGCACAGAACGGAAAATTTGTCTCATGGCTGCTGCGTTCCAATTTAGTAACTCAACAGTTTAGATTACAGGACTGCTTGTACAGGGTCTCGGCTGGCCCAAAGCCACGAACGAGTGTCATATTAAATAAAATAGAAACACGCTAACCTCTTTCATCTAATATAGGTTCAAGGGTCAGCTGATAATCAGACGGTTTGATGTGGTCGTTGTAGCTCATGATCCCCTTCTCCTGACGATACTCATATGCGGATGGGAACACTGATTTTATCTGGCTAAGATTTTCCAGCTCAAAATTCCTGAAATAAATAAAAATTATGTTTAGAGTCAAGTGACATCAAAAAAATGATGATAACTATCTAAAGACGCGCACAAGTGATAATATGGCATATTTACTGCTTTAACTTCACCAATATTTAATGTTGCAATAATAAGCCTAACATGTTTCATATATTTGGTTCATGTACCAGCTGGTCTTTTACGGCTCCTACCAGCAGGTCTATGCATATAAAACATATAACTGGCATACATGGTCTGGAACCCAGTCAAGAGAAGACGTTCCCCTATATAATTAGGCTTTTCTCTAAGAATAAATGTTCCTAAACCATGTGTTTAAGCTATTTGATCAGTTTTTTTGACCCTATGGAGAATTCTTGACTTACTTTCTAATCATGTCCTTGACCGACTTCTGCAATGTTGCCCACGTAGTGACTTGCTGACGATTGAACAACATCCCCACTACTGTATCGGCACATCTGAACATTTCAGCGAGAATCTAAAAACATGGGCAGAAAAGGGTTAAAAAAAGTTTTTATTCAATATTTTAAATTATTAAATTTCAGAAATCATTCAATTTTTTTTTTGAGCAATTAAAAAGCCTTAATAAAATTCCTACGAAGCATAAAAGTAGAAAGCTATTAAGACTAATATTATTCTAAATATCCCGCATTTCCAAATTAAAAAATATCAATAACCTATATCAGAAAACGAGGTACTCCCGTAGTATGTGAACCAAGATGGTGGACACCGGAACTATATACCAGTAGGGCTGGGCATTTTCGAATACCTTGTGATTTCAGAATCGAATCGAATAATTTTTTCGAATCGAATCGAATCTCGAATACTTGAAAATATATAATTGTAAGCGACTTTATTATAGTAATTGGTCCTCTCAACAAAGAAATTACTGAAGACATAGAATAAATCACTCAGATAGATTACTGAGCGTTCACACAGAATAACAAACACGTTTTATCAATAACTCACTACAGAAAATAGTCATATGTTAGAATTTCGTTGAAAAAATATGACTTCAATGAAAAAAAAAGTTGGGGAATTCACCTCGACCATTAGCCGAAAGATAAAAACAAGATGGCGGCGATTCGAAATTCCAGTCTGAACCGATTGGAATAATTTACTATTCGATTCGATTCGAATATTCGATTCGAAATGCCCAGCCCTATATACCAGGTATACTACCAGGTTGAGGTTAGGCCATAATTTCAGGTACAAATACTATGGGAGTCACTTGGCTAGTTCCCAAACTTGTAAGAAAAATAGGACTAAAATTTGGCCTGACCCTAACCTGGTACACATAGCCTACTACGTTTCTGTGTCCACCATCTTGCTTCACATACTACGGGAGTACCGAAAATAATATCTCAGAATGTATCATATACACACTATACAGGGGAGACTGAACGAGGAAAAGCATACAAGTTCTTATTATCATTTAGTATTAAATTGATTTTATTTATACATTTTTTTGTCTTTGTCTGATGAACCAAAATAGTAACATTTCAGTGTGTGTAAGAGTTAACTGCTAAAAATAATAAGCTACACGTACCTTATATTTGAAAGGCAAAGGCAATCCTTTGGGAACTTCTTGAGCAAGGCTGTGTAATGTTTCATACGCAAATTCACGCTTTTGTGAAATGGCAACTTCTTTCTGCGGCTCCTTTTTCTTCTGAATTTTTTTCGCCTTTTCTTTTTCTTGTTGTTTTTTCTTTTGTTCCCGTATTTTCAGTAATGTTTCTTGCAAATCTTTCAAATTACTGGAGTTTTTCAGTGTTTCCCTTAATGTATCTGGCGAGTCCTGCAAAACAAGTATGTAATTTAAAGTATGAAATTCATGGAAATTCAAATTGAATTGAAAAATCAATCATCTGGTTTAGAAAACGTTTGGGGTCGAAGCCCAGGAATATCAATCCATTTATTATTTACAGTATGAAATAATTTTTCTCTAATTAAACTTTATCGAATTTTGTTCCAACTCACTTTTTTCTTTGCCAGAAGCTTTTCGGCCAATTTCTTTGTTTTCTTCATTGAATTTGTCTTTTCAGCAACTTCAGAAGTTGCATTTTTCCGTGACCTTGTTTTTTTCACATTTTCAATGTTTTCAGTCGGTTTAGGTTTTGACTTCGTTCCATTTTTCTCCAGTGTTTTTTCTGGACCATCAGACTGTTTTGACTGTTCTTTTGTTGGCTGAGCTGAATCTACAAATGTTTAAAAGGCTTACTTGAAGTACTGCTCACTGAAATTCGAAACTTATCAATATTTGCAACCACATATAACTCGAATAAGACGCTAAAACATTTCAGTTCAACATTTTTTCCTCCTAAGGATGGAATTTTATTGGTTTTCAAGAAAAAATTTCTGTGCTACGAAAACCAGGCTGCGCTTGACACTAGCTAATGATGTAAAATAATAAGCATGAACAGACATGAGTATTTATGCTTAGTAATCTATAATATGAATTTGAAAAAAGGGGATATATATGGAAAAGGTTGGGAACCACCTAGTTAGAGCGTGTTTTATTCAATGTGATGAATAGTCAGAAGAATATTTCACATCACTCTTAAAATACCTAATTTCACTGAATTTTGCTGTATTTAAAGATCCAATTAGCCCCACACATTTATTGAGAAAAATTACTGAGATGAGAAAAAAGTTCAATAAGAACCTTCAGCTTCATCAGAAAGTAATTTCTTTCGAGCACTCTTCCGCCTTGATCGTGTGGTTGAGAAATCCGTCTCTGGCTTTAATTCTTCCAATTTTGATTTGTCCACAACTTTAAAATCGAACACGGCTTTCTTCGGTGATGCACGACCTCGTTTCTCTCTCCTAGTTAATTCCTCTCCATTATCTTTCGTCTGTGAAAATATGCAGTAATTAGATTTAAGTTTTCAGTAAATTTGAACCAAATTTTAGTTAAACAAACAGTGCAATTTATATTAATTATTAAAAAAAAAATTTTGAATTGGATATTATTGAGTGGGATGGGACATAAGCAGTAATTTTCACACAAGCAATACTCGGTATTGAATATCCAACTGAATACTGCTCCAACCTTTTGTCGTTTTGATGGAGTCACTGGCATATCATGATCATCGTTAGCCGCAGTGACAATTTCTTTTAACGAACTTTGTGTCGATATCCCACTGCATATCGAGCTGCCACTCTCAGACGATGTAGGTGAAAGTCTAAGCGATAAGTTCTCATTTGTTTCTTCTGTGTCAGGAATGTCATTGAAGTAATCTGATTATATTGAAAGAGATTTTAATCAAATCCAAATGAACCAGAGAGCAATACTCATGAATACAATGAATAGATGAAGGTAAAACAGTTTCGGCAAGGCCTCAGCTTGCACCATGTTTCATGAAAACAAGTCTGACAGAACATCATGGTGTGACACAATGTGCATAAAAATATGAATTTGAAGAAAGATAACATACTGCATAGGAGTAATGCTCGAATATATAGACACACAGATTAAACCAAAGTCTTAGCTGAGCACTATATTAGCTGAAAAAACAACTCGATGGAATGCCAAGTAGCAGCTAAATTTTATGCAAAAACAAACAATTTGGGCTAAAATATCCAACCCATGTGACTTAGCTTTAGCCATCTTTAGGTACTAAAAATTATTTTGGATAAAATTTAAATTTATTAATTGCTGATAAAAGCTAACGTTCCCAACAACAATAGCAAAAAAAAACACAATTTAGCGAAACTATCTGTGTGAACACTTTATGCCTAGTAATAACCTAAAACGCCCAAAAACATTTTGCGATATTAATTCGAAAATGGATTATATCATATTGTGTATTTGTTCAACAGAATACATACACAAATAATTACCAAAAACTAGACTTTGTAATTTGAATGACGATGTTCAGTAGTTTATCCAAAATCCGGGAGTTCAATACGATGATTATAATTAATTTAAAGGATTTATTATAATAATTCAAGTAAAACCAAATAACTTAATAAGTTCTATTTCAGAAACTCAAATAATTATTTTCTCGCAAAAAAATTGATTTTTGTCAACCTACCATCCAGCGAGAGCACTGGCTTTTCTTTCACTGAATTCCTTGTGCTACGACGAGGCTGGGATGAAGCAGTAGATTTTTTTCTAGTGCTTTGTCGCCTTGTTTGTCGAATCTCTTGCACAAATTTTTCAGCTTGAATGATTATTGGAAGATCTGTCGGTACTTTTTTATGAGCTGGAGTATCATTTGATAGTTTTAAACGCTTCGATGGTTGGATATATCCTCCCCGACGTTTTTTAGAAAAATAATTTGTTACAACACCTTGTGACATTTTTATAAATATGATTCTAAAAATTCGGTAAGTTAAAGTTCAGTAAATTAAATAAAACAGACAGCGATGACCTAAAGACTGACATCTGCCAGTCTTCCAAAAGCTCTTGATCACGTTTAGGTAGCTCGGCTTAAACAAAAGCAGAGAAGAGGCCATCACAAGACAGCAAGACCTCATACCAGCATACAGTCATTTCAGAATGTCAAGGCAAAAACAATTTTTCTTTGCATTTTATCTGAAGCTGTTATCAGTCTATTCAAGTACCGTCTCTTTTTTAGTGAGATTATGAAATAAAAAATAACCAATAGTACATAGAAATGCGAACAATAATAAAGTAAATCCGAGTACCGTAACGCACGGTCAGCCAACCTAATACTGTAATAAAACGCGACATAGCAAGCGCCTGCCGTCAAGGCGTCGATAAAGCAAATTACCTCATATGCTTGAATAATTTCCCGCTTATGTTTTTCGACCTTTGACCCCACCTGTATTTGTTCTATTTTGTAGCCCACAGAGTTGTTTCAGTATGGACCTTTCCCCGACCTTTGAACCCCGGAAAATACTTTACCGTAGCAAAATTTTTGGGACTATTTTAAGAGTGCTTTTGCGAGTTGGCGCCTGTAAAATGGGGTATGTGCTTCAAACCATCATTGTGATTCATTGCATACAACAATCTGTTTTTTAAAAGTACTGATAAAGAATTTCAGGCTAGTCTATCACAGCTATTTCTACACTAATTTGTATTACTGCAATAAAATTAAAACTCCTAAGAAGACAGAGTAAAAAAAAATATTCGAAGGACATTTCACTATTCGGATATCCGGTCCCACGTGACCTGCTCCGCTCTGTTTGGACACCGAACTCGCGCGTCTCCAACTCAATCTTGAATTGTGCGAGATTTCCCAACGGCGCCTGCTATCAGAAAAAAAAAATTGAAAAGTCGTTGTCTTTGCGTTATGATGTGTCTTTGCGTTATGATGTTATATGCTTATCTTTGCACCTAACGTTTCGTTTAAATTCCATATTTTGCAAAAAAACGTACCAACCGTTCAGTAAATTTAGAAACGTCGAACCAAATTAGGTATTTACAATAAATTTCCCAGATTTAAACTCCGCATGCTTGGTGACATGTAATTTGCCATTTTTGCCATTTCTTGCATTACCGAACATAGAATTGATTAAAATTAAATCCTAAAACGACTTTTCGGCGTTTCATTGTGAAAAAGGCGATTTTAGGTCGTTAGAAAACCCGAGTTATATAAATGGATTTAAAATCTGCCAAAAGTTTTTTCAAAAGCTGGTATGAGTTACTTGTATGAGAAAACACTCATTAAGTTGTAACCAGATAAGAAATGTCCAGTCCTACTTCCTTTAAAGCAAAGTGACTATATAGTCACTTTGCTTTGAAGCACTTTGTATTAGCTCTTTAGTGATCCCTTTCATCCTTGGCCAAGTATTGTTTCAAAAATGTAAACATTTTACCCGACCATGCATGGCCGTTGAGCCAAGAGTATAACGTAAATTCAATTGTGAATTTCGTTGTTACAATGCACACTGGCTCGTTCACGAATTGTTGCGTCTATTATCATCGAAAATGATTATGATTGTTAAATTTTGAAGCATTTCGGCAGTAATAATTAAGCCTTAAGGCATGACATAATCAAAATTATTGAGTGAAGTGCTGAATTTGCAAATTCCGTAGAGAAAATTGAGCATTAGGCTACTCAGTAAGTATTTTAGCTATAATAACCATCAGGGTGTTGTTTTCAAAACTTGAAGGAATTAGGTATAATTAGCATCTGACCCTCTATTAGGCACAACGGCCTAAAAATGCCTTTATTTCCAGTTTATTTAATCGCTATTTATCAACATTCAGGATTCACACAATCGTAAATTTTCTAGGTTTATCTATCTAATACTAAAATAACATGAACACCATAGAAAAGCATGAGAAACTCAATTATCATTTTAATAAAGAAATAAATAAAAAAAATCTCGGTTACCGTTCACTTTAAACAGACACGGTTAATTTACAAGTCGTGATAAGGAAGATCAAATCCAGAGGATAAAACTCAGAATAAAATAATTTTGGTTTTTGCTCAGCAGCTTGCCAACTCCAATGCTCACCCCGCTTCGCATCGGTGCCATCCGGATGTGATCCGTTGGGCTATGGAACTTTATTGCAGATCTCCTTCTGCCTATGATCATTGCGAACAAGTCAGGTGCTGACTCTCCCTTCCCCAAGCACTTTGAATCGCTACAGGTAAATGTAATTCTTCTGACAATTGTTGGGGTGTACTTTGGTGAATTTAAATCAACTTTGATAACCATGTTTTTGATAACCATAACCAACCACTTTGATTTGGCCATGTTGTTTTCTTTCGGTCTATTTAAAAAATATATTTTGTCTATTATCTGTCTACTTATTATATCATCCATTGGTCAGTGACTCGCATTTTCTGATTAATTTTTATTTTGGCAGAAATGTCATTCCACCACAATCTGGGATTAACCAACTGGAGACCAACCAAATGGAGAGAGTCATCAAAGACAAGGGTTCACCAGCCATTTTGTGTCCAGAGTTCTATCGCTGTATGCTCCCAACTAAGTGATTTAAACCTGCGATCGTTAAACAGCTGAATAAAAAAAAACGATGCTCAATAATTCGGATCAAATTTTCGCAGCGGCAAAACGAATGAACATTCTTTCGAAAAATTAATATTAGATGTTTCTCGGATAACTCGGCTCGGTGGTATGGTCAGCATATACGAAGTTAAGGTTAAAGTCATCCAACTTCACTCGATAAATCAACACCCAATAAGAATATGAAACAAAAAGATACACATTTTATTATAAAATTTCTGATGTAAGTATCGCTACTTGCACGCGGCGGTGTGGCTCAACGGGCTAAGCGTTGGGAATACGCTCGCCACCGCACCTCTAATTACTCTGCGTGGGTTCGCAGGTTCGAATCCCAAGCAGGGATGGTTATGTGCGAAAGGATTTCTGGACTCCTCGCCGTCGTTGGGTGGTTCACATAACCGCTGGTCGGTTACGGCTTCCTCCACCACCAAGTCCAGGCTTCCGAAAACAAACAATACAGTAAAACTAATCCCATACCCTACTTGGAATGGTAACCGGACGAGAGACCGTGGTTCGCCATATGGATAAGCAGTCTTATCGGTTTTCCTCTCCCCCGGGATAAATATGTAAATCCTATCCTATCCTAACAAACTGACAGAACCGCAGACCGCAGGTCTACTAGCATACCGTTTTTCAATAATTTTATTTGTCGCCTCTTTTGCGTGAATATTTAACTTTAAATTGAGAAAACGTTTCAAAATTTTAAAAGCGATATTGTGGCAAGATGGGAAATTATATTTCAAACAACTTCATCTGTCAGAAAAGTAACAGGCGAATATATATTATGAAAAGCATTAATATTTGCGCGAAATTTAGTTTATACTTTTTGGATGGGTGGCATAAATATTGGGTAAAACTATCAATTTTCAAATATTTATCATGGTGTAAGACCTAAAAAGAGTTAGTAACAATTGTGGGCATTCATCGGGATTGACACTTTCCATAGAAACAAACAAACAATTTGAACCCCGTGTCTTTATAGGGTTCCCCGGAAACATCAAGGCTAATTTTTCACTGTTGGATATCGATAAAATTACAATTAAGTTTTATCAACGAGAACGTAGAAGACATGATGGCGTCGCTTGGTCACCTAGTAAATATTTTACATTTTCCGAGGCAAAAAAATCGAAATATCCTGCCAATAATAGGTTGATAAAAGCTGCAACACCAGTCGCGCAGCTGGTGTTTAAATTTTGTACCTTATAATGTACATGCTTCGATAAAATTCATTAGGCCGCATAATGTGCTAGCCATGAGATCGTTTACATTCTATAATTTTAGGAGCAACTGTTGCAACAGCTCGTTAAATTAAGAAAAATCCCGAGAAATCCCGAAAATTCATTCATCAGCTTCTGGAATAGTTAATGTAAAACGCAGGCTTTAAACTTTCGGCATGGTGTGAACAGGTATCCTAATACCAGTTCAAATAGTACCTGATTCAAACGTATGCATTAGGTTAATGACGTTTCACACTTGCGAAGGAAAGCGATATGTGTTTTTCATACGGAACGTTGCGACGTAATTGCGTAACGAAGTGATTAGGGAACGATGTCATATTAGGTTAAAACGAGAACAAATCGAAGTTTTTGTTATTTAATTCAAACGCTTTTCAAAAAAATCCACGCTTTTCAATTTGGTTGGTTTTTGTATGATAATCGCGACATTTTATCTCTCCTCCATAATTATAATTAGTCTCTTAGATTGTCTCTTAAACAATATAAAACTTATCTGCATATAATATAAGGTTCGTGAGATATGAGGTTCCAAAGTTGCGTAACTCACACGGGATGATGAAATAACTATCACAAATTTCACAAAATCGCACGATACCAGTATGATTCCACGAGGCAAATAGCAAAAGAAAAATATTGAAATTACCCGAATAAAATGCAAAACAGTAAATAATATTCAAACAAATTGACGAACGAGACCTACTGATGAAGCTAAAACAAGCCGACGCTGCGGCATTTTCCCGATTCCCTGGATACAAAATGGCGTCCGATATGCATCTTTGCACTCGGTGTCTCCACTTGGTTTATAGTCACTTTGCTTTGAAGCACTTTGTATTAGCTCTTTAGTGATCCCTTCCATCCTTGGCCATGTATTGTTTCAAATATGTAAACATTTTACCCGACCATGCATGGCCGTTGAGCCAAGAGTAGAACGTAAAATCAATTGTGAATTTCGTTGTTACAATGCACACTGGCTCGTTCACGAATTGTTGCGTCTATTATCATCGAAAATGATTATGATTGTTAAATTTTGAAGCATTTCGGCAGTAATAGTTAAGCCTTAAGGCATGACATAATCAAAATTATTGAGTGAAGTGCTGAATTTGCAAATTCCGTAGAGAAAATTGAGCATTAGGCTACTCAGTAAGTATTTTAG